CAGACTCCGCTAACCCAGAAATAGTACCTCGGGTTAAGAACTTTGCTTCAGGATGAGAACAGAAATTGTGCTCCCGCGGCAGCAGGAGGCCCTATTAGCTAAAGTGGGGCTTCAGGTTAAGAACAGTTTCAGGTTAAGAACGGACCTCCAGAATGAATTAAGTTCTTAACCCGAGGTACCACTGTACTGCAACACATCTCTCATGCCCAAAGACCCGATAAAATAAATATGTTTTGATCTGCTATCTAAAAATGAATGCACCCACACCAGAATCAATGGAAATTCTGAATGTTTAAAGACAGGTGTTGCCATCCCTTTTATTCAGTAATGGTACTATCGTTGTCGTCTAAAAAAAGAGTATTATAAAAGCTTCCCTAGCGCATCTTAAAAATGTGCATAGTATTCTTTCTCTTCGTACCAAACAGCTATTTTAAGACTCCGTTGTCTAGTCTCAATTTTAAAAAATGTGAAGTAGATCTAAATGACAAAATGATTTGGGGTGTAAGTTCACAAAATAATTTGCCTGTTGTACTCTAACAGCACTGTCAAATTTCAGATTCTACACTTAGTCAGGAGACACTATTAGCAAAAGTTAATATTTTGCTTTTGGATTTTTGTTCTGAGCGTGCAGTTTTCTATAAATTGGGTCAGTTCTAATCATATCAATTTCTTCCAGAGGTTGTTATTGTTGGAGGACAAAGAAACAGGGCGGTCTGTGGGCGGAGTAACACAAATTACATGCCCAGGTACAGAGGACGCTATATAGACAAAGTAAAAACAGGTGTTTTTTTCAGTTCATACATACAATGAACCTTTGCAATTGATTAAGAATTTCATACAACACATACAAGACTTTTTCCTGCGAACAATGTAAGTTTTCATTGTTTTCATACTAATTTTAAGAAGATTGCTATTTTGTTTGTGGCAAACATTAAAACCATTAATTTTCCAAAATTATTAATATGAAGCATTCAATCTGGAGGAGCAGCTCATAATCTGTTCTATTTTAAATGAAAGTTATAACTATATTTAGAGGGTTAATATGAGTGTTTACTACTTGAATAGTAGCTTATTTCTAAACAGTGAACAACTTTGGTATAATATACTTCTGCAATAATTTTAAATAGGTTATTGCAGAAATGATGTTTGAAAATAACAACAGTTTTTGACACATTATAATCCCAAATCAATGAACCTTGGTTTAACTGGATTATGGCTCAGGCAGTAAACATGAAGGATGCATTGTCAAAGGGATGTATTCTGAATTGGACATATTTAAAAATAGGTTATATAGAAAGAGTTGCTCTATTAATAATTGGTGTGTGTGGTTATTATTGTTTTGAATGTAAAACACTACTGTACTAGAAGAAATGACTTGTGAAAGCATCAAATCTATATTAATTTTTTAAAAATAGTTTCAGCAAGTGAAAGGTTAGGGGAAATGGTAACTATCAGATTTCTACATGTGAGACACACTATGAGTGGGAATGGTTTTAGACTGGAAATTTAATATCAAACTCATGGCAGTAAGTGTTGTCCAAAATCCTAACCACGCTGAATGTATACAAAATTACATATCTTTGTTTCCCTTACCCTAAAACATAGGAAGATGCATGTGTGTTCTGTGTCTGTCTGATGTCTGTCATTAAAACTGCTAAGAGTAGTGGTGCCCACATGCTGAAATGCTTTGGTCACTGAAGTATATTTGGTTCAGGGGCTTAATAAGATATTGCAAACAGGAAATTACCATCAAGGTTTTTTTAAAACAAACAAAATGATGGAATTCAGATTAAATTGATTAAATGTGAATGCATGAGGAACACCCATCTGGCAATCAACACCCATCTCAATTTTGCGAGCTCAATCTCTGTTGGGTTTTGTCATTTATTTATTTAAGTTATGAACAACTTCTTATGAGCATCTCAAAGCAATTTCACAATACAATAAAAACATGTGTAAAACAACTGCTTACATACAAACAGCTAAAACCATTACATATTTAACAAAAAATAAAATGCAACATAGCTTAACTGGGATAAACATAGGTTAACGGGGATAAACAGCTCGACTTGTTGAAAAGGCAGTCTTCAACAGGCATTGAAAATACTACGGAGATGGTACCTGCCTGATATGTAATGGGAGGGAGCTCCAAAGAGCAGGTGTCATCACTCTAAAATCCCAACTCCAATATCATAACAGATGGCTTGATACCTTTTTGATATCTGCAGGATGCTCTCTCCAGCAGAGCAGTGATTGGTTGGGGATGTATCTTCAGCAGGACAAAACCTGACTGTTCTGGAAGGTGTTGTGATGGGCGGTTGATACTCTTGATATTTTTACTTGTTTTTTTACAACTCGTTTTACATTTTCTTATTTTTAGTATTGTTTTAGATTGCTTTATGATGACTGTTCATCAGTTTTGGTGACAAAGCTTATGCTTTATAACACTTCTAGACACTTTCTTTCTTTTGGGGAGTATTTGTATATTTAAAAAGTTATTAGAAGTTCTCACAGAGCTAGAGGAAATGAACATTTCCTTCAAACTGACTGAACAGCTCTGCACATGTTAGAAACTTTTACCATGTATTTTATTTCTACACACTTAACCAATCAGAACCATATTATTAATAACAATCCAATTTTTGTATTTAAGTGTTTATTAATGAACTGAAAACAGCCTACATAATGAATTGGACACTTTTTGTATTTTATCATCATATAAATCATATGCAACCAGGGTTATTCTTATTTTTTTAATAAATAAAAGCTGAGTCCATTTGGACTGAACAGATTTTGCCAGAGATCAGACGTCCATATGCTAATATTAGAAACAGATGGGTTTTCATATTATACACACTGAGTGTAATTCAATGCTAATCTGCCTTTGTTCAAGTACAGGGCATAGGGAGTAAAAATGTCTTTAGTACCTTCCTTAGTTTCAGTGATAATACAGAGCAGTGTGAAAGTCAATTAACAGAATCAAGTGTCAGTAGTGCCACCTAATCCCATCCAGACAGATCAGATCAATGTTGAAATTTCCTGTGGAAATCTTAAACAGCTTAATGAATGTTACATTATTTTCACTTTGTGATAGAAACCCCACTAAAACGAATTATAGCAACACTCAAAGTAGCAATTTAGTATTGGTACACTGGTAGAGATAATTCTACCACTTTCTAGCATTGAGACAATTCAGAGATCACTTGTACTAGTAGAGTTCTGTTAAAGACATTGAAATCACAGGAGTATCTGGTATTTGTAAATGTTGAAAAACTAAAGAATGGCTTCAGAAGAAAATATTAATAGGATAAGTGCCATGTATTTTAGTATATGCTTCTGGGGTCCTGGTTCCAGTGAGACTCTCTGGGAATTGTTAGGGAAGGCCTAAGCTTCTGACACCTCAACTTTCCATTTTACAATATTGTTGATTGTTGATTGTTGGGCAGAGATATTCAAGTCTAAGGAAAAATGAAGAAGGGTAGGGAATCCACCACTCTTACTATTTTCATAGGTTTCAAATGAAGATAAAAAGATTATGAGAGTTCTTCTGTTGCAGAAACTTTGAATTGCATTTTGTTTCTGCATGGTAAAGTTGAGGGCTGCAACCTCTTTCCAAACGTAATTTATATATTTTTCATTTCTTTACTTAAGAAAATATTTATATTGCCCATTCTTATTTGTTCTGTTCTCCCAATTGGCTGTACTATATATTACAGCCATATTTTCTGTTCAAATACAAGAGCTAGAATTACAGGCTGTCTTGACAGCTGGGGCTTCGGTACGTTTTGCTTTAATCACCTTCTAACGTGCATTTTCTGACAAGCCCAAAAGTACTTGGGCAAAATTAGCTAGAAATAAGTTCCTGCGTGTTCAGTGACGTTTGCTACCCAAGTAAGCAAGCACACACCTTGCGTGCCATATGCAAAGATGTTGTTTTCCAAATGCACAAGTTCTAATAGCATTCGAACGTTTTATATCCCCCACTATCTAGTTAGTATCTGTCCAATTGTTGTAAATGCAAGAACCCCGTGTTTTGCATGTGTGAAAGTCCTCCCATTGGTGCTATATAAGCGCTCCGGCTGCTGGGAGAGAATTTTAAGGGCTTGTTTCGTATTTTGTGATTATGAGGAGCTCCTCCCCAAAAGCCACGTTCTAGTATTTCTAGAAACCTAGAAGCAAAGCCTCTGGATTGGCCTGAAAACTCCCCCATCCCTCTTAGCACACAAGCAGGAGTAAGGGCGCCAGGGGAGCGCGGGAAATGTCTGGCCTTCTTTGGGAGTTGTGCACAATCGCCGATCTACGTGGCGGCAACGGGGGCGAAATCCCTGAATTGCGTTATATGGCTGAGCTTTGGTCGCGGAGCTGTCCTGCGCGAGATCCTGTCTGCTTGAGTGCGCAGCCCTAGTCACCCATTCCCACCCGCTTTGCCCCGATCGTGCTTTCTGGTAGATCCTTCAGGGTTAATTCACAACATGCCCTGATTGGGATCCTCGCCAACATAAGTTCCCTGCTTTATTGGTACCGATGTTCTTCCGTCTGCACCCTTAATTCCATGCACATACCGTGCCTCTGAGCAGCATGGCAATGGCATGATGGGACACGGGGCAGTAGTTGCTGTTTCTGACATTTTTTAATATTGCAAACCGCCCTATGATCTTCGGGCGAAGGGTAGTATATAAATTTAATAAAAAATAATAATACTGCTGTAAGGCTTTTGGATCCAGCGAAACAAAGAAAGAAAGAGAGGCCGCGCGCTGCATCCAGCCCCGTCAAGTCGAAATCTAACGCCCAAAGCAATTGCTCAGAACGCCTGCCAAAGATACGTAAGTGCTTGCAACGCCCGCCTGTTCTGCCTCGTGTCAGCGGCTCCCGCTTCCCCAGGCTCAGAGCTGCATTCCCATTGGGCGAGCCGCGCGCGCTTGGAACGTTGCGTTGCCCTTTACTGGCACGCCGCCGTCACGTGGCGCGCTTTGGAAAGTTCTGCCGCCTTCGAAGGAGCGTTCCGTGGTGCTCGGGCGTTGCTGCTGAGACGCCGAGGCTTCGGAGCTCAGCTGCTTCTTCCCAGGGCGGGTTGCCTTCTCCTGGGCGGGAGAGCGCGTCCCTCGCTTGCTTTCTCCTGGCTGTTGCTCCAAGAAAAAGAGGGGAAAATGCGCCTGAAAGGCAAAGTAACGGCCACCCCTCCACGCCTCGTGCAGCAGGGCCGATTCTGCCGGGATCAGAATGCGGCCAGGATCTCATCCGCTCAGGTATTTGCGGATTAGAACAGCCCCTTTTGTAGGTCGGGGACCCCCCCCAAAATTTCTGCCTGGGACAGAAGGGGCTCCATGCTGACGATTTCCTTTGCTTTTGGAGATAACCTTAGCATAAGTATCTTACTCAAAAGTAAGTCCCGTTTGAATTCAGTGGAGGTTACTCCCTAGGTGGATATAAATTTATTTCAGGTTTATAACTAACCGTGAATTGAATTTAGTGAGGCTTGCTTCAAGGAAAGTAAGCGTAGGATTACAATATTAAAGTGAGAGCATGTTTACTCGCAGGTAAACTCCACTGCACGTTGTGGCTTAGACCACTGGAAGTGTGTTTGGGATTCTGGCCTGAGTAAATCAGTGTTTCCCAGGTCCTGAGGGAAGTTCAGACAACTCTCTGAAATATTCAGTGTAAAGTTTACTTCAAGATCAAATATGAAAACAATTCAATCCAAGTGTTATTTAATAACTGTGAGACGTTTCCTAGTTAGCCCCGTTCCCCCTTTTAAAATAAAGGCATTGCTGTTGCACAACATAAAGCATTTGAAATCTCCACATTTGCTGCTTGGGGTATAGATTATAGTTCTGTGGTCTCCATTCCTCCCTTGCTCTTCAGTTTAGCAATGGTTTTTGTTTTGTTGAAGTTTCTGTCAATGCTGGGTGGATAATGAAAATCTCAGTGTAGTGTGGTGCCTAAGAATTTGAGCAGGTTAGAATCTCGCATCTTCAGGGGCCTTTGCAAATGGAAATGCTGTCTCCACCTCCCATCTGCAAGATCTGCATTACAGGATCCTTAAAATGCTCACTAAATTAATATATGTCACATGTTTTCAAGTATATGCAATTTAGATGGTAATATCAGGGACTGCTGTTTATGGACAATTTCTCAGTGCCTTTAAAAGCTGCATACCGGAAATCAACTGCTGGAGCTGCTCCTTGTTACAGTGATGGGGATAACTTCACCTGCTGAAGGCATACAACTTCTGTCTATGAAAGAGCAACAAACCTATCAAAACGCAATTGACAGTTTCCCAAGAATATATATTTATTTGGAAGCTGCTACTTATTCACCCCCCCCCTTTTACAAAAGGCGCAGGAAAACGTTACAGATAACACATCTAAAGGAAGGATAATTTGCAAGTCAATTGTATAAAAAAGGGCAGCTGCATACACGCTCTATAAACATTTGCAAAATATTTTTTTCTACTTTTACAAAATATGTTCCCATACAAAGTGTTTTTCCTTTTGCAAATAGCAGTTTAATGGAAGCTTACAATTTTCTAGTTACCCCTAATTGCCGATTAAAAGTAGTAGTGAGGGTAGTGCTTTCATTAGAAGTAGATGAGCGTTTCCACTGCAAACCTGAACCCACGCTTATGTTATTGGATATATCTGTGCAGTATGTGCATCAGCTGAGGAATGAAACCTTAACATTTTGTTGATAATACCTAAGCACATAAGAACTGTCCTACTGGATTAGATCAGTCTGTCTATTGCAGCATTCATTTTTGGACTGTAGTAAGACAAATTACCCTAGATAGCAACCAACCAAAGAATTTATTTTATTAGCCAAAGGCAATAACAATTTCATTACAATTTGCCAAACTACAAACCATAACATACAGCATACATCAATTATGTAATAGAAGGCATCAAGGATTTAAGGAAAGGGAGTCAAGAGTTCATTAGTGTAATGTGCTAGCTCATACCTATCTTACTTTCCGTTAGACCTCCAAATCTCCAATACAGCTTACTGCAATATTGTCTGTCTCTCCCTTTCTTATATTTCTTGCAGTCACTTTATTTGTCACAAATCGTAAGTGTCACTCAAAAGAAAGTGAACCATTTCTGACATAGTAAACCTGCTTCCAGGAATTAGCAAAAGTTTCAGGAATCGATCTCTTCGATCCCTATACAAAGGGCAGATTAACATATAATGTATTGATGTCTGTGGTTGACCACATATGCTGAGTCTGTCATATGGAACCCTATGATAGCGGCTATCCAAGACCGCTATGGGCATCACCTTGAATCTTAGCTCTATAAAGGCGTTTCTTAAGGCACCAGGAATGAGTTGGGCCAAATAATATGCTCTGAAATGCTGTTTTCAGAAATGAGAGCCATGGTAAGAATCTGGATTTCCTAATTAAATGAAAATCCCTTCTGGGTTCTGTCCAGAAGATCCAATCCCAAAGTTGTCTCTTATGATGGGATTTGGACTTAAAAGAACGTTGAGATGGCCTCAGGTTCCTCACCTTAATATTTTAATTTGGGAAATGTTATAAACCGTATATATATATGGAACGTACTTATAATGAAAATTTAATAAAACAGGAAAATATTTTTCAATACCACACAGATAAAATCCGCAGAATTTAAAAGTAAGTATACTTAACTAAATTATATGTCCCAGGCTACTTGATAACTTAAAGTTTTTAGCTGGCATCTGAAGCATGATAATAAGGTGCCTGCTAAATGTTAATAGGCAGGGAGTTAGCGCCAAAGCAGGGCATGTTGGCAGTGACCATTCCCTATATCCTCAGGATCAGGTACTGAGAACTATACTGCCTCCGAACGTAACGTTCCATTTAGTTCTCATAATTTAAAGCTGTTGCTAGATTTCAGTCAGTGTTATTAGGTGATCGTAGCTCTGGTATTACAATAAGTGATGAATAATTTCACTTTCTCCATGCTATTCACCATTAATTTTTCTATAAAATTGGCACGTTTAAATTTCTCTTCAAATCTTTTAACCCATAACACTTTTGAGAATATCTGTAGTCTTAAGGGGCTCAAACCACAGATACCTGTTCCACTCTCAGCCTCCCCAATTGAAGCAGAAAGGCTTTTCACAATATGAAACACTTATAGCATAGGGTTTCAGATCTTGGAGAAGCTACCAAGTGTGTTTAGCTGAACCTGTTTAGAAGCTCAACATAGGAAGGTAGAGCATGGAGCAGGCATGTCTGCCATGTGCAGGGACAGTGGGAGCAGTGGCAGAGTGTACATCTCCTTCCTCAGTTTGAGCCCTTCCACATTCATTTTGAATGTCTGCGGAGGGAGAATGAGATTGGATAAAAACATAGAAGCTGACTTCTTATCTGAAACTTGCTTGTTTTATACAGTAGACTAGATTTTGTTCCCCAGTGTGCCTTGGAAAGTAGACAGAACTGAGTCCATAGAGGACTCAGAAAAACATATCCATGGACACCCCCAAGTTTGTTTCTCATATTTGCTATAATAAATGTTGATGATGATGTTTGTAAAACATTCTGATTTTGTAATAAAAATTAAAGCGGACAGAGAATTGGAGCTCTCTTTTTTCTTTGTAGTTGATTTCCTTTAAAAAAAATGCAGAGGTCAGATTGAGTGCATTCACTGAATCTCTGACTTATTTGGACATTCAGGGACTAAAGTTGACATGAGTTGAAAGTGGATCATCAATCAGTTCCTCACAAGATCAGTTCCTCACTTTGTCATACATTTCAGCAAAGTTAGTGTTTCCATTGCTGCTCCATCCGGTCTCTTCTGCAATGCTTTTAAGAGCATTTGTGTGTCTGAAAGTAATCCCCAGGACTGGAGTTTCTAGAAGTTCTTTTGCAGGGTGTTTAAAGTCATGCATGCCCACTTCTACTCTAACATGTGGCATGGCTACATTTCTAAGTTTTTCCACATTTTTCTCATAATATGAGGTATGTGACTTTCTCATATGTTACAGGATATAAGTGCATACAGAGCAAGTGTTAATTAATACCTTGCTTGTACAGTACTATAAAATGTGAAGCCAGTGACCCAAGAACGTTAGAGAGGAAGTGTGGCTGAAACACCCTTGTGTATGTAGACAGGTGCTAATTCATGATAACCCTGGGATTGCAACCTCTGCAGCCAGATAAAGTAAGGATGGAATGCCTCAGAATAACAACCCTGAAAAAAAGCTTTAACTTCCCTTTCTGCTCAGAGGCAAGCTATTAGTCTTGTGGATTACTTACTTTCACCACAGTGCTATGCAAAATATTTTGCAGTTTTCTTCTAAAAGGTGAAACGGAGCTATTGGGTTTATATGGGTATCATGTATTTAAAAATTGAGTTAAATGCTATTGAATTATTTCTGTTTTTTCTACAGGCTTCTCTTATGAAAGTAAATACATTTATAAGTACAGTGGTACCTCGGGTTACATAAGCTTCAGGTTACAGACTCCGCTAACCCAGAAATAGTACCTTGGGTTAAGAACTTTGCTTCAGGATGAGAACAGTAATCGTGCTCCGGCGGGGCAGCGGGAGGCCCCATTAGCTAAAGTGGTGCTTCAGGTTAAGAACGGACCTCTGGAACTTATTAAGTACTTAACCTGAGGTACCACTGTATGGTTGAGTAGAAATAAATGAATGCTATTCTTTGAAATACTTGAATGGAAGTATAGTAGAACCTCTACTTACGACCGCCTCTACTTGGGCCCGATCCAAGTTGTGACCGCGGTGAACCCGGAAGTAAATTGCGGGTTAGCTGCAATTCGCGCAGAAGCGGTTTCTGTTTGCGCACATGCAGAAGCGGCTGCCACCGTCTGCGCATGTGCAGAAGTGCACTGCTGCTGAATGCACCTGCGCACAGCAGTGCTTCTACCAGCGACCTGGATCGACTTATGGACGGACCTCCGGAACTGATTACGTCTGTAAGTAGAGGTTCTACTGTAAATGGATTGTGCCCAGCTGTCGTTTTGCTGGTGGAAGCCTTCTGTCAGTGGAAAGTGGAGGGAGGTAATTCCCCAGCCCCCCCCCCATGTCTCCCCTAAATCGTCCCTGAATGGTCCCTGGGGAGACACCATTGAATTTAGTCCAATTTATTTATTTGACCAAAATTAAACTGAGGCTTAGTTTGCATGTTAAATCAAACGATAGCTTAGCAGTGGGTGTGCAGGAGAGCAGATTGTGGCCGCTTTGTTCTTCCCTAGTCGTTTTTTTCATGCACTTATTTCATAAGCTTTTATTAGATTCCAGACATCATGGACACAGCATCACAGTCCTGGAAGGGACACATGGATGTTATCCAGACTGACCCCTCAATCTTATAACACTCAAGGGAATGCAATTTGTCATACAATACAATAGAATATAAGAAATAAAAGAAGCAATAAAATGCAATTAAGAATCATACAGTATCTAGTACAGTGCATCACAATTGCAATAGCAGCAATTCCCCCCCCCCCCAAATTAAGTGGTCCACCAAAGGCCAGCGTTTATGGGGTGGGGGTGGTGAATTGGGAACGGTTATAATGACAGACCTCCAGCCATCAGGCAATTTTGAAATCCTTCCACATTTTAGGCCAACATTTTAAATTTTCACTGTTGTTTTGAAATGTCCTTTAAAATACAATATAGTTTATGGATAAGGTAGTAGTAGTACCGTATAGGCCCCAAAATAAGCCACATTTCCCCCCCCACACACACACATTCCGATTGAAAAGTTAAAGTGCAGCTTATACTCACGACCTTACAGTATACAGCCAGGAGCGTGGGGCAAACAGTGGCAGGAGTGTGACAAAGCGGCGCCCAGCCCATGCCAAGTCCGTCATCCCCTCCCCCAAGGCTGGGAAGGAGGAGAGAGCGAGGAAGGGGAAAGGCCACCAGCAACACAGCACGGCTCCCCCCCCCCCAAGTATGCAGCGATGAAGAGAGTGGCCTATATTCTGGTATTTTTTCTCTCTCCCCCCCCCCTCCAATTTTAAAGGTGAGTCTTATATTCTGGTGCGGCTTATATTCGGGCCAATACGGTAGTATACCACCCTACACCTGTAGATCTCAGGGTGGTTTACAAAATAAAACATATGTTTAAAAATATGGCCTAAAAGTAATCTTTGTATGGCTTTTAGTGGTTTGTGCCTCTGTTACTTCTCTTAAAAAGTCAGGAGATTTATTGTGGTACCATAATCCAGAGTTTGAGTTAGCCACACTTTGCAGTTGCCTCCTGTCCATGTGTGCATTTATCACATACAGTATTTGAGATTGGTTGTTTTCATGGGACTTTGCATCAAACATGCTTTTTTCCAGCTTTGAAAGTTTTCCAGAAAATACTGGAACTGGAAAGTTTTCATTTTCTCTAATTCATTTATATTAATTATGGCCCACATTTTGTCTCAAAGGAGACATTCATAAGCACTTACATCAAATAACAGTAAAAAAAACACCATAAAATGATTGAAAACAGAGTTTAAAAATGAAGAAGAGAGACAGCAAATAAAGATGCTAATACACTTTTACAGTAAATAGATTGAGATCTGATTTAACGTGTAATGAAGTTAAGCAGACAGTGCAACCCCATGCATGTCTATTCAGAAGTATGTCCCATTGAGCACCATGGAGCTTATTCCTATTGCATGTGCACACTATTGAAGCCTTAGCAAACAAAACTAAAAAAAATGCCATCTTTGTTTTTTATGTGCTGTATAAATATCTCATTTTTCCCCAATAGCCAGAAGTAGTTGATCTGAAATATTAGACTAGGAAAAATCAATGAAGCACATTTAAAATGGTATAAAAAATGTATTATAAGAAATTCAAAGCTTTACTTGGAAATTATTTTTATTGGATTACTTGTAAATATTTGAAGACAAGATCATTCAGTAGCATATAGATCCCTTCCATTATTTAGATGGTGGTAGGAATATAAAGGCACTGAAAACATACATACCAGTTTTTGCATGCCTGAGGAGCTGTGCAACAAATGTATGTGTTTCCTAGAGAGAACGACTTAAAGCAAGTTTTTTACAACTTTGATTTTAAGTTTTTTGAACAAGATTGTTGTATACAGTGGTACCTCCAGTTGCGGACGGGATCCATTACGGAGGTCGGGTCGGATCCCGGGTTTCCGCAACCTGAGGACTGCTTCTGCGCATGCGCAGCGAAACCCGGTAAAATACTTCCAGGTTTGTCGCGCGTGCATCCCAAAGTTTACGTAACCAGAGGGTTACATAAACGGAGGTTCGACTGTAGTGATAATGTAAATAAAAGGATAACTGTTTTAAAAAAGGAGTTGCTGAGTACAGTGGTACCGTTTCGGAGCCCCGTTCGCATTCCGAAGCGAACGTAACCAGTGTCTGCGCGTGCACGGATCACGTTTCGGCGCTTCTGCGCATGAGTGTGATGTCATTTTGACGGTCTGCACATGCGCGCACGGCGAAACCCGGAAGTAACGCACTCTGTTACTTCCAGATCGCCGCGGAGTGCAACCCGAAAATGCCTAACCCGAAGCGTATTCCTCCCAAGGTATGACTGTAACTGGAATGAAATTATGGTGAATTCATTTCTAATTCCTGTTGTTATACAGTGGTACCTCAGGTTAAGTACTTAATTCGTTCCGGAGGTCCATTCTTGACCTGAAACTGTTCTTAACCTGAAGCACCACTTTAGCTAATGGGGCCTCCTGGTGCCGATGCGCTGCCAGAACACGATTTCTGTTCTCATCCTGAAACAAAGTTCTTAACCTGAAGCACTATTTCTGGGTTAGCGGAGTCTGTAACCTGAAGCGTATTAAACCTGAGGTACCACTGTATTTGCTATTTTGCTATTTTTGAATTTTTCAGTGACATGGAGTGGATCCTTCTTCCAGTGCTTTATTGTTTTGTGGAAAATGGATGCCAGTTGCTGATAAATATGTGGCAGTTGCAAAGTTCATGGAATCAGAATGGTAGAGTTGGAAGGGGTCTGAGGGTCATCTAGTCCAACCTCCTGCGATGCAGGAATCTTCTGCCCAATGTGGGGCTCAAACCCACGACCCTGAGATTAAGAGCCTCATAGCCCTACTGACTGAGCTTTTTTGCTTTGTTGACACAGGTAAAATAAACATTTTAAATTAGATCATTACGTAAATCATAACATTTTCCGTTTCAAATTGTTCTTAAAAGTTCACGTCACTGTTTAGGATTATAATTTAGTCAGTTGGGTTGTGTAAATGAACATTCCAAATTTCCCTTCACTAGAGCTAAAATCACTACATGCTATACGCAACTCTGTAATTCAGGATCAGACTAGAATGGCTCACATTTAGTAGGATTTGTAGTAATATATGTGAGTGTAATTGAAATGGGATTTTCCTGGGATTACTGAATTATTTTTAAATTTTTCATTGGTTTTTAGAACAGTGAGACCTAATTTAAAAACAGCAACTAAAAGTTGGCCTCTGGGATAATGTTCCTCTAACAGCACTAAACGTCCTTCCTTCTTTTATGCTGATTTTTCTACCTTTAATTCCCCTCCCACATTGGCTCCAGTGGTGTGGGGGCAGGCATTATTTTTTATGCCAACTCCAAGGTGTTGTAGAGGGAGGAACCTTATCCTAGGGCTTCTGCAATGAATGAAGGGGCCTTGGGTCCAAGGGATCCTATCCCTTTTCTGGAAAGGCCTGTTTCAAAGCCTAACACTAGGAAGCCCCAGTGAAAGGAAAGCCAGCAGTAGATCTGTTCTACAGACCTATCTGTGAGTAGGTCTTGCTCTTTCGTACCTGATAGACTCCTCTGCTAGCAAAGGTTTTCTGCCAGCAGCTGTGTTTCTTCCTAACCCCCTCCTGCCCGTGAATCTGCCAGTTAGGATTGCCTCTCCTAGAGTATACAGTGGTACCTCAGGTTAAGTACTTAATTCGTTCTGGAGGTCTGTACTTAACCTGAAACTTCTTAACCTGAAGCACCACTTTAGCTAATGGGGCCTACTGCTGCTGCCGCGCTGCTGGAGCACAATTTCTGTTCTCATCCTGAAGCAAAGTTCTTAACCTGAAGCACAATTTCTGGGTTAGCGGAGTCTGTAACCAGAAGCGTATGCAACCTGAAGCGTATGTAACCTGAGGTACCACTGTATGTTTATTTCCTAAATGCTTGTCATACTATAAATTGGCAGGATTTAAAAAATACTGCATTTTTCACCCGGTGCAGTGTAGGAACAGGTAATCTGGTGCAATTGTTTTTGTTCCGAAACAACTCTAAAAACAAAGCACGGCTAGTTTATTAGGGTAGTTTAAAGGTCCCTTATTGTCCAGTGTCAGAAGAACAATTAAGTTTTATCTGAACAGAGCAGGGTGTCTCTAGACACAGGTAAACAAAGCACATAGTGATATTAAGAGAGAGCGCTTGTTTCATTGAAGAATCCTTTAAAAACGTGAGGGGAAATGCCGGGGGGGGGGGAGAACCATAAATCTGTTTCTGGATTGGAATATGTTCCATTGGAAGTTAGTAGCATATGGCAGTGTAGATCTCTGTGCTGCTAGTTTTTCTACAGTTAATGCCAATTGTCTTTCATTGCTAGAATATTCTAAGAAATCTCTTGGTTTGAAAATGAAATGTTTATACTCAGGGAGGGGAGGTGGTGAAAGGAAGGTCAGCTTAGGAATTCCTTTTTTAGAGAGATCTGCCATGCCCACTATCTTCTGCATTTGAAGGGCTCTGGCAACATTTTCATTTCATAAGGTTTTTAATGAGTGACTTGTGATTGCCTCTTTATAAATTTTTAATGTTGATATATGTGGTTGATTTCTTTATTATTTTTACTCGATACAGTTTTAATCGTTTTATTCCTGTTCCATTGTTTTAATTGTGTAAGCTGCCTTTGAAAAGAATTATTATTCAAGGCGGAATAAAAATGACTTTAATAAATGGAGGATAAAAGAAAATCCCAGCTTGCTTGCTTGCTTCCTTCTGACCCAAATGGTATTGTTTCCACATGGGTAAAGCTCATCCTTCTCAGGGGTTTTGAAAAAGACTTCCCATTTGAGTTTTATGTCCTGTTATTCGAGTGTGAGTCCCAGATTTAGAGCAGAACCAGCTTGGAACTCCGAGGAACAGAAATGCAGGGAAGTTGCAGAATTTCTTCAAAGGCCTCTTTACTATACAATTAAAGCTTTAATAGTGTTATGTCACAAACTTTGGTTACTCAAGAGGTCCTCTGAGCCACTTTTTGTACCTAGAACATTGCCTTAAAAAATATTTCTCTTCCAAATGACTGCTCTGTAGTAGTATCCGTTAATTGTACAGTGGTACCTCTGGATACGCACACCTCCGGTTGCGTATCCTTCAGGATGCAAACGTGGCAAACCCGGAAGTATTTTTCCAGGTTTCACCACGCGCACATGCACAGAAGTGCTCTACCGCCGCATGTGCAGAAGCAGTCCCTCCGGTTGCAGAAACTTTGGGATCCAACAGGAGCTCCGGAATGGATCCCTTTCTGGGGGAGAAAGAGCAAGGAGATTGTGAGCCGCTTTGAGACTCCTTAAGGGGCGTGAAAGGCGGGATATCAAGTCCAAACTCCTCTTCTTCTTCCGCAACCGGAGGTACCACTGTACAGTCATACTTCAGCTTACAGACGCTTCAGGTTGCGTGTTTTTGAGTTGCGCACTGCACCAAACCTGGAAGTACTGGAACAGGTTACTTCCGGGTTTCAGCACAGAAGCACTAAATCGCGCTTTGCGCATGCGCAGAAGTGCTGAATCGCAACCCGCGCGTGCGCAGACGTGGCACTGCGAGTTGCGAACGTGCCTCCCGCACGGATCACGTTCACAACCCGAGTGTCCACTGTACTAGGACTATGTAGGACATAATTGTGGTTGCTGCATAATTTTGTCGTTTCAAAGTGGTTTTCATAGTTTTCAGTACATTTTTTAAATAACTTATGATTAGCTTGGGATCTTAACAGGATTTCTATTTCATAATGTGGTACAGGATGGCATTTGACACATTCATTCCTTGCCCGCGCCTTAGGTGTGTTCACGTACTTCCCTGCATGTTTTGAAGCTGAGGAACTATTTGATGGGTCCGTATAACATCTGAATTGGGTTTGAAAAAGGTGTGTAGTCGTATTCTGATCTGTAGTGTTGACTCCTTGCACATGAAAGCTTTCTTCCTTCACTAATAGATTGAAAATGAGAGTACTGCTCTTTTTGTTGGAGATCTGTTTCAGTCACGTTGGTCTGGTGTGCAGTGCGGCATATGGTGGTATGTCAGTTGTTTGATATTGATTGGCTGCGTTTCGCTCTGGGGATTTCGGCTTCTTAAAAATGTGTCTTATGTCTGCTCACCTCCACTTTCCCTTTGCTGTTTGGCTCCATTATAAAACAGTGCTCTTAACAAACAGGATAATAAAAATCTAGAAAATCTAGGAAACCATGAATATTTTATTCAAAACAGTAATTATGCTTTAAAGTTACACTTTAAAATTAATGTTCGGGAGATTAACAGAGGGACCTAATTGAACAGAAGAAAATGTGTATATCAATACTTCCTTGGAAAAGGGATATATTTATTTTCAATGTAAATATGGGGAAATAGTAATAGCAGGCAGGAAGAAATGCGATGTTTATGTGAAGAAAAAGAAAATGATTGGGATCATCATTTATTTCATTGGGAAATACTAATTGTGTCAGGTGAGGGTATGCCTCTCAAAGGAAACTGCACTACATTTTGATAACATTAGGAAACATATTCTTCAACCACCACAGTAGAGTCTGGAATTCTCTGTGTGGAATCTAACTAAGTCACTATGTGAGGGGAGTTAAATTTGCACAGTGGAACTTTGCCTTCTCCCAGGTATCCATCCCTACCACCAAATCTGCTTGGAGGATTGAAGAGAAACCCAAAGCAGATCTGGGTGAGTGTGGGGGCTCAGGGGCAGGAGGAGAGAGGGAGCATCCTCTTGCACAAGTGAAAGTTGTTCTGCTTGGACAATTAATTGGATGCATCCCTTCATATACCTGGATTTCAATGTTCTGTACCTTCATACTTAGCCTTTAAAAATCGAAGTCACCTGAGTAGATTTATTAGGACAGTGGTACCTCAGGTTAAGTACTTAATTCGTTCCGGAGGTCCGTTCTTAACCTGAAACTGTTCTTAGCCTGAAGCACCACTTTAGCTAATGGGGCCTCCTGCTGCTGCCGCGCCACCGCAGCACGATTTCGGTTCTCATTCTGAAGCAAAGTTCTTAACCTGAAGAACTATTTCTGAGTTAGCGGAGTCTGTAACCTGAAGCGTATGTAACCCGAGGTACCACTGTATTGAGAAAAGAGCAGTAGACCAGTTTAGATTGCCACTGTGTTGCTGGTTTTCCAGAGGCAGAAAATAGGAGAAAATGGGGATAGTTTTTATAATGGAGGTAACTTGATTAGTGGTAAGGTTGCACAATGATCTATATTAGGACCATTATTAATTTTGCTTGTTTTGTTTTATTACATACAACAGTATTAATGTTGGAGAAATACAGAAACAAACAATGACTTGCCTGTTTGACCTATCTGATTAAGAATTATTTAATTAATTTATAAATGCACTGTAGTCAGCGGTGATCATCAGTGTGGCCAAGTTTACAGATGACACCAAATGTTTCAGGAAAGTGAAAAGCCAAATCAATACGGCAAGGAGTTCCCCATGGACCTCGATATTGGTGAATCAGTGTAAGTGCAGAGATGCACATATGGGCAAGAAGAAAAACATATATACACTGACGTTGCCTACATTGACAGTGACTAACCAGGAAAAAAAGATGTTGACATTAGTTATGTGTTAAATAAGTACTTAACCTGGTCATTTCCCTTTGCTGTTTGGCTCTATTATAAAACAGTGCTCTTAACAAACAGGATAATAAAAATACTAATAAATTTGCATCGGTGCATTCCAGACCTTTTAAATATGGTATAGTCCAGACTACGAAAGGGGCTTTTGGGTTGTTGTTTTTATTTTGATTATGTATTTTGTGGTTTTATATTTTGATTTTATTCCGTGAACTGCCCTGAGACCTCCAGGTATAGGGTGGTATATAAATTCAATAAAAAATAGTCATTTGGAGAAACAACAAACATTCTGCGCCAGTTTTCTGCTGAAATCACTCTCCACATCACTGCTGTTTACCCACAAACATTGGGGGGCTATTTCAGCAGAAAACTAGAATGGGCCCCTAATCTAAATTCAAGACCCTTATCCAGAGCACCTCAAAGCGTTGTTCTGGGCAATTTCAACATGCAATCCATAGCCACCTGAATTGTGCCTACTCAGGACATCATGGCTAACAGGACAACCATGGAGCTCTCAACACATCACTGCCCTGGCATATTGGCAGGTCATACTCTGAACTGGTCTTTTCCATGGTTACTCTGGTTAATGATCCAACTGATGGATTTGTAATGCTTGCCATGGGCAAACCATAGAAAATTGCAGAATCTGATGAATTTCTAAAAGTTCAGGAACAGCCATTTTTGGATAGAAGTAGTCTGGCCACAATAATCCATGCTCTTGATAACCTCCAGACTAGGTTACTGAATTGCACTCTGCATGGGGCTGCCCTTGGAGACTGTTTAGAAGCTGCTGGTGCAGAATGCTGCAGCAAGAGTGTTGTCTTAAAAGTCTTTGCTGTCTGCCTATATGCTACTGAGCTCACTTTAAGGTTCTAATACTTACATGACCCAGTTAGCTGAAGACCACCACTTCCTGTATATTCCTTTCTGGGAATTACAATCTGCTGGAGATGCCCTGTTTGTTAATTCACTGCTGAGTTGAGATTTGCACCTCTGAACTTGTCAAACTACGATCTCAGCAATGGCTCTAGTCTTTAGGAGTGACCTCCCGCTTGAAATTTGGCTGGTGCCAAATTTGCTTAGTTTTCAGGGCTGGCTAAAACCTTAACTCTGTAGCCAAGTTTAAAAGTGAGACTTTTGTGTATTAGGCTGCTGACTTTTGTAGTGAGGTGTTTTTAGAGCAGTTGGTTTTCATAATGTGTGAACGAGTGGTTTTTATATTTGCATCAACAAAAATTCTAATGGTCTCAGTGATCTAATTTAGCAATGCATGTTTCACTTGTACTTAGTAAACAAAGTTAAAAAACGTGGAAACGATGAAGCTTGCCCAATAATGTATTTGCAGTTGGCCTCCATTCATTACTAATGAACTGGAAGATGTTCCTAAATGTTAAACTATGGTTAATGCCTTCCAAACAGGGCCTGTTTTTCTTGATGGCCATTGACAATAGTTTCCTCCTGGGATGTTATGGCTAACAGCAACTCCCTGTCTTCTTTCCTTGCTTGCACAAAAGAAGCAGCAAAGTGGATGTATGTGTGTGAGGCTCATTCATATCGCAGCTTATTAAGCCACATTCTAAAATTGGAAACCTCCTAGGCTACATCTTAGGTAGGTGCCTGCTGAATGGGGGTGGAAATGGAAATCTTCGTTATAGCTGAGTAGGGAAGGGGAGTGTCTCTCCTTAAGGGGGTATAGTTTAGATGCAGTAAGCCACATACTCCTGCATCCCTGAAGTACCAAGAAGAGGCCCTGTAGACTTTTTTGCTCAGCAGTCCCCTAGTCCTGCAATCATTCATTGGACTCAGAAGCTGTCTTCCTATGAATTGTCCAAGTGTAGATTACAGCACACAGTTGAGTCTTCTAGTGCATATGGACTGGATCATTACAGCACTCTCTCGTATTGAATCTTACCTAGTCCTTTCCCCAAAAATAATGTTTTCTGTTAAGCTTTTGACAGAATTCCTGAAATCTCCAGCCCCTACTGAAACTTAAGGCTGCATACACATGACATTCTAGAATTAATGGAGATGGAAGTTCTTTTTTCTACGTAGTCCACATGCTGTCTAGATCCACTGCATATTTTTTGCCCTTGAAAAGCTCTTCTTGAAAAACTTGTTTCATGCCCAAATTAAAATATCATTGATTCTGCATCACTGGGATTGTATCCACACTTACCTAGTGATGTTGTGGGTGGGCATATACAATGGTGGGTTTTCAAATGGGTACCAATGTGTATCAAGTAACCACACCCACCCTTGTGGAAGGCAGGACTAAATGTAGATCAAAAACAGCATGTTGAGGACAATTCTTGATTGAGAAAAATCATAGAATCATAGAGTTGGAAGAGACCACAACTGCCATCGAGTCCAACCCCCTGCCAAGCAGGAAACACCATCAGAGCACTCCTGACATATGGTGCTACAAATGGGTTGCATGTGTACACAGCCTAAGGTGAAGTATATGCAACTGAATGAACATACATTATTCTCAATATCTCTTCATTCCATCTGCTGTCTTTCTGAGCTCATGTTTAGATTTTAAGCTCCTCGGGACGGAGAGCAGTCCTTTTAAACTTTATGGAGTACTACTACTGCTACTACTACAACTACTGCTACTAAGAAATATAGTATTCCTGTAGTCTTCTGTATCTTGTTTATATTCTCCATGAAATGTCATACACAAATCTGAATTGTAGATAGCTGAACGGGGCCTTGCAGTTGTTTAGAAAAGGTACTGTTTTGTTCCCAGTACCACAACCTAAAATCAAGGGTGCTTTGTTTTAGCTGGAAATCACACACTGAAGACACTGAGATGATTTTTTAAAAAAATATTTTAATCATCACTTTTAGCTTATCCGTTCAGTCACAAGGACTATAAACATCAAGCAAGAACTTGCAAGTGGCATAAAAGCTAGGATGCTCAGCTTTTCTGTAGGCATTGTAAATTTTTCATCCAAACATTACACTAAACCTGCAATTTACGTGGGGGTCATGTTCCAGCGATCGCATCTAAAGCCAAAATCGTGTGTAGTGAAAATACATTGGATTCAATGGTGGGTGGATTGCCAAAGTCTGTTTTCCTGGAAGTCCACCCCCTTTCCGCTCCCTATTTATTTATTTATTTGCCAACCATGTAAAGCTGAATGCGCACAAGGTAAAATGCACATAAATTGCAGGGTTACTGTATTCCAAGCAACTAGACAAGTTAAATGGGATTGTTGTAGAATTCCGCTAAACTGAGCAAAGGGAACAGTGCTGAAGTTTAATGAACATTTTACTAAACCCTTTCAAAAGTGGTAATTGGGGCTTTTCATTTAAGATGCCTTGTTTTCTTAGGGGTGGGGGGGGGAACCCTGGTAAGTAATTTTTGAAATGGCTCATTTATCCCCCCCCCCCAAGCTGTGCATGATTCATTGACAAAGCAGATGATACAATCATGCAAGCCACACCTTTGTCCCTTATAAATACTTGGCATTTTATTTGTATAAGGAGCCACAGTTAGGAGCTGTTCAGTTGCAATCTCAAGATGTTCATTTTGAATCATTCCACGCTTCCCACCTGGTGGCTAGAGAGTGAACTGTTACTTTAAAGAACAGTTTAAGTAACAACCATGCTTTGGAGTAGCAGGCAAAAGAGAGCAGTACATGTTACAGGAGTGAGTCTGCTCTGTATGCGAAGAGGGAAAATGCAGCTCACTGACTAGGTGTTTTAATGTGTTAAATCTAGGGAGAAAACATTGTTGTGTGCAGGAAATTTGACTTCCCCTGTGCTGATAGAGGACTGGATTTGCAAAGGATTCTCTTTTCCGTTTCTCTAAAACCAAAATCTGTGGCAAGATGTTTGAAATCACCAGGACGCTTAGTGCTGCTTTGTTAAATAATGAGGTAATATTTTGTCACATCTTCTGGGCAGTGTTTGGTTTTTCTTCTTCTTCTCCATATGTTTAGAAAAGATTCCATCCTCAAAAGTGAGAGATTTAAAAGGAAAAAAAAGAGGGGGGGAATAGAAATCCTTCGCTTTATTTTTCTTTTTTCTTTTTTTAAGCAACACCTCCCATCAATCATTTTGGATAACAGGATTCTCTTTTATTTGTGGTTTTAATCAGCTGCTGTTGCCTAGGACATTATGCCACGCAAGCCTTCTTAACTGCACAGTGTAGGTAGTTATTAACGCTGAATTGGCTTCTAGTATAGTCCATCTGGACTCTGTATGAGAAAGCTTGCTGGCGGTTCCTGATGCTAAGATACCCGCAACCTTTGGGATGTATGCATGGTGGAGAGGGACACAGTGCTATGAGATCACTTCTTTTAAGGGAAACTGTCATTAATGAGTCAAGAAACTGCTCATTTATGGTAAGGAAGAAGAGGGAGGGCAAAAGGACTCGTGTGGTTTCATTTTGAAAATGGATTAGCTGCATTTTGAGTCAAGTTTTTGGGGGGAGGGGGAGATAAAGGGGGTTTCATGAAAATAGCATCTCCACTTGGAGGCTTCTCTCGGTTTATGGTTGAGAGACTTTATTGAAAATTTTGATGCTTTACAAATTGTGTCACTGCTGGTGATGCACTGGTCAGCCGCCCCCCCCCCCCCGAAAGATGAATGGTCCTATTGGAAATCTGATAATAAGACTGTTCCCCAGCCCCAACAATAGGATTCTGCCTTTGTCTTTAGAGAGAGGCCTCTGTGGACATTGGTGTATTTGCCTTGTGGTTTTTTCCCCCACTTGCTTTATTATTTATTTATTTCAATTCTCTTAAATATTTTTCTTATGTGGTTCTCAGTGTTGGTGCACATTGTACAAAATGCATGGATTTTTAGGTTGGCAAGACAGCCAATTTATGCTTGTATCTGCAATTGTATTTTAAGACAAAGAGCTGAATAATGATTCTGGACATTTAAAAAACGGTGGCTAATGAAGTGCGTTGAGACGGAGAAAAGGATGGAGAAAGGATCTCTTTACTCTGTTTAATTTTTTTTAACCTCAGAAATTAATTCAAAATCACTATTACAAATGAAACTTGCATGTTACAGTTGGGGTTCACCATCCTCTTGCCCAGCCATTTACACTACCGTCGTACTACTTGATGTTTTTAAGTTTTGCAATGGGTTAGTTGAATTTCTTAGTTTTAAGTAGACAGCAATCAGATCCAGAAGCAAAAGGGAAGCTTACAGTTATTTAAACAGTGTACAATTTTCTTTTTCAGTGAGTTGCTTTTATTTCAGTTTTCACTTCTTTATTTTCGTTATGGGTTATGTTTGCTCATTGTATAGTAATATTGTGGTCTCAGTGGAAGATGTGTATGCTGCATGGCCCATGGTAGTGTTTTACTCAGATGTGGCTGCATTAGAAACTGACAAACAAATCAGTTTCTAATAGCTTGGAAACGTTTTAGCTAATTTCAGATCGCACACAGAATAGTTTTGCTCAGAACATGCAGTGAGAGCATATTTTGTGTGTGTGTAAAATTGTTAATCTGAGTTGGCTATAGTATGAGCAGGTTCTAGTTTATAGATTAGGCTGCTTAAAGCAAACATAAGAATAGTGAATGCGTTTTGGAAACAAACTCTTGTTTATTGCAAATGTAAATGAAAATATCCTTATCGAAAGTGTTTTCACTAAGTGGGTGGACAGTGAAAAGTTTGTGACGTTTTGTGTCACATTTGTGATTTTTATTTTCTCAGATGCAAATAAGCAAAGAAATTTCCACAACCATAGCAAGACTTAAAAATGCTCTCTTGTATAGTGTAGAAAAGCATTACTGTCTTTTGTCTTAAACCCGAACAGAACAGTCCCTAAAACAAATCCCTAAAATCTCCCCCCCCCCCCATTTTCTACCTGAACATTCTGACTAAATTTTTGTCCTGAGAAATATCCCGTGACTGTAGTTTTGTAAATCAAATTTACAAAATACACGAACGTCCTTTATTATGGGCAGATCTTCGGGAATTACGTAGAGACTAAACACTATAGCACCAGTGAATAAATACAGTTAAGATTCGCATTAAAGTGTTTTTGTCATATCTTTTAAGCCTAGAGGCAGATCATTAAATATGCATTTCTCTGGAAAGCAACTGTCGAGAAAGATAAGGTGGTTTAAATGGTCTAGACTTCACAGCCTTGCATGGAAGAGGTGAGAGGATGGAGTCAGTGGAGCATGGCTGAGGTGTAACACTTGAGTGTCAAAGTGCTGGAAACTCTAAGGTGTGGCCTGAAACTGCCCCTCTCTCTGAGTGACTGATGGAGGAAGGGGGAAAGAGGTGTGGGTAAAATCCATGCATGTGTGATGTTCCTAAACTGGCCCTTAATTACTAGACACAAGCAGCAGTTCAGAAATCTGGTCTCTGTTGTTGTAGAGGTCACCAAATCATTAACATTGTCAATCTGGCAGTAGCTAATTTCAATAGCACCTGATGTTGCAACGCCTCCTTTAGTTTCCCTAGCCAATCGGATCTTGCTTTCAGCTGACAGATGGTCCCATAAATGGATGTAAAAAGGAGAAGCTGCTAGCCAATTTCATCAAGGCTCTATTCAGTTGTTAGCTACGTTCTAAAATCAGGGGGCTTCATCACAGTGCTTGGGTTTTTGTTTTGTTTTCCTCATTTTGCTGCACCCTACAACAGCACTGTGTGTTTTGTGGATTTTTGATTTTGATTTTTAATTTATAAAAAAAGATACAATTCTAACACATTTAGTTCCCTGAAACCATATCAAATCCTTAGAGGAATTGAAGCCTTGCAAGACCTATTATTTGCCATTAAGAATGGTTATGGTAGGTATTAGTAGTTTTTAAAATCTGTTTGTTACAGCAGTCTTTCATAGTCTGTGTATAGAACATATAGCTTTCCCCAAGTCTGCATTTTGATCAGTCTGTGTTGTCACATGAGTTTAGTTTGCTCCCGCTGGCTCGCTTGTTAAATGTCTTTCTCCCTTCATTTATCTTCCTTCTCGCTCTCTCCTGCTCTCTCTCGCATTGATATACTTGCCTCGCTTTTAATAAAGGGCAGCCGCAATGTGCTTTGCCATTTTAAGGTCATTATCATTTCTCTTTTGGAATAAAGAAAAGGCTGGCTTCCAGCACGAGGCTGCGTGTGGCCAACAGAAATGCTGAAGGCGGGGGTTGGGGTGGTTATTTCCCCCACATTCACACGCGGGCATCACACATGCAAAATGGAATCCTTGAAAAAAATAAAATAAGGAGGCAATTGCCTTGGGACTGATACTTTTTGGTTTGGTGTATTGCGCAGTAGGCATGGTATTTCTTCCTTCCTTCCTTTTTTTTTAAGAGAGTGATTTATAGGAGCTTCAGTAAATGCTGCATATTGTATTTCAAAGAGTTTCCTGTCATGACCTCATAAAAAGAGGAGGCGGCTTGTATGTGTACCAGCGCCTAGTATATGCCGATTTGTTGCATCGTTGGGCAGGAGTTCTGTAAGAAGGAATGTCAGCTTTTACATAACGTTCTTTTTGCTTTTGACACTGTGCGGGGCTGTAAGGGTCCATCTTTGTGATCACAGATGGAGTGGAATGGCTTGAAAATGGTAAGTGGATGCCGGCAGCAAACTGTCCATATAGGCTTAGTGCAGTTGGTATGCCTTGTGAATTATGCTTGTTTAGGGTGGCAGATTGTGAGCCATAAATAAAATTACAGGTCATTTTGGCTTTTAATGGGGGCACCTGTGTATGTAATGTGTATGTACAACTATTATATAAATATAGTCAAGTGTCGTGGCACTGAGTGTTTCATCCAGTGAGCATGCATTTGGATGATCTCCGCTGACAGTCGCGGTGCTTTTGTAGTGTGTCCCCAGCACAAGACACCTTTTAATCTTCATTTGTGCTACACGATTGCTAAGTTGAAATCTAATGACTGCATGTACTGTTGCCGTAGAATCCGAACGCTATTGTGAAACAAGGGTGCTTTCTTTTCTGCCGAAGGAAGTTAAATCCATTGGTGTGATAGTAGTATTTCTATTTTTGGAGCGTTCTTCCAGCAGAGAAAAATCAGAAACTACATGACTTGTTCTTTCTACTCCCCCCCCCCTCCCCACCACCCCCTTTGCTGTTTCTTGTGCTTTCCTTATAGATTGTGCAAAATGGCTCTATCAAATATGGACTTTTGAATCTTTCAGAACAGAGCAAATCACGGAGGTGGGGGGCAGCAGGAGGGAGGGAAAAGGCATTAACATTCACCTCATTCTTCCTACTTTTGTTTCAATTAAACATTTTGCAGGCATTCCCTCTTCTCTCTCTGGATATTTATTATAAACTGGGAAACAAAGCTGTGGTCTTTTCCCTATTCTTATAGGATTTCTTTGTCTAGCTGCTTGTTTTGATGGGTGTAAAACAAATAAGATTAGACTGAGCAGCCGAACTGAAAGCGATAGCTGGGAGGAAAAGCCAATGAAAGGTTGCCGGGGAAACGAGCATTGGGGAAGCTGAGTGGGGGAGCAGGTGGCAGTCATGTGGGAATACTGCAAACAGCGTAAAAAAATTCTGGGGCTACCTCAATTACCTTTGGTGTTCTTTGTGGCAGTCACAACTTTAATTATTCTTTATAAATAAGTGTTAATTACATTTCTGGCTCAAGCTTACAGTGATTTCTAGAATCCTTTTTTTCTGCATCTGTTCTTTTTCTGCATATGGTGGGTGGGGGCTCTTTAACCATTTTATTTCTGATGTGAAATTGCATGTGCAAGAAAGTACAAGGCGCAAGGGAAGCAGAACACTATAAGGATACAGGATGCTGAATGGAACTAGCAGACTTGCAAATGCTCTCTTAGAGTATTCATCAAATGTCAGGGTGAGAACTGTGCACAAACTTACCCTAAGTAAAGGTTTTTATGTGGAAGTGCTGTTCGTTGTGTGTTTTGTGAAATGCCATGGTTCTGTAGTAGAATCATTATTTAATGCAAATACAGCCTGTCATTTACTTTATGCATGGAATCACAGATTTCAAATATAATGAAACTACTCTTTTTCCTACCCAACTTAATTTCCACAGTCTTACAGATCTTTTATCACAATACGTTATCTTTCTTTTGTGAAGCAGTACTTAAAATACAAAAATATAAGCTAGGGGCTGTTAAGAACAAACTTAAGTATCTGTTGCTAATTTTTATGGTGCCATATGTTGTCGGGCTCAAAATAATAGCATAGCATCTCTTAAAAGAAGGTAATAGGCATGTAAAGCATTAGAAGACTTTGTTGGTTGGCAGGTGATGGTAAATATAATACAGAAGGCTAAGGATGCATATGCCCGGAATGTATGGCAAGGATAAAAGAGAAGCATACCAGAAATACAGGGGCACACCTTTTATGCTTGCCAAATTTCACATTCCCTTTCTTTGGCACATAATTTGAATCATCAGTTAGAATGGAAATGCTAGTGTTTAGAAGGATTAAAAGACGAGAAATCAAGTCTGCTTGGATTTCATTCCTTAACTAATTCTTTTGGAGACTTCAGGGTAGATGAAATTGACCATGTCGCTATATATGAAAAGAAAGTTGTATGGGTTCATATATGGAAACTGATGAATTTTCAAAAATCATTTTCAGATGCAATATTACGTTCATAATCTTCATTCCACATTCAGACTATTGAGTGTCTCCCTCCCCATTCTCAAAGAGTATCGGCATACAGCTCTATTGTTTTCTTGAATCATTTTGGTAGGTGTTTTTTTAGGGTTCTCTTTTCATCTACTCTACACAATTTTAGTGTAGATTTTCATTTCCTCCTTACATATATCTCATTGGCATTGAACTATCAGATTTTTGGTGCCAGAGATGGATGTAATATCCATAGCTTCTATGTATATGTGGCTCTTTATTTACTGTTAGCTTATACACATAAGATTTTCTTGGATGACATGAAAGCTTATGAATAGAACCTTTGTAGAAGAAAAATATATAAAACCAGCAGATTATTTATGATTGTTTCTGCACCAAACCTTTAATTGGATACCTAAAGCAGGTGAGATGTGTGAAGCATTTTATTTAAATATCTATAGTTTACAAAATTCTAGTCAGGGCAAATAGTTATGGATTGTTTAAATATTGACTCCATCCTTTAATTTATAATTATTCCTATTGCAGTGCACATAACTAATGAAACTGGCATGTTACGTAGAAAGATGCTCTTCTAGGTGGACATCTTTCCTTTGGCTCCTTTCTTTTTGTTGCCTCTTTTGGCTGCGTTGGTAAAGGAAGAACTAGCATGCTGTATTAGAGAATCACAACAAAGGGGTGACCAAAAAAAGAATCACAACAAAAGGATGCTTCCAGTGGTGGGCTTGGTTATATTCTGTTCTTAATAGGCATAGAAGAGTTCTAAACCTCTAGAGTTCAAACTTCAATGGATTATTTTTTCAGTGTTCTGGAATCTTAATAAATTGTTTTTTGGTAATACCTTTTCTTTTTTCTTTTTTCAATCTTCCACACGTTTTGCCCCATAAGTTATGTTTTAAAAACTTTTGAATGCCTAGCATGTCGTTGGGAACGCTTGTTAGGAGTTACTACATACGTAACATTAAGACTTATGTATGCATGACCTTGTGGAGAGGTTATGGTTCTAGGCTGTGCATGATTACCCACATAAAGTAACTTCAGGAGTATATAAATCCTTGATATTTTTGTACATAATCCAGGACCTTAAGATACAGAGTGGGTATGGAGTACAGCTTGAATATTTAATTGCACTCGCAGCGTTGTCACACTTTTCAGTTTCTCTATTGTGTGGCATTTACTATATGTGATTATATGCCTTCTTATTTGGTTTGACTTTGGGGCATCTGACAGAATACCCTCTGATACACTGGCAAATACTGCAATGCAGTATTTTTTTCAATGTCATTGGGGTTTAGGGAGAAAAGAATTGCAAGAAATTTTATGCAGGGCTGAATCACTGATGGCATCAGATTTTGTAAAATTGGCCAGTACCTTTTGGAAAGGCAATTACCCATCTTGTGCCATTTCTGCTCTTCTCTCAGAGGTAGATGAGTGAGTGGGGTGTATGTGTCTGCGTGTTTATGCATGCGAGCATGTGCGCACTTGTGCTTCTATTGCTTTGGTTTAGTAAAGCTAAACACATTTGGTCTTCTGTGAGAACAGACAAGGATGCATGAGATGTACATAATCCTATGGTAGAAAAATACATAATTAAATGAAAACATTTGTTCTTTTCACCCTTTTCTAAAAAGTACTTTGGCTAAACTTATCCTATATTTTTAGTTTATTATAACCAGTGAAGAATATGTTCATTTACATTAAACACAGATTTACTATGTACAGGAGAGCTATCAGTAATGTTCAAAATTTACTTAGCTGTTCCTTCAGGCGATCTCTTAAATACCTTAAAGTGTAGAAGACTTATAGGTCACTAGCTTCAGAGTTGAAGAAAAGAAAGCACAGGTAGTAAATTTATATGCCATTGCAAAAATTGTGTAAACTAAGCTGTCAAGGGAAAATGAAGGGATAAACAGAGGAGGGAATGTACCAATCCAGTACGAGAGATAATGGACAAATTTTGAATTTGTGTAGTAGAAGTGTCAATAGCTTGACTTCATATGTTTTTTGCTTTAATTATTATCTATGTTTCTCCTTAAAGGATAGCATGGGGCAGCAAAAACAATCCCTTATTAATTGTTTTGACAATAGTTTTGCAGCAGCAGTGTACTTAAAAGCCGTATAGCTGTATATGGCGAACATATATTTAATATTTGTAATAATTTGATGGGGTTCCCACAACTAGAAATCAATTATGTATTAATTCATTAAGAATTACCTCCATGGGCAGGGCTATTTATTTTCTCTAATAACTACATTAGTTTGCTTTAGCCATGGCACAGCTTTTGTGCCCATGGGGCCCTGTAGAAGTAAAGAGGAAACTGAGAATAATTCCCATCCATTATTCTTCCCTTAACTGTACCTTTTAATATGAAGTAGTAATCTAGAAGAGCCAGGAAATACCAAGAAGCAGCGAGAAACCCTTAATTAAATTGGATAAAAAGGCAGAGAGAACATTGAAGAAACAAGGTCAGTTAAAGGCTGAACATGCTTTTTAGAAATGCTCTATGCAAGGCTGGCTGGGGCTATATTTGGGAATGGGAACATATATAAAATGATGAAATGTTCCTTTGTTGCTAAGGTGAACACAATTATGCCCAGTACTCTACCGTGATGGGCAGATGAGATGTCCTTGGCCTGGCCTCTTAAGAGGTACTTTAATTTTAAATTAGCTTGTATCATTAAAACCAGCAGAGACAATGCTGTGGGCATATGTGGTTATCTGCACATGTAGGAGCACTGGATTGGGTGTTGATCCAGTGTGTTGTGTGCCATTTCAGTGATCCTAAACCTTGATGATACAGGGGATATTCTGTTTGCCTGTTTACTTGAAACTGATGCACATGAATGTAGAAGTTGTAGTCATTTGTAACACTTCAAGGAAAATCCTTGCAAAGCGCTTCTGTGCGTGCTTAAGTGTTTCTGAGTGTTGGTTTTGGACTGTGATACCACTGGAACCTTTTCAGTAGACAACATCTTTAAATTCTGATCACTTTTGCATTGCCCTAGGCATATTTGCTTTTTGATTGATATGATACGTAGACACTCGTAATTTCTAACTCCCTGTAGATTGGAATATTGACCAGAAATACGCCTGTGTTGTAACCTAGAAGTTTTATAGGCAATGTTAGAAATTCACTTGTATTGTAACAATAAGCAGTACTTCACTCTGGCTGGTAATGTAAGTTGGCCTTGCAGAATAGCCTTTTTGATATTCACTCTGCTGGTTAGTGTATTTATTCTCCAGGTTGCACCTGAAAAATAGCAGGCTGGCTCCATCTTCATAAAGTGCCCTCTTTAAGCAGACTTAGCAGTGGGAAAGAGCTGTGAAAAATGAAGTGTAGCAGTCAAACTTGTTTAAAAACTCTCCAAGCTGAATTATAGTTAATAAAGGAGTGTTGTCTTTTCTATCGCTTTCTCTAACAAAGGTATTTTGGAATTAACATAGAAGTAAGTAGTAGTGGGGTAACTTTCTCCACCAATTAGTTCTAACTGGAGCTGGCCTTTTAATGACTAAAACCCTAGTGTATTATCAGCTTACATAAGAATTACAGAAGCCTCTGCCCCATGGATTTCAAGACATATTGGTTGCCGTAAGAAAAACCTAACCCTAAAACAGCTTTTCCATTAAAAACAACACCCTACACTTGTGTTCTACTTTTTGTGGAATACAAGGGTATTCTTATTCTGTTAGTGTTTATCATCACTAAAGCACACTGATAATTAAGATTAGACATATTTCATATGAGAATTGTGTTAACATACATTTGGCCTTGAAAGCTTCCTGTCAGTGCATATAAAAATGGAAATCAGTCTGGTGTTTATCACAAGCTTAAAAGACAAAGGCTGTGATTCTGCATTCAAGCTGCTTAAATCTTAGTGACCTCAATGAAATTTAAGAAGCCTAACTGCAGAATTTCCTGCCAAAATGTGGGCCTAAAGACAGTTGAATTACAGTATTCTGTTTACCTGCAGACCTAGAATCTAGATTTTAATTCCCTCTGGAGTAAGAGAGAAATTCCCACTGAAACATTCAGATACCTTTTCTAAAATCTTCTGCGACCTTTAGGATAGTTTGAAAGGTGCTAGTAGTTGAGCTAAGGTGAAACATTCAAGTAGAATACAAAGGGAGAAGGTTGAACCATATAAAATGAAACTACTAGAACAGGGTATGCCCACCAGCTATTGGGAGTTGAAAGAGACATGTGTTTTGAAGGTTGATCTAAACTGTGTTACATTAACTGTCCGCTCATAAAGTCAAAGAAGAAGCATACATGGTCTTTTCTTCTGCCACCATCCATCTAACACTGGCACTTTTTTGGTGCTGCCTTCAATGTATGCTCCAACTGTAAGCATTTCTTAGTACTGAATTAGTTATTGAACTGAAGGTAATCCTAGTGCAGCAGTTGCCGCTCATTAGTGCAGTGAGAATGAGCGCAACAAATACATATTTTTGGGATGAAGCAGGCCACTTATTTATTTTGGATTATTCAGCAGATAAGCAGTGTTGGCGTGGCAGTCGGGCAAGGATCTGGTCTTCATTTGAATCAGTGTTGGAATAAATACTTCTGCCAGACAGTTGGGAAGCACCCATGAGAGTTGGCCAGCAGTAGACTCTGATGTGGTGTAGACCGGACATCTGGGTTCCCACTGGGCAGCTGGGGGGAGGCCGGGCCCCTTTTGATCTAGGGGTGTGGCTTGATTAGCCCCCCCTCCACCCCAAGACCTCTTATGGAGGTTCTCATTATGTTTAGATCCTGCCCAATGCTGTTCCACCCAAGGTCATCACAAAGTATAGAACGCGTAACAGAATGACCTTGACCATCCTACCCACCTAGTACTCTTGCCAGATCCTGTGGGACCTTGCATGAACTGGCTCGGGAGGCTGCAGCCTGGCAGCTGCCGATCTACCAGACAACGTCATCCCAAACAAAAGGCATGGGAAGCTATGGTATAACATATTGGTCCAACTTTATCTACAGGTTTTGGTCTTACATTTAGGCTGAAACAAACGTGGTATTTCACAAATAGAAATGGGATCCAGACAAAATGTTGCTTGAATGCAGTGAGCAGTTTTTAACAACTCATTTTCAGTGTTAACTTTGAACTTGTAAATTTTATAATTTATATTTTATAATTTTATAATTAACATATACAGTGATGTCTCTCTTCCCCCCTTTTTCTTTTGGCCTGTATTGCTGTGCTGCTGTTGAAATGCATGTATTTTTGATTACACAAATATCCATATCTCTTTCTAATGTGTGCCAGATGTGCTGTTAAGGTGCAGCTTTTACAGTGCCACATTGCAGGAGCCTTTTAAGAAGCAAGCTCCACTGAATTCATTGAGGCTTAATCCTACTTAAGGAGGGCTACAGCTTTGGAGCATCAGTTGTTCTTTCTGTAAGAACAGCTATTGTAGCGAATTAGCCAGGTCTAGACAGATTCATGCATTGTAAAGGCAAACTTATAATGCAATCCTAGTCATATCTATACAGAAGCAAGCTTCATTGAAATCATTTTGACCTGCAGCACAATCCTAGCCATGGCTACATCAATACACGTTCTACTGAATTCAGTGGGGCTTAGTCCCAATTAAGAGGGGTTTAGATTACATCTTTACTCCTAGGTAAGTGTATTTAGGATTTCAGTGTTAGTATAGCAACTAAAATGGCTTTGAATGTGCCCATTTGAAGGAACCAATTCAGTAGCTCTGCATAGTAGCATATGTGTTTGGAACACTTCAAAAACTTTACTGCGAGTTTAACCAACTCAGAGAATCTTGAATGTGGTTAATGAGTTGACATCATGTTTGATCATTCAGAAAGTGTGGTATATATTTAACAGTAGAACTGCTATTTCCGTAAAATGAGTATATTTTTAGTATCTTTTCTTTGCCAGCACTAGATCTGAAAAAAATATTTGTAAGTTGAATATTTGATGAAGTGGAAAATAAAAGCTGAAATTAACACTGTGTTTCTTATACAACTTTAGTTGGAAGTTTAGTTAGGTGTGGAAATCATGAGGTGTGAGTTAGCAACACATTTTAGTGAAGGAAGAGGAAACAATATTTTTCCACCACAGTTTTGGTCTTTAAAAGGCTTCAGTCTGGATCCCAGCGGTCCAAGTCCTGGTATACGCATGCAACAGAATGAGATGGTAGAATGAGGCAGTACCCACTTAAACCTGCAGGTGATAGGGAGTGCCAGGCCCTAAGATGCTAGTTTTCCACTTGCAGAGAAACTTCTGCATAGGGGGATTTTTTAATATTAAAAAAATGATTTATGCCTGCAGCCCATTCTGTGACCTGTCTCTGTCACCTTGTTTTGCTGAATATGCAGACCAGACCTAAGCTGCCCTTCTGCGGCTGTAGATTGCACATAACGACATAGCTAGCTCCCTGAATTATCACTTCATTGTCATGTCCTATACACTTGAAATGAACTGATAGATTATTCTCAATTTGTGAACAAAGTAGGAGACAGTATGAATGCAGGTGGACAGTAATTGAACATCATGCACCATTTGCAAGGTGTTACTAATCCTGTAGGGGCAGAGCTGTTTTGTAACCAGAATTTAATCTGTATTGTTCTCTACACAATTATTTTGTTATGGTATGCAGTGCCATGATCAACTTCAGGTGAGGAAACTTCAGTTAATTTAGGGTAACCAATTTGTGTGTTTATTAAAAAATAATAATCCTATAATCTATATTTTACCATTTTAATTTGAGATTTCTTTGTAGGATGAGGTGCACATAGGAAGAAAGGAAACACCGTTTATATTGTATGGTTATATTGGATACAACTGTAGTTTAAACTTGAATATCCCAAGTTTACCTATTTGACTGTCACAACTTCAGCTGTCTTGGGAATCAGATATTGGCTTTGATAGAATATAATTAATTTTGTATACCTTAATATTTTCAGGGTGAAATTTTGCATGACAATTAGTATACACATTTATAATCTCTATATTTGAAAATAGTTTCTTATTGGCTTGACTTGTTCATAATGATGAAACCTTGTTTGTATAACATAACATAACATAACATAACATAACAACACAAGTGCTCCTATTTTCCTCTGTCAAAGTATATATTAGAAGGCTTTATTACTGCCTTAAACGTCCAGCTGACTGTAACTGAACGGTCATTTAGAGTTTTATGCAGGAAGTATAATCCATTTGTAATATGTCATCTGCTGTTTGTTCTTCAGTGTAGCATTCGCCTGTGTTGTTACATGCTGCTCACAGTTGACAGCAATGAAGTATTTCATTCACGTGCAAACTTAAGTTCATCTTTGCAAAACTTGCTGGTTTAGCAATATACCATCTTGTCTGCCTTTCAAAAGCTTTAGAATAACTGAAAAGTTGCAGCAGTAGGTGTTTGGTATCTCTGTGCAGATCTTGTGCATTTTTTGCCCTTGGAATATACTTTTCATACCTAGAGCTATGCTGGAGTCATGACCCTTAGACCATGTGTATACCATGCCATCCCTTTGGTTAGTGTTCTTTTCATCATGGTACACAGTGCACCTCAAAGCACCAAAAATGTATTCAGCTTCACCTGCTCCTGAGCATTTCAGACTCCTGAGAAATGCTTTAGTTACCATGGGACTAGATAGCTGCCACATCCTTAAATGGGGTTGCCTTTAAAATTGTCTACAGAAGCTCCAATTTGTTCAGATGCAGCAGCTAAACTTACTGGAGTTGTTTGTTGTTGGGACATTTAGTTTTCATTTTGCAACAACTGCAACTCAGAGCCTTGATGATGACCTTTTAAAAGCCCCAAGTGACGTGAATGTTGGTTACCTAAAGGTTTTCTCCTCCCATACCATCCTGCCTATTCCTTCAGACCTTCTAGAGTGGGCTCTCCATGTCACAGCAATGACCTAGGCACAGTTGGTTGCAATGGCACATGGAAAAGATCCTTCTCCATTTGTGTACCTAAATAGCAGAACTTCTTACCTCAGGAGATGCATTTAGCCTCTTTTTATTGGTCTTGTGCCACCAGCTGAAGACAGTTCTTTCCCCGCAGGCATTTGCCAAGCAGTATAATATAATATTAGTGCACTGATCCCTGGTTTTAAAGTTTCCTTTATTTGCTGGCAGTTCTTTTTTATTTAATGTGAGGTTTTCCTTTTTAAAAAAGTGTTAGATCTTATGTTTTAATATTGGAGGGTAGATGCATTTATTTGATACATCTAATAAAGAAATAAAAAGTAGTATTGAGATTGGCGCCTTTTCATTTCCCCCCATAAGTGATCTAGATTCAGAGGTAAAAATAAGACAGTCAAGTCTTATTTTCCCATCAGAGCAGTTTCCGCATGTGCTGTAGATGGAAGTGAGTGGCACATGGGGATTGTCAACCTGGGAAGGTAGCTCACCTAGGAGAAGGAAAACTAATCCTAAACCTCCGCTGCCTTACAGGATATCTTTGGGAGACGAAAAGGCTAAGGAGTAAAGCCTACACAAATCCACTGTAGAGTTTCTAAGATGGTTGGATGGCTCCTTGTACGCTTCATTCTGTCAGCTGCTCTAGCCAAGCTGAGGATACCATGCTCAGTGATATAAAACACCACGTCAAGGTCCAGAAGTGAGAACCAGGTTGCAGTCCCACCCCCACCCCCCGGTCGTGATCTCTGTAAAGGTTCCATGGACAGACCATAACCCAAATAGAAATGGATCTCAATAGAAGTGCTATCCAAGAATGCTTGCAGCTTGCCCTATCACAACACTCTCCACCACATTCCCCTAAGGGGGTTTTGTGACGGTTAGTTTTTCTGTTCAAGGAGTCGAGGCACTGTATTTTAAAAATGTCATCTATTAAATAAATATTGCTGGAATTTTAGTGAGCATCTGTAATTACAGGTGTGATAGTGTTAAACTTCTAAATATAACCATATATCACCAGAAATGTTTTCAAAGGCAAAACAAGTAACATCTCAACTGATCTGTAGAAAATGTAACTTGGAAAGAGACATTGCACATACTTTTGTAAACCAAGTTTTTTAAAATAAAAATAAATTTTAAAACAAAAAAAAATTAGATACTACTTAATTGTAAACAAAACATGTAAACTGATTTAGTAGTATTCCCCAGTTTTGCTGGGGAAACTTGAGTAACAGTGCCATGATGTTCAACTGATAGAAGTAGAAAATAAATATTCTTGTGTTCATCCAGGTAGTGGTAATATCAGTGATAGTAATATCTGACTACATAAAGTATTTGGTGTCATTTGTGCCCTCTTCTCAGCTTCTTCCACAATTTAACATTTTGGCACACCTTTTCCCCTCTAAATTTTGATTTCTAAACTTTCCATCATTTCAGCTCTCCCCACCCCCTTTAAAAATAGTTGTGAATATGTTTCAGACCATGGGTAGGCAAACTAAGGCCCGGGGCCTGGATCCGGCCCAATCGCCTTCTAAATCCGGCCCGCAGATGGTCCAGGAATTAGCGTGTTTTTACATGAGTAGAATGTGCCCCTTTATTTAAAATACATCTCTGGGTTATTTGTGGGGTCTGCCTGGTGTTTTTACATGAGTAGAATGTGTGCTTTTATTTAAAATGCATCTCTGGGTTATTTGTGGGGCATAGGAATTCGTTCTTTTTTTTTCCAAAATATAGTCCCGCCCCCCACAAGCTCTGAGGGACAGTGGACTGACCCCCTGCTGGAAAAGTTTGCTGACCCCTGTTTCAGACCTAGATTACATGTCAAAGTGTGCACCAGTGTATATCCAAAGAATCATAACTCTAAAACAAACATTTCAGTATTATCGAATGTTTCAATTCTAAGGATCTGTTTTAATAATATATATTTTTATGTCCTACCTTTCTTTCATCGTGGAAATGAAGGTTGCAAGCAAAGGAGTCCCAAGTGAGCTCCCACCCAGAGCATTCATCAGATGCTGCTTCAGCAAAGTTGTTACAGTGGTACCTCGGGTTAAGAACTTAATTCGTTCTGGAGGTCTGTTCTTAACCTGAAACTGTTCTTAACCTGAAGCACCACTTTAGCTAATGCGGCGTCCTGCTGCGCCGCCAGAACACAATTTCTGTTCTCATCCTGAAGCAAAGTTCTTAACCCGAGGTACTATTTCTGGGTTAGCGGAGTCTGTAACCTGAAGTGTCTGTAACCTGAAGTGTATGTAAACCGAGTTACCACTGTACTTCATTCCCTTCCAACCATGCTCACATCAGTCCATACATGAGACTTTATTTATTTTACAGTGAATTAGCACTTTAGATGGCCATGTCTCTTCCACAAGTAGGAAACACTAAAATACTTTCTATCTTCATCCTAGATCTGCCAGATAAACTGGTTGTAAATACTTTCCCAAGGAACGGTTTGTTATTCTGTTTCAAACTCGTAATTGGTGCCTGCCTGTTAAAGGCCACAATTCATTCTAAGGTTGGATATAGGAGATAAAAAGATATGTATTTGGTGAGACAGGATTATATGTTTTTATTTCCAGGTATTTGGTGAGAGAAAGTAGTATGTTTTTATTTCCAGGTTTTAGTATTAAGTGCCCACTAAAGGAGCGACTCATACATTAGATGGCCGGACATTATACGCTTGCACTGCTTTCTGCAAATTTCACTCTAGCCCCAATTCCCTTCCTAAGAAATCACTGCTGATGTTGTTCTGCGCTACTTTTTCTTTTTCTCTCTCAAGATACTTACTTGTACAGAATCAAATACATTATCATTAATCACACTGTTTTCAGTTTCATCAAATGAAAGTGTGTTTTAGGACTGGGTAACGGGGGAGCAGAAATAGATCATTAGCATTGCCCATTGCTTTGTGGATGTGTAGTACCTCAAGGTTGTATCCAGTCCTACTCAGAGTACACCCATTGAAAGTAATGGCCTTCTCTGAGCGTAGTTTACTTGGATACAATCCATGATGTTGGGCTCACCACCCATTCATACTTGACTATGGATTAAGAAACCCCATTTTCTCCGATAAAAATGGTCTTGTTTAATTGGACTAGAGGTCTGTTAAGAATAGCATTGTCTGTGATGGTGTCCAGTCTCGTGTCACAAAGATGTTTTCAAACAGGACAGAATGATTGTCAACCTCTTATTTGTCCCCAGCAACTGGCAGTAGAGGTTTATCACCTTGGCACATGTATATTTTCTTTCTGGCTTTGACGGCAAATATCCCTTGATTATGTCGTCTGAAACATACTTAGCCTTGTGATCATCACTTTATTCTGTGACGGTGAATTTTGTTGGGTTGTTACTCAGGTGGAGGTGGGAAGAAGGTGCCCCCCCGGGTCTACTACACTGAAGGAATTAAATCTGAAATCTAAATATATGAATGACATGTTCTGCTATTAAACTGTTTGTCATTGAACTATGACCCTTATGTCCTTTATTTCCTAGCAGTAGAAGATTACAACAGATAGTTAAATTCTCATCTCCCAAGTACTTAGGAAAGCAACACTGACCCTGTATGAGGATAGTTATGGTGCAACCATTATAAAATTAACTTACTTGCTTGCTCTTATCTATCTATCTGAAGATAGTAGCATAAAGATATAAAATGAAAACACAAAATAACTTAATAAAACCCCAAGACTCACAACTGAGATTGCCTCTTGCCTCCTTAGCAACCTCAGCATTTTCTAGCTGGTCACGGGCTAAGCCATTTGCAAAGTGTTTGCAGAGATGGCCTATGTATTCATACATTTCTGAAATTTAAATTTATTTTTTTTAGATAGGTGGCGGAAATTGAAAGCTCACCTTCCCATTGTGCATAGTTTGTTGGAGAGATTTCAGGAGTTAAAACATGAGAGATCTGATCATAAGAACATAAGAAGGGCTTGTTGGATCAGACCAGTGGCCCATCTAGTCCAGCATCCTGTTCTCACAGTGGCCAACCAGGGGCCTATGGGATGCCAACAAGCAGGATTCAAGCGCAGGACCACTCTCCCCTCCTGTGATTTCCAGCCACTGGTATTCAGAAGCATTACTGCCTCAAACTGGAAGCATAAAATCCTATTTTTAAAGATAGAAGTTCTCAGCATTGTGATGCTGTTCGTATATGTCATTCTTCAGACTCTCATCTCTGCAGATACTTGCTTGAAGTACAAGGAACACTGTAGTTAAACAAAACAAAAACAGCAAAAGATTGTTTAATACAGTGGTACCCCGGGTTACAGACTCTTCAGGTTACGTACGCTTCAGGTTACAGACTCCGCTAACCCAGTAATAGTGCCTCGGGTTAAGAACTTTGCTTCAGGATGAGAACAGAAATTGTGCTCCGGCGGCGCTGTGACAGCAGGAGGTCCCATTAGCTAAAGTGGTGCCTCAGGTTAAGAACAGACCTCCAGAACAAATTAAGTTCTTAACCTGAGGTACCACTGTAATTTTAAACAAAAAATGAATTTCTTGGCTAGAAAGCAAGTTTATTTCCGAATGCAAACTAGATAACAACAGAAAAGTATGTGAGCTGTAAAAAGGTTCACTCCATGCACACTCTGAGCAGCTTCTAACACATGCAGGGCAGCCACATTGAAAGAGAAATGGTACGATTGCTAATGCCTGCACTGTATCTTCCTTGGCTTCTCCCCCTCATGACATTTACGCTGCCATTGGCAGGCAGTTTTAAAAATTTAATTGCTACTGGAATTTCTGAGGGAGCAGATAGTAAGAGAAGATTTTACTCCTCCTGCATTCTGTGGTGTCCTCTCCATCCCTGCCCCCCAAGCCTGAAGTTTTGGGATAGTTTTTTTGGTAGACAGGTTCTGCTCTATCTGTTCATTCCTCCTTGGGCCACTTTCAGAACCTAGGTGATGGGTGTGTCTGACCTCTCTAGAGAGGCAGAGCTCAACCCAGTGACTGACAGCTCTGAGATGGGTGGCATTAGAGGTACAGAGGAAGTGTTGGAGATGAAAGCAGGGCTGAAGAGGGAGGGAGGGAGGGCTTGGGGTTCTTGTCACAGGGACAGGCAAGGCGAGCAGGTTGAGGGATCCTCCACTTGGCTCATTTCCAGTATCCTCACTGTCGGGCTCCCCCAAGTTGGGCACCTCCCCAGGGTCCCTACAAACCATCTACAGTGGTACCTCAGGTTACAGACGCTTCAGGTTACAGACTCCGCTAACCCAGAAATAGTACCTCAGGTTAAGAACTTTGCTTCAGGATGAGAACAGAAATCGGGCGGCGGTAGCGGGAGGCTCCATTAGCTAAAATGGTACCTCAGGTTAAGAACAGACCTCCAGAACGAATTAAGTTCTGAACCCAAGGTACCACTGTACCTGCATCGTCCTGATTTGACCAGCCCATGACTGTGTGTGTTTGTGTGTGTGTGTGTGAGAGAGTGAGAGAGAGAGAGAGATAGTTCCACTCATCATTGGCATGTGACCCCCAATAAGTTAATCACCAGGGAATGTTGACCTTGGACAGAAAAGAGTTCCTCACCTATGATGAGTGCAGCAAACTCAACAACACAAGAATACCTGTTTGCTAATATGAACAGAGACTATGCAGACAGTGGTCATTTTTGCTGTGGTTAATTAAAAATATATGTGCTATTTTTGTCTTGGAACAAACTCTTTAAAAGCCGAAGCTCTGTGGTTATGCTAGAACTAGCTCAAGAGTGCAGTCTATGTAGGGATTTGTAGCTAACACTGTTTAATTATAATAAATATTGGAGTAAATTTGTCAAATATATCTTTGTCACATACATAGTTTCTGGGATAATTCTTTTTCTGTGAGCAACACCTTGGTGAAAAATCAGGCTTTTATTGTGAATTTTGTCAGCATTTTGACTAAAATAAGTTTATTGATGCTCATAGGTTGCATATGGCTATGGAGCACTGGTGATTATCAGAAGGCACATAATTTTTGCTTTCTAATTCTCACAAATTTTACACATCAAGAGCCATCTTGGATTTGTCACACTTGGAAGGTAATAGTTGCAGGCCCCTAATAGCATACAGTAAGTTGGACATACCTTACAGATATAGTCTTGTATCTTTCTAGATAATGAAAATGACGAGTAAATGAAGCTTGTATATAAGTAAATTACTTGTACACTTCTTGCTCTGCTTTGTTTCCAACATGTCCTTCAGGACTCACTAGTCCCAGTCTTGACTTGCTCTGTGACCATGACTGCAGCAATAGCTTCACAGCATCTACACTGCTACCATTTGTCTCACCCTCCTGGTAAGGTTGTGTCTCTGCTGGTTCACCAGTGGAGCCAATTTGGTGCTCCCACCGGTGTGCAGCAGTAACCATGCTGTCACCTTGTAAGCAGCTACTGCTGGGGGCTATTAATATGGCTTTGTCCATCAGATAGAGCCGCTCCTGTCTGGGTGGCTCTCTCAGTAGCAGAGCAAGGGCTAATGCAAATGTAATATCATGTGAGATAGAGATGGAGCAGAAGTTTTATTCAATTCTTATGTCTGATTCAGTTCTTAGCTGTGATACCTGCAGTCCAATGACTCTTGGGACACTGTTCTATGATTCTCATTTAAAGGCAGACCTACCTAATTTGCACTTTTCAAACTGAAGCACAGCCATCTTTTAAAATTCTGGGACTTTCTGAATGCAGAACACAGGCTGTACCATTGAGCTACTGCCCCTCTGATTGGATTCTCCCTTTTCAATGACTTCTGTTATACTATGGAAAAATAAAAACCAGCAGGAGATCTCATCAAGTCTTGTTTGGCCCTATCGTTATGCTAGGATTCTTTTTAAAGAAAATTGTAGCCATAAGCATATGCTTCTCTCTTTTTTGGAATTGATATTGGCCTAATTCAATGATGGCCAAACTTTCCCCTCCAGCTGTTTTTGGACTACAACTCCCATCATCCCTAGCTAACAGGACCAGTGGTCAGGGATGATGGGAATTGTAGTTCCAAAACAGCTGGCGGGCCAGGTTTGGCCATCACTGGCCTAATTCATGCACCACATTAAAGTATAGTAGAAACAAATGGTCATTTTATGTGAGAGTGCAGTCTGCTGCTGGAACACTCTCGTTCTGCTCTGGACCCTACTCTTGTTGTCTTTGCTTGTTGTGTCTGAAGCCAGGCAGACTCACAAACCAAAAGTGATAACCCAACAGTTTGATGGAAACAAACCAAGAGCTTGGATTTGGATTGTTGTGACAAACCAGACTCTGGCTTGTTTCTGGCAGTGCAGCAGAAGCAGAGCAATAACTTTTCAGAAGCATGTACGTTAAGATACAGTTTGTTCTTGATTTAATATGATGTGCAAACCAGTCCATTTCTCTCATGCAATATGTCAAAAACCAACTAATGTAACTGAGACAGAAGTAGAAATGCAAAAGTAGAAATGCGAGTCTGGGATCAGAAATACAACCTGTTCTGGTACTTTTTCTAAAGGATTAGTTTAGAGGGGTTTCTGGATGTACAGACAGCTGCAATATCTAGGAATGCCTTTCCCCAGCTTTGAGTGGCGTACAAGTGCACACATTCCTGAAGAAAGCAGATCATCCATTGTTACACAGCCATTAATCTTATCCAGTGATATGAGAGCCAGTGTGGTGTAGTGGTTAAGAGTGGTAGTCTCGTAATCTGGGGACCGGGTTCGCGTCTCCGCTCCTCCACATGCGGCTGCTGGGTGACCTTGGGCTAGTCACACTTCTTTGAAGTCTCTCAGCCCCACTCACCTCACAGAGTGTTTGTTGTGGGGGAGGAAGGGAAAGGAGAATGTTAGCCGCTTTGAGACTCCTTAGGATAGTGATAAAGTGGGATATCAAATCCAAACTCTTCTTCTCTTCTTCTTCTTCATCATCCATATTAGATTATGGAAACACGCTGCATGTGAGGTTGTCCTTGAAAAGTGTTCAAAAACTCCAGCTGGTACAAAACATTTTGGCCAGAATAATTTCTACTGTTCACTTTTCTGACCATATTACTTTGGTCTTGCTTAAATTACACTGGCTTCCACTTTTGTTTCTTGCTCCAATTCAAGGCACTTGTTATTGCCTACTTTGGGCTGCCTTTGAAGATGACCTGGAAACTTCAGTTGGTCTAAAACGCAGCAGCCAGATTACTGGCTTGGTTTCCATTTAGAGCTTATAAACCGTGTTTTAGAACAGCTGCATTGATTGCCTGTTTCCTGGCCCAGTTTAAGATGCTCATGCTAATGTTTAAACCCCTAAATGACTTAGGTCCCAATAGCTGAAAGATTGCCTCTTCCCCTACAGATCTTCTTGGATTTTAAGTGGTTCAAATGCCCTCAAAATCTTGAGGGTTGTTGGCCCAGGAGAGAAGATTCTCTCTAGCATCCCTGAAATTGTGGAATTTCTGCCTAGCATAGGTGCATCTGTTACACAGTAATATATCATGGCTGAAGATGCACCTATTTGCTCTGGCCTTTGACACTATTATATATGATTTTAGAAAGCAATTTACAATGATATGAAGGCATACTTACCCCATAAAATACAATATAAAACCCTGTAAACGTTTAAAACATAAACTTCAATATATTTTTGTTATTTATAGTTCAATTATTATGCAGGTATTTTGCCTGTTACGGTGCCCAGTAGTATGAAACCATAAAAGTGCCAATTTTTAACTTACTCATGTTACAGGCTGAATCTTACATTTTATATAAAAGTTGTAACGTTTTGTCACTCAAAACTTTAGACATTGATAAGCATCTGTTAGACCAGAAGCTTGTAATTTTTCTTGACAAGTTATTTCTGCAACTAGGAAGTTCTGTTTTTCGCTAGGGTTCTTTGGAAAAATGTTGATGATACCCTCATACATTTTTGCAGGTTGTTGTGTCAAAATGCAGAGGGTTAAAGATTTATTTTGGGGATATTGGATTTGCCTGGAGGCAGAAATACTCTGAAACCTAGTTTTCCCCTTTTATTTGGAGTTCATAATGTATTTATTAAGTAAATAATAGCAAGTCTTGTTGTGCAGTACAGAAGCGTTAATAAAAATAGTAAATGACATTGAAACATGGCAGTTTTGTTATTGAGAAGGAAATACACTTTTGAAGGTCCCACAGATAAGCTTTTATATTATTTCCATGGCGTTTTTTTTCAGATACCAGCCTACTTAAGCAAGAATAAGTTTATTGATTGATATATTAAGAGGTTATACCCTGTCCTTGAAGCACAGTATCAGGATTACTTCCAATAAAATAGTGAAACACTATGCAATAGCTAACACATATCAAGAAGACATTGATTGCACAATCTAAACAAATTTAAGCATTTATCCCAATGTTTTAAATAGAAGAAATTAAGTATTTGTTGAAAGCTTATGTCCACTTCTCTAGGAATAAGCCCCTGTGATCTTATTGAGACTTCCTTTTGAGTTTGCATGTATGAGATTGTGTTGTAACTCACCCTTTCAAATCAACACTCGTGAAAACCTTGGATTTGGATTTACCTTATACTTGAGGGGCATTTCTGTTTTGGTCAGAGTGTGACATGAGAGATTGGCTGGAGGTAAGAGAGAAGACATTAACTGATGTGATTTGATCACAAGGATCATCAGTATATCCTTTTGTTTTCTTCTAGTATTTTTCTAACATTTTGGCTAGAGGAAATAAGGGTTTATCATGTCTGCACAAGATGAAGGATTTGGGGGTCTCACATTTTAATTCTTCATTTCCTAGAGTAGTAATGCTATATCAGCAACTGAGGATGGGTGACTATGTTAATTTTTGGCTTCTTATTTTTTTGCAATATTAAGTTCGATTCGTCACATTTTCAAATCAGGTTGTAATTTTTTTAATGCAAATTTCTCCTAATATACAATTTTTTGCACGGATTCTTTTTAACATGCATTTTTTTTTGCAAAGTATTTGTATTTTTCACTAATGAATGCATTTATATGCACACTGTACCCCACTGTAGGCATATTTTACATATTACATGACTGGAGAACAATATTGCAAACATTGGAGATGTGAATTGTGGAGGATGGCTGTGTTATAGTTTGCATATTATTTCAAAAAGTGTGAATTGGGTAAATTAGCTTTTAAATGCAAACTGAATCCATTTTCTCCCACATCTCTTATCAGCCACAAAGGAAGAATCAAGAAGCTGCCAAAGTGTGTGGCACAAAAAATTAGGAGTATCTCACCACCTAATTTACTGGAATCTGAAGACTTCCCGGATGGGGTGGGGGATCAAGAATACAATTTCCCAGTGCAATATTATTGGCAAAGTTCATTTCAGCTTTTTAGAAGTATAGTTGGAGTGAGACCTCTGTGATGCCAGGTGTTGTACAAACAAGAAGGGAGTTTGTTTGTTTGTTTGTTTGTAAAAGGAGCATGCAAGGGACCACAGGTCGGCAGTTGACACTACTAAAGTCATGATGGGTGGAACTAATACCCCTAGATTGAGTTTATCATATTAACTTAATTACTTAGTGTGTGTTTAAAATACTTGATTAATTGGACATGGGTTTTCTGTCTATTAGCTGTAACTTGGACTGAGTTAATATAGGGATTCAGACTGGATTCAGATAATCAAGAAAGGAGTATAACTGTAGATTCAGGTAGGTAGCTGTGTTGGTCTGACGCAATCAAAATATATAAAAATATTTTAAAAAATTGTCCAGTAGCACCTTAGAGACCAACTAAGTTTGTTCTTGGTATAAGCTTTCATGTGCATGGTATCTGAAGAAGTGTGCATGCACACGAAAGCTTATACCAAGAACAAACTTAGTTGGTGTCTAAGGTGATACTGGACAATATATATAGGAGTATAACTGTGTTTTGTATTTTGTTTTAAATGCGTGGACTAGCTACCGTAATCTTTCAGCTACAAGTCAGGTTCTGAAACATGGATGCTATACATGCTGTAGTTTGCAATTGCAGAATAGAGCACAGTGTTGAAAATAATTATTTTAAAGGAGTGCATTTCTGCAAGTCTTAAGTTTGCAATGGGTCCCCTCTGACACTTTGTTCTGACATGCAAAAGCATGTTTGAATGATAATGAAAGAATTGCCTTTGACAACAGAATGCTGCATTATTTATCAGTGTTTATTTTATGAAATAATTTTCTAAGTCTGTTCATTAATTAACATTTAGAAATAATATGAAATTATAGTTAATGAATTTTTGATAAGTTATATTTTACCACAGTGACTTTCCTTGCCATTATAAACTTTCACAGTCCCTTTGAGTATTTCCCCTCCCTTTTAATTTCAGAACCCATCCAACCAATTTGGAAGTGATTCCATTTTATTACCATATTTCCCAGTTCCCTTTGCTCACTTAGAAATTGCTAGTTTGTGAATGCTTGTCAAACTTGTTTTAATAATTTTGGGGGGGTTACTTTTGTTGCTCATTCAGACATACTTTCCTATTGGAAATAGATGTTTTCATGTACATGCACAAGTCAGATTGGGATTTAATAGATTTTATTTCTACAATGTGAGGTTCTTTCCAGTTCAATACCCAGATGTTGCTTGACATCTGAGAATATTAACATTTTTTAAGAAAATGAACATTTCCCTGTATTGATCAGGGGCAGTGGGAGTTGTAGTCCAATAACGTCTGGAATAAGCCACATTGGCAACCTCTTCTTTAGGCTATGGGGCAACTGAGTTTAGAAGCTGCAATAAAGGTTATTGTAATTTAAGTTGTCCTTGTTGATACCACCACTTTGCCAAATAAGTGGAGATAACGGGAAGAGGGAATGTAAAGAAAAGAGGCAAGAGTAACAGGATGGATATAGAGTAACAGGGAGAACCACCTATCCACCTGCCATTATATTTTTCCAAGTGATTGTTCCTCAAGCCACTCTTCCCTTGCAGGGTTCCAGACATATAGTTGTATATCCTGTGAGATTTCAGGCATATTTGCAATGGTGTGTTGTCTCTGAAAAATTCCATCTACTGCGAAGTGCACAGCAGTGCCCCAATTCAGCTCCATCTAGGTTTGGAAACTCCAGTATGCACATGATGCTTGTGCATCCTGAAGGCTTTCTTGCTAACTTAAATAGAGAGGGATGGGCTGTACCAAGTGTTCAACATGAAGTGTGTATGGGAATAGGAAAGTCCACTTATCAGGAGCTCTATGTGTGTCTGGGTGTTAGGCTTTGAATTACAATATTCTGGTCCTTGATGCTCCGTGGAACAGCATACTGCATCTGCCCCACCATTTTATTGCTGAGCATTGTTTGAAGAAAAAGGAAGGGTGTTCCAGGAAAGGGCAGAGAATTAGAGGCTAATTCTTAGGTGCAGCACTTGCATAAGGCAAATGGAGCTCCATTTCCTCTTCTCACCTTTTAGTCCAAACTTTTTGTTGATGGACAGGGGATAGGAGAGGAACAGCTTTCTGTTCTGCACAGATAGCTCTTTAAACATGGGTCAAAAAGTGGCAACTCTACATGAAGTATATACAGGCTGACTGTTGACTTGTCTGTCTTATTTAAAGGAATGCGGATTTTTGCTTCTTGAATTGTTTTGCTGGTCCACAGCATCCATCAGTATTTAGATTTGAAATCTGCTTGATGCAGCTGTGTGAGCACTGGGGGGGGGGGTATGTTCAGTTGAATTGGGACTCTAGAATACAAATGGAGATTTAAGGTTTGAAATGTGGGTAGGAGCAGGGGGGGGAATGTTGCTTTAGCAGCCGCTCATATTGCCATAGCCTTTTTGTAGGAGGAAGAGCCAAGGCAGAAATTTCCTGAATGGCTGTGAGTCCTGGGAGAGCTGTTCCCTGCCTTTCAGGCCTTTTCTTACCTGGCTTGGGAGGGTGGGGCCCTGACTGATTCCAGCTACAAAAGCTGAAGCTGCTGAACAGACTCTTGGGCTGGGCTTTTGTTTGGGGGGCGTTTTCTGTTGAGGGAGGTTCTTGCTGTTGGCTTTGTCTTTATTTTAGATCTTGTTCTGATTTATGTGGAAATTATTCAGGTTTGTTATGTATTTTGGTTGTGTACTGGTAGTAAGATGGAGCCATTACCTTGATCTTCTACATCAGTGGCTCCCAACACAAACACCACCACCACCACCAAGAGATCGCTTGAAAATTACTGAGGGTCTTGGTGGAGCACTTAATGATTTTTATGCCTGTTGCAGCTATTATAACGTGCACTGCTAGATCATAAGGATATATGTCCAGTGCCTTTGCTATACCTGTTGCACTGTATAGGCACATCCTCACTTGCACATGATCAGCACACGTGTGATGGCTGACACGTGTGTTGTTTTCAGTGCCAAAAGGGGGTGGGGGCGGAATGGACTTGGGCATGTCCAGGAACAGACTCCCCTGCATAACCAGGATTCCCCTGTAGTCCATGAAGTTGTGGCCCAATTTAATCCAATAACAGTTTGTGTCTGTCATTAATTGCCACCTGCTCCTGCGCTGCCAGCTCCACTGTTCTTAGGTCTGCAAAGTGGTCTTTACAAATTGGTTCTCAGAACTGCACTTTGTGGTATATGTGCTTCCTGTGTTTATATCTAGAATACTAATGCAAAGATTGCATTCCAGAATTTCAAAAACCAACATCGAGTTAAACACCGAGAATAATCGTATTCTGATTTTGCTAGCACTCTTAGAATTTGAAGCAGAGTATTAAGCAGTAGGCTAAATCCCCCTTACTTCCACAACTTCCAATATCATGTATGTGGTCTTTCTGAAACAAGAAAGCTCTTGAGAAAAGCTTTTGATTACAAGTGGTGCATGAAACAAAATACTGCAATGTGGAGTGCTTCTGCCTAAGATCACAGCCAGCTGTGCCCTCACCCAGTTTCAGCCCCTTCCCCGTTTCCATCCTCGCCCTGCCAGTCAGCATTCCATGCCTGCTGAGCCATTGACATTAGACAATGTTATTTGCATGAATGGTGTTGCTTTGGCTGCGTAACAGTTGGCAGGTTGAGAATGAGTTTGCCATAACTATACATTGGTCTCCGCCCCTGCGAGGCAGCTTGCCCACCTTCCCAAGTCCCTTGCCCAGTGCTTCCCAAGCATCCAACAGCCAGCTGGTTGCCAGGCACTTGGGAACCGCAGTGTAAGGGTTTGTGCCAGCCCTGTGCTTGGCATTTTCCAAGTGCTGAACACATGGCTGGCAGAGCTACTTTCTGCAAGGATCAGCTGTGCTAGAGTTTCCTACAGGGAACCAGTTTGCATATTTTATCTGGCAGACTTGAAGACATTGCCCACCAGCTGATAGGTGGTGACTTCAACCCTGCTTTGTGCATATACTGGCTGCATGATAAAGTTCTCCACAGGGAACTCGGTCACACAGCTGGCCCAGTTGTGCCTCTGCCCCACACCTGATGTCACATATGATATCATATTAGGCAGGTATGTATATTTTGGAGGGGCAGATTGGAACCCATGCCTTGCCTAACTTCCTCACCCCCGTGTCTTTACTTTTTCTACCAAGTCAGCAAGTCCCCCCCCAAACAGACCCTAAGATAGTTTTTCTGAGGCTTGTAAGAAAATTGTTCTCCTAGCCATTTTTGCAAGAGGAAGTGTCATCTTCCTGGTGGTAATTCTATTATTTCAAAAGATGCAGTGAACCTTCCTGTAAAGTGGCTGTCCAGTTCAAAGGGTAACCATCCATTGATGACTAAGGATTCCTTGGGAACCCAATAAATATTATGATTTTTCTCCTACTCCTATGCATCAAGAAGATTCTGATGCGGCAAAGGATGTGTCTATGCATGCATCAAAAGATGATGATGACAGAGCTGTGGCTTCCCGCTTCCTAACATTTGCAGTCCTGGTGAATATTTGTGAGAATTTCACACAAGGCAGCATGCACCTTACGTTCACAAACCTGTCTATGAACAAATACAGTTTGTTAATTGGTTGTTGCAGAGTAGTTTGTGTCATCAGTAGTTTGCCCCCAACTATTTTATGTTCCTTTTGCACAATATCTTGCATAATGAAAGCCTAACTAATTTCCTTTCATTTACTCATATGTAAAATTTAGTTCTGAACTTTCATTGCTCTTGGCCTATGTAAGGAGACAACTTTGAAATCCGTAGCATTTGAAAATTGTAGGTTATGCTCAGAACCATGTTTTTGTTTTTTTTCTTCTATGATAAGAATAGAACTGTTAAATGCATTAGTTTGCTGTCATAACTCACTATGGCATACCCAATAATAGTGTGATGGAACAGTGAGAGATTGTTCTTAGAAATAAAGTTAAAGCATCTTTAGGACCAGGTGGGGTCACTAGGTCTAGAGGTGGTAGCTCTCCATTTGAATTATTTTAAAAGACTGAAAGAGTGCACAACTTTTCTGCCCTCCTCTTTCAGTTCCTTTGCCCATCTGCTGTGGAAGATAGGACACTGGTTTTGCACAGTTGGTAAAAGGAAATAATGATAGCATTTCCCTTTTTCCAATCCCCACTTCTTTCAAGTTAAGAAAAGCAAACATCCCTAGATCACAATCAGCATAAGTGTATGATAGAAGGTTCAGGACAGACAACAAGAAGTACTTTTTCACGCCGGCTATTTTATTCAGAGGGCTAGTGCACACATGTCTTGCTTGCATAGTTCCCAGAGGCTTCTCGTTGGCCACTGGGAAACAAAATTCTGAGCTAGATAGGTATTTGGTCTGATCTAGCAGGTAATTTCTTACGTCTTAATGAATTATGTTGAATAATTCTGTATGATTTTAAAGCTTGCGTATCCTTAAAAGAAGAGAAGTTGGCTTAATAAGAGTTTTACATTCCCCATCTTGTACCCCCCTTTTAAACAAACAAACAAAGTGAAGAGGTTCTTCCAGTTTCAGCAAAAGTGGGGCTGTTTACTTGTGCAACATTAGCTCAAATATATAAGTACTTGCAGTTTTAGGCCTTTAGTGTAAGAATAAATCAAAAGAAGCCCTTGGTGATAAATGTAACTGAAGAATCCAGGCCTTTCAGTGATACAAGTAAGTGTGTTCGGTAGAGACTTGAGAGGTTATTGCTTCAAGCTGATCACAGTCACATCTTTCTGTAGCTTGAATGCCCTAGATAAACCTGTCACAGCGCTGGGTGTTACAGTAATTAAATAGCTAATGTATTTTTACCTTTTCAGTTTCTACCTCTATATGGGACTCTTCCACTTAAATGGAACTATGATTTTAATCATAGTCATTATACCTTAAATCAATTAAATTGGTGTGGTGTAAATACACATTTGTGAAAAAGGTTACACCAGGAAAAGAGAAATTAGCTTTTCATTAACAAAAAAAGGAGGAGAAAAAATAGACGGGGAGGTTTTATTTGCCTCTGCATCTTAGTATGTGCTCTCTGCCAAAGACTAGCATGACCTACTTTACAACAATAGCAGAAGAATCAAGCTGGGTTTTTTTGTTAACTGTCTTAAATTGGCCATGAATGCTACCTACGTATTCATTTGTAAGTATCTTTTTAAAAATAGCAACTGTATCTCAGACTTTCAAGATGGTATTTCCCTCCCTTTTCCTTTCTGTTCTAGATAATTAGCACCATGGAGCCTCAGGTGTCAAATGGCCCAACATCCAATACAACCAATGGACCTGCCAGTAACAGTAGGAACTGCCCTTCCCCTATGCAGACGGGGGCTGCTACAGATGACAGCAAAACAAACCTCATAGTCAACTATTTACCCCAGAATATGACCCAGGAAGAGTTCAGGAGCCTTTTTGGGAGCATTGGTGAAATAGAGTCCTGCAAGCTTGTGAGAGACAAAATTACAGGTAAAGTGCTTCATTGTTTTCTTATTTCTTGAGATTGGGACTTGCATGCCGTGGGCTTCTTTTTCTTTGACTTCTGACAAGGTCTTTACAAGTTGCCAAAGTTTACTACATCTTTTTTATAAAAACACTTTACATTGCCCAGCAATATAGAAATCATGTGTCCATGTTTCATTACGATACTTCCCTCAGTCATCCAACACCAGTGGCATGAGGTATGCTAGATATTCTGAAGAAGAGCAAATCGCACAAGTGCCTGTGTGTGAAATTACAAGATGAGGAAGCTGAGATGCCTTAGACCTAGATGAAAGTAGTATCATCCATATGACCAGGCATTAACCATAGCTTTGATGTAACACACGAGGAGGGGCGCTGCTGCACACCTCACCTCCAGGCTACACTGCTACTTACCAAGGGGGTGAGGGGTAAGACAGTGGGGATGTCAGTAATATGTGGATATAGCGGTGGAGCCAGTCCAGCGCTCCCACCAACATGCCTACAGACTGCCCAATGAATACGTATAGATGTTTACTGTGAATGTAGTACCATGAGGCCTAGGTGGTGGAAGTAGATGCAGGGGTTCTCATGGGGACTGAATTTCTAAATCAACGCAGAAAGGGCTGGAACCATGGAGGTGAACCTGTTTGCAAGTAGGTCACACAACTAACTCATAATTTCAGCTCCCTTTCAAAATTAGGACCATTTTAGTTTCTTTTATTGTAATCAAAATGTGTATTCTCTTTTAAGTTATCATCCTGTTCCTCTCCCTCCTCCACTTTATAAATTAAAATATGGTTCTTATGTTGATTCAGTTTAGTTCATCATTATGGATTGTTTTCTATAGACAGTTTGGTACAGCTTAGATACAGTATGGTAATCAACCTTTTCCCAGTACTAGAAAGGTTGACTAAATTTGGTGTATTCTGGACATAGTTTGTTGGGGTTAACAAGCCAGGGTTGCCCAATTAGCTTGGTAAAACAGCTCATCTTGTTTGCTTCATTCGTTATTGAGAAGAGATGACTGCTGCCAAAATGTGCAGAGGAGTTAACAAACTTCCTGCTTTAGTTTCTTTATTTCATGGTAACAATAATAATATACGACACATTGTGAAGAAGCAAGCCTTGTAATCCAGAGGGTTTAGGAACTGTATTAAATTGACAGGAGCATGTGGTCAAGGATGAATGGTGTCTTGGGAGGGGCTGGTAAGTTAGGGAGGTTCAGGAAAGGGTTTGGTGAAAGAATGGGTATTAGAAAATCAGCTGAAGCAGGAATGGATATGACTTGAATAACAGGGAAGACTTGTAGACAAAGGGAACAGTGATGAAGCTTCAGGGGGAACACAGAAGACCTGTAGACATAGGGAATAATGATGAGACTGCAGAAGGGAACAGTGGTGGTTCAGATGATCATGGAGAAGGCAAGAAAATGCAGATGAGAAGAGCTAATTGAGAGTGCAGTAATTGAGAAGATTTAAAAGTAAGAACTAGAAGCATAGAACATGATAAGGAATCAATGTAAAGGCTTGAAGTGACACATTTGACTTGGTTGAAGAGAGTAGAAGTGGCTGAAGAGGACTTGGAAAGGGGAAGTTTGGTTATCTATGAGAGAGGTGACCAGAGAATGAGAAACAATTAGAGGCTAAAGAGCAGTGTGTGTAATTTAGATGTGCACACTCGGACTTAAACCTCCCTCTACCACATTTAATAGACCCGTACATCATTTCAAAACCCAATTCCAAAACTCATGAGACTCTCCAGAGTGTCACCCTATATATATACCATGAAAAACTGAAGCTGGAGCCAAAAATTTATTGGGGTTATCCGTGGGAATCTCCATCCCAGCTATAAATAGGAAATTGAATACAGGACATTGAAAGAGATTTAGAGGCTGCTTGAGTGTAAGTAAAGAAAAAAGCAGGAGGAGTCAAGGAAAAACTGGTATCTCAAAGAGTGACCAAAAATATCTATATACAGTTAGTGGGAAAAGCAATGAGAATGGATATCATCTACGTGTAAACATGCTAACAAGAAGTAAGCAGAGGATGATAGAAAAGGCTGAAGGCAAGTAGATGAGAAAATTGAAGCAAGGCTGAAAAAACCCCAAAGGAGATGGGATGCAGGTAATGGAACTGAAGCTGATTCAGAGCTGGAAGAGCTGGAAAATAGAGACCAAAGAAGATCATATGGAGGGTTGGAGAATGTACAGTAGATAGAAATTTTAACTGGATTGTGTCCACTTCTGCTTGGCTACAACATTTCCTGTAGGGTAAGAGGAAGGTTTATGTTATATGGAAGATGAATTTATGGGTCTAGTAGGTGAACAGTGCTCATTTGTATTTCTATTGAGATTCAGATGTTAAATGCTTAGTATATATTTTAGCAGATAAGCCCTGCCATATAATGTGCTGAATTCAAAAAAGTGTAATGTGCGGCACAAGCGGTATGGCACCTGGCCTTCTCATCAGCATCTTAGTGAAGAAAGAACTGCATTTGTTAGTCGCTGTGCAGTTCTGTGGACAGAGAGATGGCTTGCAACATCAGCATCCTTCCTGACAGGATGTTTACTTCTACATATGTGAGCTATATATGAGTTGTCACCCTTGTGAATGATACTTTGTTGGAAGGAACACAAGAAGCTGCTATATCCCAAATCAGACCATCACTTCATCTAGCTTAGTATTGTCTACCAGGCAAAGTCAGAGATTGAGCTTGGGATCTTCTGCGTGCATCTCAAGTGCTGTACCACTGAGCTGTGACACTGTCACCAGCTGCACTACATTTTAGGCAATGCAGCAGTGGACAGAATAAATCTGAAGAGATTCAAGGTAGACTCAAGTTGCTAATTACTAAGTTGCATTGCTCCTCTTGATAGTGAGCCTTCATAAGAATTTTGTTTTTTGGTACTTGTTGGCCCATGCTTATCCTGCCCCAGCTGTACTAAGAGCCAAGCAAGGTTCAGCTGGAGCTGGAGTTGCATGGTATCAATTAGGGGCCATTGAGCAACATTCTTGGGAGCCAGTTCCATATAGCATGGAGAGCTCAAGATTCAGGAAGAGCCAGCAGGCATTGTTTTGGCGGGGGCCTCAGCTCATAAGCTAAATGGCAAAGCAGCCTCATGAGCCCCATGATCCATTCTCTTTCGCGAAGAGCCACCAGACAATGAATCGGGTAGAGCCTTTCACTCAAGCACATAGCTGTCAACTTTTCCCTTTTATTGTGAGGAATCCTATTCAGAATAAGGGAATTTCCCTTAAAAAAGGGGAAACGTTGACAGCTATGCTCAAGCATTTCCTGCTAGTCTCCATGTGAGCGTTCTCTCTTCTCTGCCAGCAATTTAGAAGGAATGATAGGTCTTGGGCTGTAACTGAGGTTGTGGAGCTGTACATTTTTGTTCTCTTTTCGAGAGAATCCCTGGTCTTACAATGTTTCTTCTGTATTGCCTTAGATTTCAATCTGGCTTTGAGTCTGAAATTCTTGAGGCAAGCACCTGCTGGCCTATATCCATAGAGATCCCCTGTAGTTTGGAAATACTGTCTGCAATATCTGAAGATTGGGACATTCCAGGGCAGGTATTGACCCAGATTCCTATACCCCAAAACTTGGTTACCAGGATGCCGTTGAGTTCTAGTTCAGTTTCATAAATTGTGACTGGTTTGGTTTCACAGTTTGACATGTTTGGGTAATATATTGATAGGTGTTGAAGGTATGTATTGATAGGTACTGGAAGCATTCATGTAACTTCTTTCTTATGTCAAAACAACTTGCAGTGGCTTTTGTGTTGGAATGGCCATGTGCATTCCCTTTGAGGAATTAGTTTTTATTGCGGGTTTCACACCTGTACTATATGAAACTGTTCATATTTATAACCCACAGTATTTATAGTCTAGAGTGACTGGCATAATGAAAACCTCAGTACTTCCACTTCTGCAAAGGAAGTAGATTTTAATAGGCTAACACTTAACATCCAAAATAATTTGATGATAAATTCAGGGTGTGTGCAGTTCTGATATTTTAGACAAGTATTTAAATGGCTATTGTAGGGCTGAATAAATCCCAAATATCTACCTGCTGGAGTACCTAAAATGGGGGTGCTAACACAACAGAATTTAAAATATTTTTCCAGCTTTCAGTTAACTTAATAATAATGTTCAGCGTCTTCATGCTGGCTTTTAGGTAGGTAGACTTTAGAATCTGATTCATAATGTTGCGCATTGCTTTTGAATATGCTTTTAAACAAGCATATTCTTTTACAGAAAAAATGCTAATTTGGTAGTATATCAAACCAAGTTGACTGGGAATGACAGCTTCTGAGACAGCCTTTAATTTGGACTTCAGAACCAAAATTGTAAACTTCAATTGTGTTTTGTAGCTTCCTGAAGCAGGCATAAAATGCTAGTGATCTATATTTGCTATAACTTGGGACAAACTTTAATTGTGACAGAGTTTGCAATAGGGGAAATGTCTTAATTTCAGAGTTTTAAAAGAATGAGCCCATAAGAAAAGGAAGTCAGGATAGGCCAAAGATGTTTAGCTTTGTTTGGCAGAGATGTTTAATAAAAGCATAACTTCTAGTTGTAAAGTGTGCTTATTAAATTCTTCATTTACACTACCTAATTAATTCTAGCATTTTAAATTAACACTGAAACTGGTCCCTGCTGTATCATTTCAAAGCTGCAGCATATTTTGCCCAATAACCCAGTTGTGAGTTTTAATCAGCTGCTCTTCCAAAACAAAAACAAAACAATGGAACCTTGAGTCAGTGAACTATCTTGCACAGAGAAGGTACAATATCAGAAAGAGGAAATACTTTTCTCATTTGGGTGGGGTGGGGTTTGAAACCTAGGGCTTAAAAATTGAGACCGAATTGAAGCAAATTATTTTCCTAAATTATATTACTCTTCATGTATGATAAACAAGATATGATTCTTCCTACAGATAAGCAATAGTGCCAGAGTATTTTGGCCAATAATTAAAATACAAGTCAGTTTTCTGTGCATTCCTAAGAAGTACCATATTTTTTGCTCTATAAGACTCACTTTTTCTCTCCTAAAAAGTAAGGGGAAATGTGTGTGCGTCTTATGGAGCGAATGCAGGCTGCGCAGCTATCCCAGAAGCCACAACAGCAAGAGGGATTGCTGCTTTCACTGCGCAGCGATCCCTCTTGCTGTTCTGGCTTCTGAGATTCAGAATATATTTTTTCTTGTTTTCCTGTTCCAAAAACTAGGTGCGTCTTGTCGTCTGATGCGTCTTATAGAGCGAAAAATACAGTAATTTAGGAAAAATAAGAGACAGAGAGCTGGATGCTGCACATAAAAGTACAACGTGTAGTATGATTCTTTGTCTGGAGCTCAGCACCACTTGGTTCTCTCAAACCCTTGGGCAAAGTGGTATATCTGCTTTGGTTTTCATCTGTTTTCCTCAACTGTGGGGGAGAGCCCATTTAATCTGAATGATGTGATGAAGTAGCTTCCATCTAGCAGTGGTAGATTTTTTTCTTTTTTAATGGTTTGAGTCGCTGGCCAGGACTCCCAGTCCTACTGTAAAGAGTTCTACAAGGACATTTTCCCATTATGTAACTGGATGTTAGAATGCCACAAAGAGTCATTGTGAGGAATTAATCCATTTGTGTAAATTAAATTAAATAATTAACCGCATGGAAAAATAGATAATGAGTTCATGGTAGATAGCTCAGTGAAAATACGTACTTAGTAAACTAGGAAATTTCCATGTTAGGGATGGAAGTTAATACTACCTGTATTGTAGTGCTGCTGTTAATAATAATAATAATTTTATTATTTATACCCTACCCATATGGCTGGGTTTTCCCAGCCACTCTGGGTGGTTTGCAACACATATAAAAACATAATAAAGCGTCAAACATTAAAACAAATGGATGGTGTAGCTACATTTGGACTATTGTGTACAATATTATCTTAAAAATTATATTTAGTAATGTCGTCAAACATCAAGAGAGAGAAGGAAATAAACAAGAACTATAAGGATTTCATTGCCTGCTTAAAAGTGAACAAAGGTGAGGCAATACTCTCTGAAGGGAGTATTCCATAATTCGGATTCTGTGTTGAAAAATGCCTTTCCCTTGTCCCACCAACCAAATAAATGTCTGCCAGAAGGGCATCCAACGCGAAGGGGATGTAGTAGAACCAAAATTACCACGGGGGCTTCTAAAGCACTTGGAAGCTTTTCACTTTAGAAATTATATCTAAGGAGGGGTCATGATAGAGGAGGCCTTTAAAGAATGCATAGAGGAAGTGAGTATATCTGATTTCTCATTCTCTGGCGTAATAATAGAAGTCAGAGTCACCCAGTTAAATTGATGAGCAGTGGAGTCAGGATGAGAAAAGGAAAGTCTCCTGGAATTTGCTGCTACAAGATACTGTGACTACCACTGGCTTTAATAGCTTTTAAGGGGAATTGAGACAAATTTCTTAGTTCTTTCAGCGGCTGCTAACCATAATAACTCATCGGAACCTCCCTGTTTGGAGGCAGCGTAACTTTGAATACCAGTTGCCAGGGAGCAAAACAATTGGGGAGTGATGTCGCTTTTGCTCTACTTGTAGATTTCACAAAGGCATCTGTCCACCTACTGTTAGATACATACCACTGGTCTGATCTAGCAGGCTGCTATTACATTCTTAACAGTGCCTGCCTTTTGCTGAACTATAGCCATGAAGCAGAAATTCAAAGAAGAGACACTGAAATATGGATATGTTGGTTCTGTGAAGCTTAGAGTTACTAAATATGTTTTTAGCTTGGTGCATTATTTTTGCTACTTAATCCACTGTTTTTGTTTTTGGGGGAAGAGTTATTATTTCTTCAAGTGTGTGTGTGTGTGTGTGTGTGTGTGTGTGTGAGATACACGTCTGTGTGTCATAAAATTCATTTACATAGACCATACAGTGTTCTACCATCATTTGTTAAATCATTGAACCCAATATTTGTAGTATGTCATATAGCACCAAGAAGTAGAAAATAACAGTTCTCTGATACCTGGATTTGTAAAATACATTTGGTTGATATGATGTTTGCTCTGTCTGTTTCCAGGCATTGTCATTACATTTTTTTACCCATAATCCTGCTTATCTCCCGCATAAGTTTTTTATTTTAGAAAAATATGCATTTAAATGTGCATTTTCTCTAACTATATGTATTTAAACATGTAGTTTGATAGGTTTAAACTGCATAGAACTATCCCAGTGTTAAGTGAAATATGAAATTGGGGTGGTAGTGATTAACACCTGATTTGCAAATTTGCAGAGAGTTAAAATATATTCCTATAAGAGACCATTATTCATTGGTTGGATCTTGCCTCGATGGAACCAGACAAGCATGGCTAAAAGCATCTTCCTAGGAAGAGGGACACCTCCCCCAGCAGTTTCAGGGAGGCTTTAGGTTTCATATCAGAATCCAGCATTTTAGCAAGAAGCACTCTTTCCTCTTCTCCCGTCTAACTTCTAGGGTACCAATACACCTTTGAAAGGCTACTTAACTTCCACTTATCCAGGGATTGGTAGTAGCCCATGGGTAGGCAAACTAAGGGCCAGGGGCCGGATCCGGCCCAATCACCTTCTAAATCCGGCCTGTGGACGGTCCGGCAATCAGCGTGTTTTTACATGAGTAAAATGTGCCCTTTTATTTAAAATGCATCTCTGGGTTATTTGTGGGGCATAGGAATTCTTTCATTATTTTTTTCAAAATATAGTCTGGCCCCCCCACTGTCTGAGGGACAGTGGACCGGTCCCCTGCTGAAAAAGTTTACTGACCCCTGTAGCCAGCCATGCCACATGCACTCCAACCTAATTCTGAATATTAAAAAACCAGTGCATTCAGTACAGTATTTGCGCAGAAATAAAACCGCTAGCACATTTGCAAAGCCCAGCCGGGTCCAGCATAGTTCCCCGCAAGCTCTCTGCTACCTCCACCTACAAATAAAAATTCTGGGATGGTCACGTGTTTCACACCTTTTCAGTGTGTTAACAGGACAGACACCTTCACTGTTGTACTGCAGGGTCTGCTCAAGTCTCTAGGGCTCATCATGGTATTTGTGTCGAAATGTATTTAAAAAAATAAAAAAATTGTCCATTAGCACCTTAGAGACCATTGGTCTCTAAGGTGCTACTGGATTTTAGAGAGAGAGAGAGAGAGAGAGAGAGAGAGAGAGACTGTGTCAGACCAACACAGCTACCTACCTGAATCTAGAACCATAGTATTTGTGTGTGCAGGATTTACTACCCTTCCTTAGGGTGTAGATTTTTATTTTATTTTTATTTTTTTCCTGTTCTAATTTTCAGTGTTCTCATCATGATGGGAGGAGGGGAAATTAATACTTTCAGAATTTCTGTACTTCGCTTGGAAAGAACAATCTGCCCACCCTGGATAGTCACATGAATCCTTCTCAAACAGATTGTGCTAATTGCTGCTTTGTTAGTGTTGGACTCATTTGCTGGTTTTGTAGTAACTTTTTTTGTTTGTTTGTTTCCTATCCACGTCTTACTTCAAATACCTTTTCGTTTTGCTTTGAGTGCCGCTCTCCCTTGCGTTGCTTGAGATTGGTGGGATAGCCCTCCGCACAGGGCAAGAGGTATTTCATTCACAGGAAGAGGTTTTTAGCGGTGCTTAGACTCAGCTTTGTGGAAGTCTTTTAAGTGACCTTCTAGTATTTGTTTTATCATTTTCTTTTAACGTGTGCCTTGTGTTTTGAGCAGATAAGATGATGTGCCCTAACCTCTAATCAGAAAGAATCAGTGCAGTCCTCATTTATTTTATCAATTAATGCCATCAAGAAAACCTGGCTGTCAATTTGTTTCTAAGTTGTGCTGATAAAGCCTGTTACGACTCAGGACCCCATTTCCCATGCCCAACAATTAGCATCAGAGGCCTTTATGTTTGTGTTCTGAATTGCGGCTGTTCAGACAGTGGTAACAAGGTAATCAGCCTTTTCAGTAGTAGCCCCTTTTCTATGGAATACTTTCCTAAAGGGGCTTGATTGAAAAGAGGATCTCTCTGTCACCTTTGCCTGCACCCTGTCATTTCACTGCCAGTTGCTCTGAATGGTCAGCTTTATTGAGGAAGAATACTTAAGACTTTGAACTGCTGTACACAGTCTTTTTTTTTTTCTTGTCTTTTTTTAGAAGGATAAGATTTGATGTGAACTAGCGGGAAGTGATTAAATGCCTCATTTTGAAATACAGATGGTTATCTCTCATGCTATCTTCTCCTCAGGGACTAGTTAGGAAATAGAAACTTGAATCCCTTTCAAATTGATCACTATTAGGCACATTACATGTGTCATTCCCCATCTCCCAATTTTGTAAACAAGATACTAGAAATACCAGATATTTGCCAAATACATGCACCTAGAAACTCACTTCTTTTTGTTTTTGGAGGTAATTAAACGTAGGTCTGATTGCATACCAGGTGTGCTCATAAGAATAAAATGTGTTATAAACGAGGACCAGGAAATATAAAAATACCCCTTTTATGGGGTTTTTTCTTCCCATTTGTAGATTTGCTAGAGATAGATTTTGTGCTAGTGCCAACCCCATATGGCCTTCACATACTGCTCGGCATATAGTGTTTCTAAGATTGGCATTTAACCAATATAAAAAACCAAAAAAAAAAAACTTAGAGAAATATTACCAAATAATAGCCAAGTACTTAAACATTAATTTTCTACAACAGTATTAAATAAAAGTGAATGAAAATTCAGAAAATGCTGTCTTCAAAAGGATAGCAGACCCTTCCAGAAATTTCACTGAACCTCATGCTCCCTGTACATGGAGACCTTTCAGATATAGTTGAGTCAATGACAGTGCTGATTCATTGACAGTTGTGATCTGTTACCCTTTGGTCACAAAGTTCACTTTTTGAACTTGGGCTCTCCTTAGGAAATCCCATTATCTTCCATATCCTCTCTGTCCATCCACCATCATCCACCCGTTGGGCAGATTAATGTGCAAAATTCCACATCTGCAGTTGCACATTAAAATCTGTGGACTGGGGATGAATAAGTATTCAGAAAGTTAAATTTTCCACTAGTTTTCCTCATTTGATTTCTCCCGACAGTTTTGAGGGCAGATGCCTATAGTTTAAAATGAACTGATTCTCTATTGTACCTAGCCACCCAAGAGGAATTGTTAGTGTCCTTTTTACTTAGCTCTGTGAATTGGGTTCCTCAGCTGATTCTTCCCCCCTCCCCACCAACCAGCACAGCTTTAAAGGTTTTTCAAAGTGCTCCAAGTATGAGATCCTTTACAAATTTGAATTTGTAGATACAGCTTCCTGTGAATGTGTGAACCGGACAAGAGTCTTCCTGGACATAAAAAAATAAATTTCAGAAGCTACTTCTTTTTAAATTATTTTGCTGCTCTTTTTGGCTTTAGGCTTTGTGAAGGTTTTCAAATAATGTATGCTATAAAACAGGTATCTTGAAATACATCGATAGTTATTTGAGGTACTAACTAGGCTTGAGTTTAAGAAGGGTGGATTCTGGCAGGGGGGAAGTAGGGATGGGGATTTGCCCTTTGGAGATCTATCCAAGGGTAATGTTTTATGAGTTTAATATATATTACCTAGGTTTGCCTTTAATTGATGTCTTGAGTAGCTGAATTGAAGTACAGGCAGCCGCCTGTTTACACAGGTATTACATTCCAAGTCACCATGCCCATCAGTGAAATCGCATATATTGGTACAGTGGTACCTCGGGTTAAGAACTTAATTCGTTCTGGAGGTCCGTTCATAAACTGAAACTGTTCTTAACCTGAGGTACCACTTTAGCTAATGGGGCTTCCCGCTGCTGCTGCTGCGCCGCCAGAGCACGATTTCTGTTCTCATCCTGAAGCAAAGTTCTTAACCCGAGGTAATATTTCTGGGTTAGCGGAGTCTGTAACCTGAAGCATCTGTAACCTGAAGCGTATGTAACCTGAGGTACCACTGTATCCCATTGAAAAAGCCTGCAAACACCCCGTAATGTCCCCCTCCTTCATTCTACCCTTTAAGTGACATTTTTATGGCATTTCTGGGTTCGGCGCAATACATGTATTCACTGTCATGTACATACTGAATGTGCGTAAACTGGGGGCTGCCTCTGCTGAATACATCCTAATGGGTGCTTCTGAATTAAACTAGCTTCTTTAGCTTGCACCATTTTTTAATTTTTAAAAGAAGAAGTAGGATTTTGCCCTTAAGAAGGCTGTCTTGAAACATTGTTCAAAATGACCCCTCTTCAGTCCCAGTGCAGCTCACAATGAGCCCTTTTAAAAGGCCGAAATCTGTCTGATCACTTGTTTGGAAGGGAAGACACCTTTTTCTCTTGAACAACATCTGTGGAAGCTTAGCTTTTTAAGTACGTTTCCATTTCCTAAGCAGTGGAGTGGGGGACCCCACATGCAATGCCCACATTGCATATTCCACCTAAGGATATGTAGATGGTTGCATGTCTCTTAGTATTGGGGATGAGAAGAAATCTCAGTGGTGGATTGCTTGGGTGGGGCACAAATGCTTGTGTACAAGGTAGTTTGTTTGTATTTTGTGAAATGGTTTTGATTTTGTCAAACGATCAAATTGCAAACACTTTTCTTAAAATCTAAGCACCAGAGGGTAAGATTACACCTAGCTCTATGGACTTCAAGAAAGCCAGGTGTTTGCACTTGGTTTTGTTCATGTTTCAAAAGATGTGTGTCTTTTGTTGTTGCCCTCATTATTTTTCTATTAATTTCTGCAAATGCATCTTGCCCTTCCTACAAACATAAACACTGTTTTCCAAAACATGCACTGCTTAAAATTCTGCAGTTTAATAATTTTTTATGATATCTAAATAGCAGTTTTATTTCTGTTAAGATGGTATATTATTGATAGATGTGATTTCTCTTATCAATTATTTTTGAGGTATCTGTAGAGTCTGCATTGCTTCCACCCCACCCCAGTTCATTTTTCCAATTTGGGGACTGCGTCCATTTAAGTTGCAGAAGTAGATAGGGTGCAAAGACCTGTTCAGCTTTTACCTTTCAATTCATGATGCCTACATAAACAGTGCTTTTGGTATACGTGTTCCAAATCTATTTAACCATTCGTATAGGATTTGATGAAGAGGAAGCTTGCCTTCTAATTTCTCTTCTGCAAGTTGCCTATATTTTATAAATGGTTGCATTTTGTTTGTTCAGCAAACGATGCACAAAATGGATCAGATGTTTATAGAGAATTTAAGTAGCTGGCAGAAGCAACCCAAAGAGGAGAGTTCCCATTAGAAATGCCACTTGAATCCTTACGTCATCTATATCCAGTTATAGTGCAGAATAATTGCTATTGTTCCCCATTAGTATTGGCAGAATTCAAATACACGTAGGCTGCTAAGGCTTTTAGTACATTCCCAAAAATAATTCTGTATCCTCTCGCATGTGTGTGTACGTATTAAGGATGTGTGAATAGTCCTCAATCCATTCCGACATTTTGCACTTTCACCTGGCATTTTCTGTTCCCCTGCAATTGGTTTATTTTGTGCAACTTTTTCTTTTGTTTCATCATCCACTGTATCCCCTTTCAAACTTGATGCATTTCCAGAGGGGTAGCCCTCTTGCTATTTTGCAGCAAAAACAAGAGTTTGTGGCATCTTAAGAACAATGTTTATGAAGGGGCTGATGGCCCATTACAAAATCATCAGTTGCTGCAATCCTAACCATGTCTACTCAGAAGCAAGTTCACTTCTGAGACTTACATTTGGGCTTGCTCCCAGGTATGGGAGGTTAGGATTGCTGTCTTACTGTCCTGATTTTATGGTTCAGTATAAACATGAGTCCAGATGGCGACCATTTTGCGTGCGTTCAGTTGACACATAACCACTGACACACAGGTTATTTTTGACCCGGAAGATGACCAGGGCGGGCTTATGTATGTTCTGCTGGTGTGCATAGGGGCCAGGAACAGAACTCCTGCACAAGTTAGGAGTTGCCTGTATATGTGTGTAAGATAGATGACTGAGTGTGTTTTCAATAGGTGCATAATCCAACGTATTTGGTATTTGCTGATCTATTTCTTGTATCCAGAATATCAACATTTGAGTGGGCAATTTATGTAATTTATTTGTGTATTAAATTTCTTTACCTCCATTCATCCAAGGATCACAGGGTGGATTACAACTAATCCAGAACGCATCAGCTAGACTGGTGACTGGGGGCAGCTGCCGAGACCACATAACACTGGTCTTGAAAGACCTACATTGGCTCCCAGTACGTTTCCAAGCACAATTCAAAGTGTTGGTGTTGACCTTTAAAGCCCTAAACAGCCTCGGCCCAGTATACCTAAAGGAGCGTATCCACCCCCATCATTCTTCCCGGACGCTGAGGTCCAGCGCTGAGGGCCTTCTGGTGGCTCCCTCACTGCGAGAAGCAAAGCTACAGGGAACCAGGCAGAGGGCCTTCTTGCTAGTGGCGCCCACCCCGTGGAATGCCCTCCCATCAGATATCAAAGGGATAAACAACTACCTGACATTTAGAAGACATCTGAAGGCAGCCCTGTTCAGGGAAGTTTTTAATGTGTGACATTTTAATGTATTTTTTGTCTTTGTTGGAAGCCGCCCAGAGTTGCTAGGAAAACCCAGCCAGATGGGCAGGGTACAAATAAATTATTATTATTATTATTATTATTATTATTATTATTACAACATAAAAATACATAACATAGTATTTTACATAACATATGCAACCATAGGTTGTTTAAATAGCCAAAGGCCTGGGAGAAAAGGAATGTTTTTGCCTGACGCCTAAATATATGTAAACAAGGCGCCAGGCGAGCCTCCCTGGGGTGAGCAGTCTACAAGCAGGGAGCCACCACAGAAAAGGCCTGCTGTTGTGTTGCCACCCTCCTGACCTCTCATGAAGACGTGCCTCAGATGATGAGCGCAGGGTCTGGGTCAGTTCATATAGGGAGATGCGGTCCTGAGATGTTTTGCTATCTCTTCCAACCGTGAATTGTTTGCATGATTCTTCTCATTGTATTTTCTTCTATTCTTGGGCTGTCCAGATAGAAGAAAATGAACAGTTGAATTCCTGCATGATGTTTAAAAGCATCAGTTCATTATTACAATTTGTTGACATATCAAGCCTGTCCCACTTGTTTTCTCTGTATAATACTGCTATATTGTAGGAGTGCCATGGTGGGTTCTCAAAGAGAATTCCTGCATTCCTAGATGCAGATATGCAACACAGTCCTGTGCATGTTTACTCAACAGTATGATCTAATTTCAGTGGAACATGTTCCGTAGTAAATGTGTAGAGAATTGCAGTCTAGTTTCTTGGTATCAAGGAGAAGCGATTAGGAGTAATAACATCTGGCAAGGATAGGTCTGTCTAGCTCACTGGTTTCATGAAAGAAGTTGGATGTGTAGGGAGGCAACTGTTTTGCAAGCTGTTACTTTGTTACAGACGAAGATATGGGATGTTTTTCTAGGGGATGCATTATGGTACATTCTAAATGTTTTTAACAAATGGAGCAAAATATATAATTTATATAGTTGTATTCAGAATTTCCAACATTGTTTTCCTTATTTATAGATGACTCTGCCCCACTGTAAGAGCTAATTCAGAGCAGACCCATTGAAATAAGTGGGTTCAGCTTACTTTAAACCAACATTGAATGCTACCCTTAGAGTCCTCTGGCCCGTTCTATTTTCAAAGTTTTCTTTCTCTTACAATGCTGTTCTTTTATTATATTGGTCAGAAGCAATCCTGTTTTTGCAAAACAGACCTTTCCCCCAAACATATTTTTTACATTTTCTTCCAGTGTCTGCATAGTGTTACATGGAGTGCAGTGTGTTAACATGAGACTCTTGTTGTCAGAAGTTGGCCACTTGTCGTTTCCGGCTGACCACGCAACTAATTATTATTTATTAATTTACCACTTAATGCCCAGATATCTACATAAGCTGATTTATTATTATTATTATTATTATTATTAGCTAAATTTGTATACCACCCTTCATCCGTAGATCTCACAAAATATACTTTAACTAAGGGACATTCTTTTATTGTATCTGGAAAGCTGTTTTGATACATTCTCCTATATCGCCTAGGACAGTGGTTCTCAAACTTTTTTCTCTGGGCCACACTTTAAGAATAGAAATTTGCTCGTTCCACATTGGGAAACAAAAAGAAACAACAACTAGCAGTGTTTGATTTATAATGTAGAGCACAACTACTTTATATTACGATCATGGGACATCCAGAAAGTATAAAACAATGCAGCTACATAATAACATGAATCATTCCCAAAATATAATTATAAATGAACCTCTTACATATGTACCTTAGGTATGTATACAAACCCAATGAGAGGTGTGAACTTGCAGTATCATGTGATTATCTTGCACTTTGTTTTGATAATATATATCCTGCAAATAATAATTTTAAAAATATATTCTATTCTATTATATTATACTACACTACACTACACTAAAATATTTAAATGTTTCTTTGACTGTCCTTGAATCTTCCCGCCATACTTGCCATTTATGCTGCCACACCCTTTGAGAACCACTGGATTAGGATGTCCTTTTAAATCACAGCTTAGTAACCAGTCCTGCATAATTGTTCCTAGCCAAAACCTAAATCATCTTCAAATACCCAGTGATATTTCCAAGCCTTGGCTTAAGTATTTAATGGCAGTTTTTACACCTGCTAGCACAATTAACACTCCAGTACTCCAGCATTTCAGTGATATGACGTATCCATATAAACCAATTTGCTTTCATCACTAGACCTGCCAAGTTTGGTAGCACAATCCATTATTGGTTTTTTGAATATTACAAAAGCAGTTTAGGGCTGTGGCTGGAAAACAGATTTGAGAGAAGAGCACAGGACCAGAAACTGTAAATGGCATTATACTCGCAAGATAATGTTGGTGCATTTGTTATAGATTTGTTACTGACCTTTCTCATTTACTGAAGGAAATGTTTTTCGGAAGCCAAAAAGCAACTTTCCGGAGTACATTTCCTTGCATTTAAAGCTTAAATATATTTTTCCATCTTACTTACAGTTTACTACAATTTTTGTCCTAAGATTATTTTCCTGATTCTTATAGGGAATCATCAGTTATTAGTCACAATCACTGATGCTTGCTGACTTCCTGTAGCTGTCAGCCTGCCTTGCTTAAGGTAGGGTGCTTCCCACTTCAGGGGAATACTGTGCAAACTTCATGCTGTCATGTATTTCAAGATCCCCACTCCATTTATCAAAATTAGCAGGATACAGTGTTCTGCAACATAAGGATGGCAATATTTTGCTGAAATTCTGTAGTTACTTTATCTGTTATGGAAACACTTCAGTGATAACGACTGAGAGGTCCTTTTTTCATGAAGCAAGCTCCATACTGTTTTAATTTTATGTGAAGAATATAAATTGAGCTCCTAGTGAAGCTAACTCAATTCATTCCACATCAGCTATTATGGTTGGATTCTTCCACATCAGCTGTTTGCTTGTTTGGCTATTTCTATATTGCCTTCCACCAAACAGTCACAGGGCAGTGTACAACATATTATAACACACCAATACACCCTGAGGAACTTAGTCTCCACACAGGGGAAATAGTAGAGGGGAAGGAATTAGGCAAGGAAAAGATTTAACATTCACTTAAATTGTAGTAGCCAAATGACTTTAAAGGGGCCTATCTCTTTTTGTGTGATAGTTGAACTGCTGTGTGAGGGGTCATTTTGGTGTGGGATAATTTCCCCACATCCGCAGCTGTTATCAAACTGGAAAATGTGCAGTGCTACTTACAAAAAAAAAATGTGTTTTCTTACTTGCAGAAAATATCTTTGTAAGGGGCAATTTAGATGGGGGAATGATGGAGGGAAGCTTCAATCTAATTTCCCCAGATGTGTTTACTTTTGAAAAACTGGGGACTCCTACATTCTTACCTATTTTCACCCTAGGACTGTCCCAGCCAATATTACCTCTTAAACTAATGCTGTCATAGTTGTACAAACTATCCAGTTGACATAGTGTACTTGGACTTTCAAAAAGCTTTTGGCATCACCAGAGACCCATGACTAAGTTTAACAGTCATAGACTAAGAGGAGAGGCCCTCTTGTGGAGTAGGACTGTATGGAAAGTTCTCCAAATGGAGGGGTGTAAAAAGTGGCTTCAGTCACGGGGCGGGGGGGGGGGGGTTTGGGACCTGGGCTTTTAAAATGATTTAGAGTTGGAGGTGAGCAATGAGGTAACCAGGTTTTCTGTTGAGGCTACATGGTTAGGTTGGTTATAACAAAAAGGGATTGCTAAGACCCCCAAGAAGATTTTTCTAAGCTGAATGAATGGGTGGTGAAATTGAAAATGCAATTCAGTGTAAACAACCATAAAGCGATGTACGTCAGGACAAAAATGTATTAATTTTACATGTACCTTCCTGGGGTCTGAACTGGCACTATTGATTAGAAATGAGTGCCTAGAATTGTAGTCCAGTGCAGTGCAGAAATCTCTACTAAAGCATCCATGGCAGATGGCCATTCAACCTCTGCTAATAAACCTCCAATGAAGGAGAGTGCACCACCACCTTCCTACGTAGGGAATCTGTTCCACTGTTGAACAGCTCTTGCCGTCTTGTTGATGTTTCGTCTGATTCTCCCTTCTTGTAACTTGGATACACTGGTTTGGGTCCTACCCTCTGGAGCAGGAGATGTCAACCCAATATGTGGCGACTGTGAAAAAGGCAAATTCCATGCTAAGGGATCATTAGGAAAGGAATTGAAAATAAAACTGCCAATGTCATAATGCCGTTATGGAAATCTATGGTACGGCCACACTTGGAATACTGTGCACACTTCTGGTTCTTTCACCTCAAAAAGGATATTGTAGAGTTGGAAAAGGTTCAGAAAAGAGCAACCAAAGTTATTGTGTTGCCTCTTGGTTGCCTTTTCTCTTGGCTTGAAGCCTCAATTGCTGTAACCTTTCCTCACAGGGGAGTTTGCAGGCTTCCCATAGGGGTCTAGGCTGACCACTGTGAGAACAGGATGCTTCGTCAGGTGGGCCACTTTCCTGATCTAGCAGGCTCTTCTTAATGTACTTAAGTTTCCGTATATGGTCTCTTTTTAATCGAGTTGTTTACTTCTGATCCAAACATGGCTGTGTCTGGTCATCCTTACAGTTGGTAATACTTAAAGGCAGTCAATCCTGTGACATGTCGTATGAAGCTAAGGTAGCCTTGGAAAATAACCTCTACTAAGGTTTACTAGCCAACAAAATGTTTTACTCATCTGCTTTTTATATAACAGGGCAGAGGAGGATGGACAGATCACTCTGTTCCTCCTTTGCCAGTCCCTCTTATGAGTAAATAGTGGATGAATAAAACATTTTGTAAGCTAGAAATGAGCACTCTGGGCCTCTTTTGACAGCCCACTTGGTTTCTGTGCTGACCGTGCAGAAAGAGGCTTTGCTTCCTGCACATCCAGCCTTGAAGCAGATGAGAGGTGAAGTGATCCATGCCATTTTATTTCTACGGCAGAGGGCTTCAGCTCTCGCACATTCAGCATAAAAAACTCTGCATAGATTACTGTACCCCTTCACCCACTGTGCACCTGTGCTAGATGTACATCCAGCATAGAAACCAATCATGTGGCAAGTGGTGGCACAAAATCACTCAATCCCTTTGCCATCAACCTAAGTTGGCATTTATGTGCTGGATATGCAGGAAGCGAAACTTTCCTGCACACCCAGTCCGCAGGGTTTCTAGGCTAGATGCACAGTAGGTCCTCTGGGTTTCGTAGGAAAACAGCAAGCCGGCAGGGGAGCGAGGGAGCATTCTTTTCCTCTTGCTTTCTGTTCTTAGCACACAGGAAAGAGCTTCACCTCTTCTGTCTTCAGTATAGAAGCATTAAAGGGCTGCCAGCAGAAGGATGGAACGATTCATAGCTCCACCAGCAGCCTGCTTGGTTTCTAGGCTGGGTAGAAAGCATGGATCTTTCCATTCTCAAAACGCAGGGCAGGATTCACCCAATGAGCCCTATCAGCGGAAGCCCCATGCAAGGACCTCGTCTTGTACAACAGGGCTTTCCACCACTCCTGCAAAAATGGCTCTGGGGAGGTCAGGGGAACCCCCAGAGCAGCTAGGGGGCAGGGAGGAGAGGGGGAATCATTCCATCTGCAAGCTGAAATGCTTGCACAGACAGGATGATGTTTACAGTGCAACATTGAATTCCACCCACAGAAGGCCCCAATTGTTTAATCCTCCCTTTGGGGGCCTTTCATTTTCTGCATCAGGCATGGAGGAGTCAAAGTACTTTCCTCCACACCCAGCATAAAAATGCTGGAAGTACCTGGAGAAGGGACTGGAAACTTGATCCCACTTCGGCTTTCTTGCTCACTCATCACCAAAGAAAAATTACTAGTCATCTAAGATAGCAACCAAGTGGACCAAGTTGGACTGAGGCTCAAATTACCGTATTTTTCGCTCTATAAGACGCACCAGACCATAAGGCGCACCTAGTTTTTGGAGGAGGAAAACAAGAAAAAATATATTCTGAATTTCAGAAGCCAGAGCAAGAGGGATTGCTGCGCAGTGAAAGCAGCGATCCCTCTTGCTGTTCTGGCTTCTGGGATAGCTGCACAGCCTGCATTCGCTCCATAAGACGCACACACATTTCCCCTTACTTTTTAGGAGGGAAAAAGTGAGTCTTATAGAGCAAAAAATATGGTACATATTACAGGCAGAGACCATCTAACATGTGTCTGATTGTGCGCATGCTCCTTGCTGCCGACCCAGAAGAGGCCCCGAAACATTGTGGGCTTATGTGCTTTGCCCATGCGCACAGGCGTCAGGAACAGAACCCTCGTGCAAAATGGTTGCTGCCTCTACTTCATTGGCAGTTTTATATGTCTTTTTAAAACAAGGTACTTTCAGGAATCGGGCTGCAAGGCAGGGAAGATATAGGCCTACTTAATTATTGATAATTCAGCTCAAAATCACCCTTTCCAAATTGATCTTTTTGTTCATATGACTGCGAGAGAGAGAGAGAGAGAGAGAGAGAGAGAGAGAGAGAGAGAATATATAGATGTAGGCTGCTGGGGGTGATGGAGGTTGTAGTTCAACAACATCTGGGTGGTCACAGGTTGCCCACCCCCCTTGTAGGTGAAAAGCACCAGGAAATCGGTGATTTTAAGCAGAGTAGCCAGAGGGGAAAGAATTAAGCAAGCTTCCTTTCCCTATTACACAGCTTGTCTAAGCTGATTTTGCTTTAAAAATGTGGGCTTCACCTTAACATGTACTTTATTTCTGAAAGCAGCCATTTTTGGGGATTCACACTCCTTCAATATTGCACTATCCAAATTGTTCCAAGTGCAGAAACGTTGGAATATATCACAAGATATTGAGAAGACCTTTCTTGCTATTTCTATTACTCTTCCTATTCTTTCTTCTTGAGAGTTTACATTGTAGCACCGGTTGGGAATTTTTGGACATTTCACTGGGACCAGTGCTGGTCCAAGATATTTTGAAGCTGCCCACTCTCCCCCCCCCCCCATTGGATTAATATTGAAGGGCAGGCAATTTTAAAATAATTTTAATTGTACCTTTGCAAACAAAAAATTACTCCTTTATTTTAAAAGAAAAACAAAAGCCAAGCCTTTTCAAGCCCATTTTAAACATAAACACTATTGTTTGATTTCCATGTGAGTTCATTAGGCTGGGGGAGATCAGAAACCAAATGGCAGGCACTCATTATTTCTGTTTTCTTGGACAATCAATTCTTCTCTTCCCCATGTCCATTCTCTCTTCCTGGGAGTTTACGAGAGAGCATGCTTAAAAATAAGTTTGGTGATAGAGAACACTAATGGAGGACTGAGCTGTTGTGCACTGCTTGTTTGACCATTTCCGATTCATGGGCAGCAAAATTGCCATGTTTCCAACTTCCCTTCTCTGCTACACAGCATTGCACTGGAAATTATGGCATGAGTGCATAGAAGTGTGAAAACTATTTCTTCACCCTTTACTGAATGCTACAGATGTTCTAAAGGAGGCAGGTGACAAATTCTTCACTTCGTAGTTTAATTAAAAGATGAGTTAAGTAGCTGTCACCATAGGGGAAATGTCATTTGCCTTCCGCTGCAGCAGAAATGTTGCAGCTGATTGGAAGTTGAACCAGCACTTCTGTTCCTCTTTGCTTGCGCCGAGACGGCAGTAGCAAAGGAAATAGATCACTGAATTTCATCCCACTGCATGTAGAGTGCTTTGGCTGCTGACGTTCCCATTGACAGGACTTTCTAACCATGATTACTTTCCTCTGAATTTGTTCTTCAAGTTCTTCACACCTTGATTGTGGTTATCAGCTGGGAATCTGTGGTGCATGATGAGACCCATCACGTATCATTGCCTCGTACCTTAGCGTAATTCCCCTGAATGAGGAAGAGAAGTGAGGTTGCTAAGAGACAGTGATGCATCCCATGACGGTGGCAGTGCTTAGAAATCCTAGCAGTGAGTCAATCACGTAAATTATCTTGTTGCAGCCTTTAAAACAATCTTGCAAGGTAGGTTAGTATTAACTCCATATTGCAGGAAGTAAGCTGGGGGGAGAGAGAGCCGTTTAGCCACCTAGTGAGATTTGATCCAGGTTTCCTTGGTTGTAACTCAGGGCTGTTTCACACTTACCTTTCATTCATGCTTTAAAGTTCCCTGTCCGAATTCAGTTTGAACCTGAAAACTCGCCCTTTCATCTTGCCTGGGTGCAGTTTTCACTGCCTTGTCCGCATCTAGTCCCCAGTGGGTAGACAGGCATTTTGTAAATTCAGGGTGTTAAGACAGGCAGAAAACATGGCATCTCCTTCTGAATTTCAGTCTCTCATTCTCTTGCCTCATAATGGAAAAAGATGGAGATCTCCCACTAGATGTAGGAAAGCTGCCTCCGCTTATCGTTTAGTCAACCAGTTTCTCCATGTACATTGAAATCAGTTGTGTGTATTAAAAGCTGTTGAATCAAATCAAATGGGGAAGATGCTATATAGAGATAAAGGGGCATTTAGTCTGTGCACACACCCTACATTTAAAAGCTTTGCCACCACTGCTCCCAAGAACCTTGGGAACTGTAGTTTGTTATGGGAGCTATAAGGGTTAAACTGCAGTTCCCATGATATATTTTTTGACCAAGTGGGGTACGCTTTAATTGGATGGTGTGTGCCTCCTGTGGGGGGACATAGCATATGTAAAACAATGAAAAACTGAATATATTGAGGCAGAAGAACTGAATATGAACTTGGGCAAACCTGTAAGCTGCATGTGCATGGTGTTGATTGGAGCTGGTTGTCATTTTTACTGTAATTATACTCATTACCTTTGAATTAACGAGGGGTGGGTTCTGATAGATTATAGGGGGGTGACAAAAGTTTTCCTTGGTCAAATGTTCTTACTGCGTTGCAAGGCCAAGATCATCCCTGACCTGTGTGAATCCCTATGGTATGTAGTTAGCACCATGTTAAAAAGCTAAGCTGTTTGTACTGGATAAAGTTGATCTGCGAAACGTAAACACGAAACACGACAATAAAACAGAAGCTGTTGAAATTTTGGCTGCTAAAATGGGCTCCTGCCATCCGAATGCAGAAGCAGATTTACTGTTTTGTTCTTCCTAGCATCACCACATGAGCACAGTGCAAAGAGCACAAAGTAATCATCTATCCTGCCATGTGATATTATGTCATTTCCGATGGTGTATGTGCTGTCACAGATAAGGCAGTAACATAGATGCTAATTTATTGGCTTTTACATGTTCATTTTTAGAGTTCATCCTGATTTTTAGATAATCTTTCTGTTTCTTTAAGCTTCTTATTAATAAGAGCCCTTCCCTGCTGAAATGCAGTATATAAATATTGTAAATAAATACTATTTTCAACCAAATCAGGTAAAATAAATGCAGGGTTTCTTATTTGTAAGAAAGGTTTCTTATTTGTAAGAATTTGGTTAGCTACTGATATGTGTTTTAGTTTAAGCATTTCATTTATTTCACTTTAAATTGCAGTTGAGTTGCTTGTACAACTAATTTTTATTTTTTTAATTCTGTCTGTTGATTAAAATAACACAAATCGTTTATAAATTCTGCATGTAATCCTGCTGCTACCTCTCTCTTGTCTTTTATTCTCTTAATGTGATTCCTGTAGGGAAAAGCTTCAGTAAGTGTGGCCACTAGTAAATTCTTAATATATCCGTTTAGTTTTCCTAGTTTTAAGGACACTATGGAATCTAGAAGAATCAGCACCTGTTAATGACAGACTCTCAGGATAAAAATATTTCTAAGCAGTCCTCCTGAAAGCTGTGTTGGCTGTATGGGTATGCTTTCTGGATTGGAATGGAAGTGTTAGGTGAAAAAGTTTATCAGAGAAAAAGGATTTCATTCCCCCATTTGGAAATCGTACACGTGTGCTGCAAAGAATACTGAGTCCTTTTTTTTTGTTTCTTATGTTTCAACAGGGCAGAGTTTAGGGTATGGATTTGTTAACTATATTGATCCAAAGGATGCAGAGAAAGCCATTAACACTTTAAATGGACTCAGACTCCAGACCAAAACCATAAAGGTAAGAGAATACAAAGAGTATTTTGCTAAATTCAGGAGGAAGAGTGTAGTTAAGACAGTGTCTGGCTATCTCAGCAATGTTGCATTCTTCACAGCCCAAAGGGTGCAACTAGCTCTTACTTTGGAACAAAGGAAAGGTGTATAGCAGATGGCACTTTCTTCTTCTTTTCAAACTGCCTATTGTTTTTGTTTATAAAAAGAAAAGAAAAAACCAAGCAGAAAATCTTTAAATGACTATTACAGGATTTCAAGTCAGCATGTCAAAAGCACAGCGTTTAGAGAGTCATCCACAAAAATCATAGCAGCAAATTAGGGGGGGAAATAGGCTTTTTACGAAATGGCTACTACATGGGGTTTGGTTGCTTATTTCGGCTATCATTATCTTGCCATGAGATAACTGGGCATACGACTGATGCTCTTGTCAAGATGCACCTGTAGTTACCCTAGAGTAAATGGTGATCAGGTACCAGTTTTTAGCATTAAGTTTGTTTTCCAGAAAGCAGAACATTCTGAAGGAAACTCAAGATCAAGTGATCTTAAAGCATTTGTCTGCATTCTGTTAGCATTTTTGGTACTGTAGTTCTTTATGGGGGGAACTAGAGTACTGGGCTGTAACGTCTTCCTGATTTCAGAGAGAAAAACTCCATGCAAATTCTTTCATAATATAGCTACATGTACGTTGTAGTAATTTAATATATATTCTATTTTTAGCATACTCCTTCTAAATCCACTTAACATAGTATCAAATTTGATATCTTTTACACTAAGAAAATGCTTACTATAGGATTCCCTGCAATTACTACACATTTTGCTTCAGTGAGTTAATATGAGGAAACAAAACAAAAATATTCTTATTGTTACAGTGTAGTACTGAGTCAGCAGCTTCCTTGTCTGCTTCCAAATTAAAGGAAGAAATTGCTGGCTTCACCTGAAAGCCCATAAGCAAAAAAAAGGGGGGGTCCTCCACTTTTTTAAGAAAGAAAGAAAAATAGATTGTATGTGTCTTAAATAGTCCAACTTGCATTAAATTTACCCTCAAGGTAGAGATTTTTAGTGCCGTGTTCACTTTCTGTATTATTTTTCTGCTTGAAAGCTTGGTCATCTTTGCTGTTTTATAAGTTGCTTTCTCGTGTTATTATCATAGTGCTATAGACTCAAATTTGGGGTGGGGAGAAACCATGATAAGTAGGATCCTAGAACCCCAGAATTTATTGACTAGGACTCTAGTATCCACTTTTAGATGCACGCATTTAAATAGGTTTTCATACTTAACCAGTTAATGACTAAAAAACCATTATATTTTAATGGTGTTTATCTCTTGTTTTACTCTTTAAAGTAAAATGTGTATTTTGAGGGGCAGGGGTGGTCTTGATCTAAAGGCTAAACTTCTTTTAATTCAAATATGTCTACCATATCAAATTTGGATAGTTATTGTTTTTTAAAGACTATGGGTATGATTTTGGTCCAGGGTACATCAAGGTGGTTAGCGAAGAAATAATAAAGGAAAAACCCAATAGAACTGTGCTGTGCAAAGGTATGAAATAATATGTAAGAAGCATTAAAAAAGTTTTTAAAAAACATCCTATCTCTTCCCTAAAGGTTTGTTTTGCTGGTTAGGGTGTGAAAGTAAAAGAGAATGTTCAGCCATTTCAACCCATTTGTTTATGTATAACTCGTTCTGTGTCCTTGTTTATTTTTCGATTGTGATATGTTCTGATCTGTGTAAACACACTAGAGAGGATTATGTTCATCCGTAATTTTTCCTATAGCATTGAAGGTTTTCTTTTCTTCTTAGTATCTGCTTTGTAAAATGACAGGCTGTTCTCCTTGGTGTTAAATGGGACACCTTCACCTTGAAATTTAATAATTTAACAATTACTTATTTTATTATTATGGCCTAGAAATGTTACTGCTTCTTTGTTTTAAACCTTCTTGTTTCCTACACTAAAGTGCCTCCCACACATGTGCACTGAATATGGAAAACAATAAATAGACAGGGATTTGTTTTTGCATTTCTTCACATGAAAGAAAGCCTAAATTCTCTCTCTGCACATGGGGGAAAAATATATTGTGAAGAATGCTAGAATTCCCTCAAAAACTAACACTCTGTGGGCAGGGTTGTGTGTGGTTTTTTTTAAAAAATTGGGACAGCAGGGTCACCTAACTGCAGTTTGAAGTGATACAATTTTATATAGATCATGTTAAAGAATTATATTTGTTATCATATAATTAAAAAAACGGGGGGGGGGGGACCACCACAATTACCAGTACTTAAAACACCATAGATGTGTGAAATAAGGACATAGAGCTTGCTTAATTCCTTCTGATTGGTAGAATGCTTGATTAAACTATGGTGGGGTTTGATTAACTAAAGTTGCTCTCAAAACAAGGGTAGTTAGTGATCTGCATGTGGAATTACAGAACCAGGATAAAACATCTGTATGTAAATTGTGCTAGATAATGAGATAACAGTTAGTCATCTTGTTATAATCATAGTACATAAGAACAGATTGCTGGATCAGGCCAGTGGCCTTTGTAAACCAGCATCCTGTTCTCACAGCAGCCAGCCAGATGCCTGTGGGCAGCCCACAAACAGCATCTGATCATAAGAGCCCTCTGCCCACCTCTGGTTCCTAGCAACTGGTACTCAGAGGCATTTCAGTGCTGTAAGTTTACAGTGTCCTCATAATTTTAAACTTCATGTAAAATTATGAATGAATGAATGAAACAATGAAAATACTTCCTGAAGAAATACAGCCGCTGAACAATATTGTCTAGTTTTAAGATGGCTCCTTCTGTCCCTCCATGACCACGATAAAAAGTGTAATTACACAACTGTCACTATTTTCTGACAGTTTATTTAGTTTTAATAAAGTTTACATTTTATTATACTTCTGGTACTGAATTACAAAGTTGATTGGCTAGAAGATGAAACAACGCAAATGGCATCAACGAATCTGAAATCTTTATTTTTATTTTATTGCACTGACAGTGTGCATAACACTTCTAAGTATAAGAGGATAGGTTTCTACTCCAAGGTGTGAAATCTGATGCTGGTCAAGCTGCAGAGAGAGAGAGAGAAGGAATGGGTCTACATTTCAGTGGCACATGCTTAGTCTTAATTACAGTAGGATATTGCGCTGAAGGCTTAATGGAAAAGCTGGGTTTCGAGAAGTCATTTGAAGGAGATGAGATGTTGCATGTTGAGACCCCAAAACCACCCCCTCATTGATGAATAAGACACAAGAACATGTATATTCGGTTAATGGTTATTGGGCAAATTTAGGCCACAGCTATATTGGTTACAGAATGTGAGCGGTATTGGCTTAGGCATTGGAATTGACCCGACTATATCTGACTCCTACCCGTCATGCAGGGAGTCTGTAAGGGTCAACCACTGGTAGGAGGAGCCCTGTTGATGCAAACCAACTCAAGCTCCCCCTGGGTTCCCGACAGGGTCGTGGCATGGCCCTAGCCCTGCCCCAGGCTTTCGACAAGATCCACACCCCCGAATTCCTTTAACAGAATACCCTTAAGCTTAGAGGGGCAGGTGATGGCCACACCTCACCTCCCCCATCATAAGACCAACCAATGCCTAACCACAACCCTAACAAAGTTGTGACGATTGCTACAAGGTAGGCAAAAACCAAATGACCCATGCCAATTTGCCAAGTGGAAAAATTCCTACCAGGCCCCTCAACGGCAACCAACCGATGTCCATAGCAAGGCCAATTTCGAAACCTGAAACTAGGGAGGGCAGGTGGAAGATCGAGGAAGCGAGCCAAGAGGAAGCTCTCCGGTTTAAATGGGGCCCGGCCACGTCCCACACCCACACCCCCCAGCCAACAGATTGGCTGGCTGGACAATAACGTGGCCGGTAACCTCTGGGTGACGTGGGACTTTGTCCCCCGCCCCCGGAGGGGAGTGGGTGGCCATGTGGTCCACTGCAACCCCTCCCCACTGGAAAGTAGAGTGGATTTAGCACCATTCCGGGCTCCAGGGGCAGCAGTGGATAACGGGGCACAGCATTTGAGGGAGCAGAAGATGTTTGCACACTTGACATGGGTGGAGCTTGAAGAGCAAAGACCACAAACAGGAATGCATTGGGATGTGAGAGCAGAGAGATCAAACTTGAAATAATGAAATAATGTTCACAAACAGTCAAGTGAGAAAATACACGGGAAGTACAAGGCTTGGGAGCAGGGGGGAAACAAAATTGAATTCTTGAGACATACTGTAGCCCTAGAAACTTCTGTAGGGAAAAGTAATTGGTAGAAAGTGTCGGGGGAAGGAGGGAATCCTCTTTCTCAAACATTTCCTATTATTAAAGGGAGAGGGCAGGGAAATAAATTTTATTATTTTGCTGTTTGAATACCATAGCTGTTCTACCATACTTGTCTCAGGATGTGGAAGTAGAAAATTGCAGATTTAGTGGTGTGATTCACATCCCACTGAAGTTAATGGCAAAGTTTAGTTGATGATAAGGGCTGTGGATTGCCGCCTTACAATAACCAATGGGAAGCGTTCTGTTGGCTGTGGTGCTTTAACCCACTTGCGAATTTTATTCCCATGGTATTGCCAAAATAAGTTACTGTGTAAGTTTTGCTTGTCAGGACCACAGTTGCTTTTACAATCAGTAATAGTTGCTATGATGCTTAGTTATATAAATATTCTTGACATTTTTAGCATTAGTTAATGTCATTGGCCTGTCAACAGTATTGTTGCTTTTTTTTTTTTTTAAGTGACTGCTTTTGGGTGACCTAAGTGAGTGATTTTGTTCCTTCCACTTCAGCAACAGGCCAAGTAATTGCATGAGGGCAAGTAGTTAAATTTTGTCACATAAATGGTTGTCATTAAAAGGAAATACATTGCTAGTGTCCGGTATAATTAGGTTTTTAAACTCTCTCATGTGTCATCTTTGACATGATGTCAGAGACCACTGTAGATGACCAGAGCATCTATCTGCAGCCCTAGCTCTTGCAATGACAAGCATTTAAGAAAAAGGAAGATGCTAGCAAATAATCACACTTTTAATGGAATAATGATCACCATATATAAGAACATTCCCATGAGACAACACAAATTTCAAATACCCTTGTTACAGAAATTATTTTGACATCTTATAGTGTGTGTCATGGTGTTGGTCACCCTGTTATGCCCATCAAATTTCAAACATCTTGGCCATTGGGCAACATTTAAATTTTTTGTCTTCATCTTTGGAGGCGTAACAAGTGGAGAAGTTATAAACCTTTTGTTTGAACACAGACAGAATTTTTGACCAGTATAAAAGCAGTGGCTCAGGGAGGTCAGGCCAGGGAGGAAATGCATTAATTCAAATTTTCTTAAAACACAGTTTTGTCAGAGAGGAAGCTGTAGCTTTTGGAGTGGGGGGGCTGAGTCCACAATGTGAGACCGCTGGCACCTGTCTGTTTGGCTGCCGTGATAGATGTCCATTGTGCACACGAGGAGCTGATTGCAAAGTCAGGTCTCGCAGTTTAACTGTCAGGTGCCAACCATGCACTGAAAAATAACAGCATGCCCAAAGTTGTCGTCCACCTTGTACTCAAAGATCTATATAACTATCACATTTGTCACTTCTGTCACAATCTTCACACCGCATTTATTTCAGCCTCCAGTGAGGCATCCAGTGCAGTGGCTGCTGTGACATGGATAGGTTTCAGCTGATGTCACCTAAAGATGTGTGCAAGATGCTTGGAACAATGCACCCAACCATTTGCTTCCTCAGCCCTTGTTCCCTCTTGGCTTATTAAAGCACGCCAAGCGAGGTTGACCGGGTGGGCCCTGGGTGTGGTCAACACATCACTGCAGGATGGACTGGTCCTGGCAGTTTTGAAAGATGCTTTGATTCAACCACTCCTGGAAAAGCCTACATTGGACCCCCTCGTTTGTGACAATCACTGCCCTTTCACAAATACCAATTCTTGAGGGAAGGTGATTGAGGGGGCTATGACAGGACAGTAACAAGTATTATTGAGTGATATGAGTTATTGACATATTCCAGTCAAGAATCAGGCTTGGTTTGGGGACTGAATCAACAGTGAGCACCCTAGCGTATGGCTTTTATCAGGAGTACAAGGGATGTGTGACCCTGTAATGGTGTGTGATACCATTGAACACAATGTGGTCCAGAACTGATGAGATGAGCAGTGTTTTTAGTGTTTGATGTTGTATTGTGTTTTAATTTGTTGGAAGCTGCCCAGAGTGGCTGGGAAAACCCAGTCAGATAGGCGGCATATAAATAATAAATTATTACTATTTTACAGTGGTTCTGATCCTTTCTTTGAGGTCAGTTTCAGAGAATAGACTGGTGGTTTTTCGGCCCCCTGGCAGTGGGGTGCTGCAAGGTACCATCCTGCCCCGCCCCCCCGGTGTCATTTAGCGTGTATGAAGCCATTGGGAGCTATCATTAGGAGATTTCAGTGTTAGAAACTGAGATATGAAAGCTAGGAGCTAAATGGCACCTTAAACCTAGGTTATGGGTGCAACAACAGAATGTCTAGGCGCACTTTTTTAATAACAAGAATGCAAAGCTGAAAATGAATGAACTGCAGCTAAAATACTGTGTTCATTTTTCACATGGTCTAGTCCTTCTCCTGCCCACCCCCCTTAAATTTTTAGGAGGGTCTCTTCCAGTCTTCAAAGAGTAGCTAGAAGTGGGGAGGGAGAAAATGGTCCTCCTTTCCTTCCACTCTGCAGTTTTAATCTGATACCTTAGGTGCAGTACTGCGCCCAGAGCTCAGAAACTGCTCACACTAAAGAAATTCCCAGTCACAAAATGTGCCTAGAACAGTAGGAGTTTCGAACACTGGCAGATTTTAAGGCTAGGGTATCTAAAAGATTAACTCACCCACACATACCCAATTGAACACTATACCCTGCGCATGTCTTCTCATCAGGAGGTATGATATAGGAATCATACCTTTAGTGTGGTTTCCTCTTGTCACAAGCCTTTCAAGTGAAGGTTTTTACCTAATATTTATCTGCATTGAACTGGAAATTGTATTTATATATCTTTTTATAGTTGATGTATGTTTGTTTTTATTTATTGTTAACTGCTTTGGCATGTTTCGTGGTAAATGATTCTTACATGAAAACAATCCTAGTAATAACACACTATCCTTCCTTTGAGGATCTCAGTGCAGTGCAGCATACACGGGGTTTCCCCATTTCATCTTCACACCATTACTGTGAAGTAGGTAGCCTGAGAGTGATCTGGGCCAAAACCAGCATTTAATACACTACACTGGCTCAGTGTGAGGTCCAAGTGAACTAGTGTTAACTGCCCCTCCTGAAGATAGTGTGATCTCTTAACCTATAAACAGTTGGGATGTCTAAATAATTATAATGCTAGTATCCTGCATCATAGTTTTATATCTAGCTTAAAATAAATTCAGCTCAGACACACCTGCTTTAGGGCTTCGTGTAATTCTTGCCTCCTCCTTACCATGTTCTAAGCCCTAGGACTGAATTACCAGATGGCAGACCAACTGAATAACTTCAGCCAAGCAGTTATTCTAATCCATTTGATGTTGAATTAGAATAGCAATATAAAGCTAATCATCTGATGTTACTGAGCAAAGTCCTTAAGCGGGTGGTTGCTAACCAGAATCAGGTTCTCTTGGATCCCGTCTGGTTTTCTAGATCCATTTAAATTGGGGTTTAGGCCTTGTTTTGACACAGAAACTGCCTTGGTCGCTCTGTATTTGTTGGGTTAGGGATGGATGAGAAACAGGGAGAGTGTTGATTGACCATGGTATTCTTTTAGAGTGGCTGTCCAATTTGGGAGTGGGTGGTTCCACTTTAAAATAGTTCCTACCCTACTTAGATGCCCATCTCCAGAGAGTGGTGTTGGGAGATGCTGCTTGGCCCCATGGATTCTCCAGTGTGGGATGCCACACGGACCAGATTTGTCCACCCAGGCTGTTTAGCATCTACATGAAACCACTGGCTGGGCTCATCCAGGGATTTGGACTGTGTTGTCATCAATAATCAGATGAGACACAAATCTGTTTTTCATTACCTGTTCTGGATAGAGTTGAGCTTCTCCTAAAGGAGCAAGAATACAGTTTGGGGGTGCTTAGGGACACAGCAGGTGTCTGTGGAGACACAAGTGACCTCAGTGGCACAGAGTACCTTCCATCAGCTTTCACTGGTGGCACAGTTATGACGCTGTCTTGACAGGGGCAGCCTAACTTCTATTATAAACACTGTACTAACTTCTTGCTTTAGATTACTGCAATGTGTTATACTTCGGGCTGCGTTTGAATACAGTCAGAAACGGCACATAGTGCAGGATTCAGAGGGCAGACTAGGTGATCTGGTGATACCATACTAATCCTGGCACAGTTGGCTGCTAATTAAGTTCCAGGCTCAGTTCAAAGTGCTGGTCAAGATTCCAGTACCTTAAGGACCAGCTCCTCACACATGAACCTACCCAGTCCCTGTGTTCATCATCTGAGGACCTTCTTTGTGGACCTAAAGGGGTTAGTGGAGGGGGTTGGTGAGGTCTTGGGGGGGTGACGAACGAAGCAAGCAGGGACACAGCCCCTAGCAATAAATAATACTGATAATGATGTTCCTAATAGGATCCAGTTTGGTCTTTTTTTCTCCTTAGGAAAGGAGTGAGTTGATTATTATCTTGCTTCTCACATATATTTGGATTCACACATTTTTTTAAATTGCTAAGAGCACATTTTTCTTCACTTTTCTCAAAAGTAGCTCTCTGGTAAGTGGGGAATTCTTTGCTTCCCCAGCAATAACATTTCCCCATTTGGAAGAGTTAACGGTGTTACCAAAAAGATGCTGTACAAGAAGGAATATTCATGGTGTATTATATAAATGCCACATCCAGTTTTGTGTTTCAGGCATGAAAACAAGCACCTGGATTTTAGGGTTCTTTAATCCCGAAAATATGCATAACATGAGCAGATCTCTTTAGGTTCCTCTGTGTTCCCCTGTAGAACCCTTCCTGAACTGTTGTGCATCCATTCATTTAGGTACATAATGCTTCACATTCCCTTCTTCCTTCCTTGTTGCTTTTTCATCAAGTCTAATATTTCTCTCTCACTTGCATCTTACCTACACTCCTTAATGTGCACCCTCAGAAGCTACTTAGTCACCTCCATATTAAATTACCTATTTGTGCTACTGACTGGCACAACTTAAATATTAATAATGAACATGGTAATAAACATTACATTAGGATAAAGGTGACGTGATCAAATGGCCCAACTCCTGCAGCGTATTTCACCTCAAGCAGTTGATGAAACCCAAGAGCAAATGGTGACAAATGGAGTGATCTATTTCTTTTCCTTTTCATTGAACTTCCTGGTTTAGGTATATCCTGAAGCATCATCTGTATCCCCTAGAACATCTTGACTTAATAGTTATTGATGCTCCTATTTCACTTGAATTACATAATCCCCCTGTGCAGCTTGTTATGAAAGGTAAATAAAGCATTCTGGAAAGTACTGTCTGCACATGAATTCGGTTTTATTCTGTGCTGCCTCCATGGGTACCACAGCAAGACACTTACTAAGCTCCAACATATTTAGTACTTACGCTCTGTGGAAGTTCAGAGTTAACAGATACAGAATAAATATACAAAGGGTGTAACTGATAGCCGCTGCTTGGGAAGGGGAAGAGAGAGGAAGCCCCAGAACAGCATATAGGGAGAGGAGAGGGGAGTTAGCTTTGTCAAGAAAGCAGAAATAGTTGAGCTGAATAGTCTCTTTAGCACTATATTGATTTCTACCCATTGTTTGATTGGGTAACTATATCACAAAATTTGGTTAAGTGTGAATTTCAAGGGATGGTTGTGTTTTGGTTCTCATACTGTTTTGGAAAGCACAGGTTTGATAGATTCGCCTTTAAATGTGACCTGAACCAAATTTGTTCCGATCCCTACTTTGCAGACAGCTTATATAATTTGTGTTCTTGCTGGATGGATTGTGGAGGGATTTAGGGCAGATCCTGAAAAGGCTCCGGCTGCGTGCATTCCCAGAGATCCCTCTTGTTTTTTAAAAGACATTTCAACAAACTTTCCAGACCCATGATTCTAACTAAATAGTATATCCACGTATCTATATATCCCTCCCACATCTGGAATAGAGCATAGATGTTATAAGAAAATGGCAGAAAATTGAATGACGATCAGAAGTAATTGTGCCATCTAGAGTGACCACTGAAAATGAGCCTTAAAAAGTGGCTTTATAAATATAGAAGCTTCAATATATGCGGGAGGGAATCAAAGAATTGTAGAGTTGGAAAGGCTCACGAGGGTCATCTAGTCCAACCCCCTGCAATGTGGGAATCTTTTTGCCCAACATGGGGCTTGAACCCACAATCCTAAGATTAAAAGTTTAATGCACTACCTACTGAGCCCCTCCCTGCAACACTTCATTTTAGATCCTTTCAGCAGGACGTTAACACACACAAATTCACTGGGCAGTAGTGAGCGCTCTATGCCAGCATAAAGGTATTTGGATTGCTCTGTCTGAAAAACAGCTCCCACTGTACTTTTCTATGCCTTGTAACTCTGTGGGCAAGAGGGGCTGATTATCATTGGGAATCATGGTTCGGGAAGGGAGGGCTAAATCTTCCCTCCTTTTGGAAATGACCGTCACACCTGGTATCTAATTTTTTTAAAAAAATATATATGCAGTTGCTAACCACACTTAGTAAATAAATGTGTGTTTTGGCCTTCATTTTAGGATTTGTCAAACTACTACTCTAGGCTCTTCTTTCCAGTTGTGATGTATTGGTCAAACTGCATGTTAGCGCTTAATACATAGTGTGCAGCTACATTGCTTGTTTGTCCTTAACTGCATGCTCAGGGGGCTCTGTTATTGGGATTGCAGCATGTGGGGAGAGGAGGTTTATCCCTGTCTTCCGGTGCCGCAAAACACACAGACGCTGCATGGCTACAAGGCTTAGAAAATAATTCCCACCTCTCTTTGGAGTGAAACATTTTATTTGCAGCTGTCTCCTGAGTCCTTTCTCTTTGCTGTCTCTGCAGCTGAACTACAGTGCGGTCTTCTGACCTACCCCGCTCTTATTTGAAGCCCTGTTTCTTATCTGCATCCTTTAATATGATCTACACAACTACCCAGTTGCCACTGTGTTTAAATTCCACAGCTATGTTTTTCCCCCCATTTCAACTAAGTGAAGGGAGCAGCAAGAAACATTCACGCAGCTCTGCGTGCTGCTGCTGCTTCCACCACTTTATCAGACACTGTCCTGCACATTCTAGAACCCTGACTTTCCAGGGTACTGAAACAGACAGGGAACCCCAATGAGTATAGGAAACTATGCAATTGAGACATTCACCCTCCACAAGTTGGATGGTGACCAGTATGGCCAAAAGAGACAGAGCTACTGCCTCCTTCCCTTTTCCTGTAGTAACGTAACACTTAAGCCAGGCATAGGCAAACTCAGGCCCTCCAGATCTTTGGGACTACAATTCCCATCATCCCTAGCTAACAGGACTAGTGGTCAGGGATGATGGGAATTGTAGTCCCAAACATCTGGAGGACCGGAGTTTGCCTATGCCTGACTTTAGCCATTACAATTATCTTGTTATGTGAATAGGAAGGTGCTTACCCACCATAAACAAAACTTTAAAATTCCAGCGTTAGGAATGTGTCCTTTACCTTCCAAGATTTTGGGATGTTTTGTTGTCATTCATATAAAGCGTAGGTTGTATTATTTAAGTTAGATTTGTCCATTTTGCTTTCTCCCGATTTCCTGTTTTTCCAGTGTTCAACTTGTCTTGGTAAACGAGAAAAGGAAGAGTACCATGAGGCTAGTAACATTGAATGTAAAAGAGGCATTAGCTGCTTTGTATAATTATTAGAATATTAGACTTAGAGGACAGCTTCCAAGAAAGTTAAAGCTCAGGTTGCTTGGGTATTGAAGTTTGAATACATGTAGTTTTCATTCTCCAAGTCTTACATCTGATGTATTTGTGCATGTCACCTGAATGAGTACTTTCCATTCCCCCCCCCTCCACTCCTTGCGGTCTTATATGTGTCTTAGGAGTCAGAATTAGGACAAACCTATGATCCACATATAGGGATGTGGGTGGTGCTGTGGTCTAAACCACAGAGCCTAGGACTTGCCGATCAGAAGGTCGGCGGTTCGAATCCCCACGACAGGGTGAGCTCCCGTTGTTCAGTCCCTGCTCCTGACCACCTAGCAGTTCGAAAGCATGTCAAAGTGCAAGGCAGGAAGGTAAACGGCATTTACGTGCGCTGCTCTGGTTTGCCAAAAGCAGTTCTGTCATTCTGGCCACATGACCCAGAAGCTGTCTGCGGACAAACGCCGGCTCCCTCTGCCTATAGAGCAAGATGAGCACCGCAACCCCAGAGTCGTCCGCGACTGGACCTAACGGTCAGGGGTACCATTACCTTTATGATCCACATATTTTGAAGACACTACAATGGCAACAAGTAGTTTTACTATATACAGATGAATGCATGAAATTATGTTCACAAACACAGTTTATATAGAAACACTAGGACTTAAAAAAATAGCATGTATTATTTAGGCTATGAAATTTTGAGTGGCACCTGTGTTGGTATGGTATAGTTAAAATAAAAAAGAACCTTTGCCTCCTTAGACAATGTTATTGTGACATTGGTTTTTGTGAATTACAACACACTTTATCAGATGCATGCCATGTAATCCTACATTCACACAAGTGCTGAGAAGAAGTGAAAAAGTCTGTATATAGTAGAGCCAGAAAGTCATTACAGTTAGGGGATAACAGTAGGTGTTTGCTACATTGCTATGACGAATCTAATTTTTTCAAGATAAAATCAAACTCTGCCTGGGCACTCCATTGCCTCTAGGTTGCAAATCATAGTACCCTGGCAATATTCCTACATTGGTGGTGGTGGTGAGTAGCCAGGCTCATTTGTTATTGCCAGAAGAAATATAGTGAGTACTTTGCTGCTAATACGCCTTACCAGTATGTTTTTAATTCTCCTTTTGCTCCCCAATCCTTCCTCACAATACATGGCCTAGTACATTTTTGTGCTTATCTGCAAGATCATGTGAGATTAGAGGAAGAAAATCCAGTGAGTAGGCAGTTACAGGATCACTGCAGGCAGTCTTTCATATGTCTGATGCCTGACTAAATATTGGGATTTTTTGATTACATCCCACAAAGGAATAGAACTGATGGCTGTATTTTGTATGTAAGCCTCTTTAAAAAAATTGTAATCACTGCAGAAACAAAATAGGAATTAACTTGATAAAAATAAACATGTTTTTGACAAGCTATGTTTATGTTTATTGCAGCTAGTTTTATGCATACACAGGTGTTTTTAAAATGCTGAAGTTACGCTGACTTCCAAACCTTTGCTACCTAATGGCCCCTCAACCCAACTCTTATAATCTGTTTCACATGCAGATATGCCCATTTCCAGCATATGAGGACTTGTTGACTGGGGTAATAATATTGTGCAAGTATTACAAGAGGAATAGCCAATATATCTTTGACATCCACCTACAACCTTGCATGGGGAAATAAAAGAAGAGAGCAGTAGCTCTTTCCCCAAAACAATTTGGGATGAGGTGTAAGTAAGGAAATGTTATCTTCACAAACCCATTGTGGATAAGTGTACATTTACCACATCACAGGCTTTGCTGATGACGAATGATAGCTGATGGGGCTTGAAGACACTGTGGCTCAGTATCCTATGCCTCTGTAGAGTTTTGTGAAAGACTCAATGTTCCCTGAACCTAAAATCTGAAAACCACTGTCATACACTATAACCAGTCCCTCTAATTGTTTGTTCCCTTTTTATCACAATTCTTTTTAACATTTATATTTATATGCATTGGGATACTTTAGAAAATAAGTTATGTCTGACTCCTAAATATTGAAATGTGGTTTTAAATTCTTTGCAGTGTAAACATGTGTAACGTGTTTATCTTCTTCTAATGAAGATTGTGGAGGCAAATATTAGTTTTCTCTGATATTTTCTTTGTTGACTCATCTGTTTTTAGAAGTGGAGAAAATACATACATCTATCAGTTGCCTTTTTGAGAGATAGGTGTTGCTTGTCATGTTACTGACTTGAACCCCCTCCACACATGCTGTTGCGTGAATGTAATACAGCAATTTATAGATGAGCTAGACTTTAAATACTTAGTTTTAGACAAAAGTGAAAAGCTTCACAAAGTTGTTGGGTTTGTATATTCGAGTATTATAGTGTGCCGGAAAGCTTAATCTCTTTATACTCTGTGTGGAATTGCTAGCAGTACAAGGAATGGGTTGGCAAAATGGCTTTTTGTAAGATGAAAAATACATATTTTCAAACTGGAGCTGGTGGAAATAGGAAACAATATTGACAAATTAAACAGACCTCTATATATAAATCATACATTGTATGTTGACTGCAGTTATTAAAATGAATATTAAATCATTCTTTCACCGAAATGTGTTGTATTTTGCTAAAGCATTATTAGAATTCTGCATAATATTTTAATATGTATTGACTAGCATCAGCTGGATGTTTTTCCAGTTTGAGGGGCAGTTAGAACTGAGTTGAAAATAGCATGATGCTGAGAATGGGTTCACTAAGCAGATGTTTCGTTAGTTATTCTGTAATGCAATCAGGGCAGATCCTGCCAGTTTAGTATGAATACATAAAGAGAAAATATCTCTCTGTAAAAAGCCTCATCTGTTTCTAACCATTAAAGCAAAACAACACTGAACCTGTACATACCAGGTTCATTCAGATTGTGCTGGATACAGTAAATCATTTTATACACCCACAGCCCAAAGGGGTAAATTTACAAAGCTGATGTGTGGGAGGCTGCACATTAATCTGCCTATCTTCAGTCACTGTTTTTATTCCTGCATTTAAGGACCTTATCCTTGCATGTGTTTTAAAATTATTTCCAGCTTTCCTTTTGTTCTCAACATTTTTTCTACTTCTCAGTTTCTATAGTAAGAGCAGGTAGAATCAAGTGAGAAGGTTATTTTAAACAAGCTGTCGGAACTCAAAAGGTTGAAAACAGTCTGTTAACCAAGTGTGTGATGTAAAGGTCTTTGTGGGATTTGTGCTTTTAAGCTTGTCCACATATGATCTAGGATTGGGGTGAGTAGTGAGGCAGCCACGTTTGCCGATAACAGTAAATTGTTCAAGGTCATTAAAACAAAAAAGATGGGTGGCAAAATAACAAATGCAGTTCAGTGTAAGCAAGTGTGAAGTGATGCGTGTTGGGACAAAAAGGTCTTAATTTCTCTTAAAACTCATGAGAAACTCAGTGACTGACCAGGTACAAGACCTTGGGGTCATGGTGGATAGTCGACCTGTGTGTGGCAGCTTTGAAAAAGCACTAATCCCTGGTGCAACTGCGTTTGGAAGACGGTGAACGGTTCTGGTTCCTCACCTCAAAAAGGATATTGTAGAGTTGGAAAAAGTTCAGAAAAGGGCAGCCAGAATTATTCAGGGGATCGAGCAGCTCCTCTATGAAGAAAGGTTACAGCCTTTAGTTTAGAGGAACGGCATTTAAGAGGTGACATGGCTGGAGTTTATAAAATTATGGCATGGAGAAGGTGGGTCGAGAGGAGTTTTTTTTCTTCCTCTTTCATAGTACCAGAACTTAGGACATCCAGTAATGTTGGAAAGCTCAGGATAGACAAAAGAAAATGCTTCTTCATGAAGCACCTAAACTATGGAACTCGTTCCCACATTTAATGGCCAACTTGGATGGTTTTAAATCGGGATTAGACATTTCATGGAGGACTATGGTGATGTTCCTCCCTCACTGTTGGAGGCAGTGCTTCTGAATACCACTTGCTGGGAATGGGCAGAGTGCTGTTGTGTTTTTGTCTGCTTTCAGGCATCTGTTTTTGGCCACTGTTAGAACAGGATGCTTGACTAGGTGGGCCACTGCTCTGATCAGCAGGCTATTATTATGTTTAAAACACAATACATTATTTAACCACGTGTTGTTTAACTCCTAGGTTTCCTATGCCCGTCCAAGTTCGGCATCAATCAGAGATGCTAATCTGTATGTCAGCGGCCTTCCAAAAACGATGACCCAGAAAGAGCTAGAGCAGCTTTTCTCGCAATATGGGCGCATCATCACCTCAAGAATTCTGGTTGATCAAGTCACAGGTTGAAAAACGTTTTATTTATAAGCACATTTCTAAACTTGAATTTGTTTGGAAGGTCCTTCATTTGCTGTTTTAATTAAAGCTCTCAAGTGCTTTCGCTCTACTTTTTCTACACAGGAATATATATAAAGGAAATTGCATATTTAGATTTGCTGACAAAGGGAGGGGAGGTTGATAATCAGCTGTAATTTCCAAATGGTGGGTTAGGGACAAATCAGTAATTTGGGGAAGTCTTGTAAATGTGTGATCAGTTGGAATGGGGGCAGGGAATTCTGGTTCAGGCTGAAATAAACATGGTTTCATCATAAAAACATTTCGACAAATATGATATTCCACATTTATAAGAGGGAAAACAGCCATATGTTTACAACTATATCAATTTTAAACTTTTTTTTTTTTTACCTAACTGTGTATAGGACCATAAATGTTCGTATATAGGTGGAGTTATTAAGGCTGTATCTTTGTAAACAGCGCAGAGATTACATAAATAGTGTGTGAATTATTTAAATAAAATAAAACAGTTGCAATTGCAATAGGTTTCTTTAAAGGCCAACTTAATGCATGCAAAGAAATAGAGGAAAACAACAGAATGGGGAAAACCAGAGATCTGTTCAAGAAAATTGGAGATATGAAAGGAACATTTTGTACAAAGATTACCATAATAAAGGACAAAAGTGGTAAGGACCTAACAGAAGCAGAAGACATCAAGAAGAGGTGGCGAGAATACACAGAGGAATTATACCAGAAAGAAATGGATGTCTCGTACACCCCAGATAGTGTGGTTGCTGACCTTGAGCCAGACATCCTGGAGAGTGAAGTCAAATGGGCCTTAGAAAGCACTGCTAATAACAAGCCTAGTGGAAGTGATGTTATTTCAGCTGAACTATTTAAAATTTTAAAAGATGATGCTGTTAAGGGGCTACACTCATTATGCCAGCAAGTTTGGAAAACTCAGCAGCGGCCAGAGGATTGGAGAAGATCAGTCTATATCCCAATCCCAAAGAAGGGCAGTGCCAAAGAATGCTCAAACTACCACACAATTGCACTCATTTCACATGCTAAAAAGGTTATGCTTAAAATTCTACAAGGCAGGCTTAAGCAGTATGTGGACCAAGAACTCCCAGAAGTGCAAGCTGGATTTCGAAGGGGCAGAAGAACCAGAGACCAGATTGCAAACATGTGCTGGATTATGGAGAAAGCTAGAGAGTTCCAGAAAAACATCTACTTCTGCTTCATTGAATACGCAAAAGCATTTGACTGTGTTGACCACAGCAAACTATGGCAAGTTCTCAAAGAAATGGGAGTGCCTGATCACTTCATCTGTCTCCTGAGAAATCTCTATGTGGGACAAGAAGCTACAGTTAGAACTGGATATGGAACAACTGATGGGTTCAAAATTGGGAAAGGAGTACGACAAGGCTGTGTATATTGTCTCCCTGCTTATTTAACTTATATGCAGAATTCATCCTGCGAAAGGCTGGACTGGATGAATCCCAAGCCGGAATCAAGATTGCCGGAAGAAATACCAACAACCTCAGATATCCTGATGACACAACCTTGATGGCAGAAAGTGAGGAGGAATTAAATAACCTTTTAATGAGAGTGAAAGAAGAGAGTGCAAAATATGGTCTGAAGCTCAACATCAAAAAAACTAAGATCATGGCCACTAGTCCCATCACCTCCTGGTAAATAGAAGGGGAAGAAATGGAGGCAGTGAGAGATTTTACTTTCTTGGGTTCCATGATCACTGCAGATGGTAACAGAAGTCTCGAAATTAAAAGACGCCTGCTTCTTGGGAGAAAAGCAATGACAAACCTAGATAGCATCTTTAAAAGCAGAGACATCACTTTGCCGACAAAGGTCTGTATAGTTAAAGGTATGGTTTTCGCAGTAGTGATGTATGGAAGTGAGAGCTGGACCATAGAATTGATGCTTTTGAATTATGGTGCTGGAGGAGACTCTTGAGAGTCCCATGGACTGCAAGAAGATCAAACACATCCATTCTGAAGGAAATCAGCCCTGAGTGCTCACTGGAAGGACAGATCCTGAAGCTGAGGCTCCAATACTTTGGCCACCTCATGAAAAGAGCAGACTCCCTGGAAAAGGCCCTGATGTTGGGAAAGATGGAGGGCACAAGGAGAAGGGGACGACAGAGGACGAGATGGTTGGGCAGACTCTGGGAGGCAGTGGAAGACAGGAGTGCCTGGCATGCTCTGGTCCATGGGGTCACGAAGAGTCGGACACGACTAAACGACAACAATGCATGCAACACTTTATTTCCTGTGGTGTTACTAACTTCCTGTGGCCTTGTGTAGTAGGTTCTTGAAACTTCTTTCCCTTTCTTCTTTTGCTTATTTAAATGCAATATTCTTTTCACAGGTGTTTCTCGTGGTGTAGGATTTATCCGTTTTGATAAGAGAATAGAGGCAGAAGAAGCCATAAAGGGACTAAATGGCCAGAAGCCTAGTGGTGCTACAGAACCGATTACTGTGAAGTTTGCTAATAACCCCAGTCAGAAAACAAGCCAAGCCCTCCTTTCCCAGCTGTACCAGTCTCCCAACAGACGCTATCCGGGACCTCTCCACCACCAAGCTCAGAGATTCAGGTAACATTCTCCAAATAATTTATTTTATTGTTGTTTACCAAGTTATAGGTTAATTTTCAGTATCTTATGACTGGGAGTTCAGTGGGCCATCTTTTTGCAGGTTCCTGAGTTGACAGAACTGTGGTTTGGCAAAAGGAATGATAGGACAATCATGTAAACAAGAAACGGAATATGTGTGAATTATTACCCCACATAAAAATGAGAAACAGAATTCATTTTTCATTTATACATGGTGCATTGATACAAAAAGATACAAAAGATTAACATAGCAGTTGGGTAATAAAAAATAAAAGCCCCGGTTGAGGGAACTAGAGTTACAGTAAAAAAAACCTATGTACTTGTTGCCATATGCCCCAGGATATGATTAGCTTGCAGCAATCCCTTGTTAAGCAAAAGGTGCAGGAAGCAGGTTATATACTAGATCTTTTCCTCTGGCAATCAAAGTTGACAGTACTGATCACCTGTTAGATGTCTCTAACACAGTATAGTTGCCCTGCTTATGAACTACTGTTGTGGGGACTTTCCCTATTCATGGCAGCCTTTTGCGTAAACTTGTTTCTACATTTGGATTGGTTTCCATAGAGAAAGCATTGGTACCTATTGGCATTGCTTTTAAAGTGCTCAGATAAAGTACAAAGAACACACAGCTTTATTTCAGTATCTGTTCATTGAGTATAATACATATGTAGATAGAAATAAATATAAAGTGGCCTCCCTCACACATAATACTAAACCATGGCTAGTTTAACCAAAGTGGCATGTGTTTGAGTGTCAGCCCATGGTTTTTTTCTGGTACTATCACAATGTGAAGCCATGGTTTGTTGTTGACTACACAAATCCTAGGTTGTTTTTGTTGGGATACTGCCAGGGAGACAAAGTCCATCATGACTCCACGTAGCCTCCGGACGTCCATCAATCTCCCGTGGATACAGTATCAGCAATTAGCGACACGAGGTCCAGAAATAGCTTGCCACATTCCAGAGCTCATGCACACTCTATCAGCAGAATTCACACAGCGAAAGATGCACGCAGGAGAGCATTATTTACAAGTTTATTCAGCGTTGGTCAGAACAAAGAAAACATGACTGCCTGTGTCGGTGTCTCAGGCACAGAGATAGAACGAAAGCAAAGACACAACAGAAACATCCTGTGAACAGGAAATACGCAGGCTGTGACACAAACATCCTGCTCCCTTTTAAGGTGGAACGGAGATATCCTAACAGTTTTAACTGTGGTTCAATGTTATGTCCTCTCTCTCAACAGTCTTGCCTAATGATGGTTTGTTGGCCACCTTTCCTAGACGCTTGCCGAACTGTGGCAGCAAGAGCAGCTGGAATGTAAACCCAAGTTCTGGGGAAACAAGCCATGCCTTGTTTACTTGTCAGTTGAGACAAATTGATATCTGCTTAAACTAACCAAGGTTAAAACAAAACCACAGTTTAGCATTCTGTGCAGATACAGAATTCTGAACAGAATATTCACAAATTGTTTCACATTTAAAGCATTTACAGAACACTTCTTGTTTTTTCTGATGAAGTGTGATGGATGTTACATTTTTATTTTAAAGTTAATTCTTCTGAACAATGCAGCTAATTTCAGTTCGTTATTTTTTGCCTACAACCCTGACCCCTTGGAAAACAAAAACCCATTTGCCTAATACATTAATATGGAAAGCTCCGTATTTTTAAAGTTGGGGAGGCCTTTATACATGCTACATTGTGACTGCCCATCATACTAAACATTGTCAACTTTGTTTAATGATCTGATCTGAAAAATGTTAGGATAATCTGCTCTGGCTTTTAGGCATCAAAAATAATTTCTCCCAACAAAAGAAAAATGTCTACAATTCACAATGCTAGTACAATCCTAAACGGCTGCCACCAGTGTATTTTTTATTATTATTTCTATTTACAGGTTTAATGACAATGGAAAGGTAAATAGTGGAAATCATAGCAAAAGTTACAATTTCAGGCTAATATAGTGTGCAGAAGCAAAACCGCAAGGGAATTCTTCTGTGATGAATCAAATTGTAAGATGGTGGAATGTTACCTTTTTTCATTACCAGCACATTTTTAAATGTCATTTGTTTATTGTGGAAGTAAAAGCAGCTCTATGGCTGCTGATTCATTAGACCCGCTAGATGTACAGGAGTTGATGTTACAAATTTCTTCTTTGAAAATGGAGCATTATTAATAAAAGTTCCATTGAGCAATCTTGCCATCTGTGAGACATTAACCCAGAGACCCTCCTTCTCTTTTCAGGCTGGACAATTTGCTTAATATGGCCTATGGCGTAAAGAGGTAATTAGAATTGAACAGATTGCCAGATGTCCATGTTGGCACAGATTGGTGCTATAATTTTTTTTTTAATCACTAACTTTATTTTGTTTTTAATTCTTTCCTTTTTTTCCCCCCACCAGCATGCCAAATGTTTTCTGTCTTTTCGTTTGGACTTCAGTTCGTTTTCTTTAACACCATGCACAAACACACACACACACACAAATAGTGTGTGATTTTTGTGCGCATGTTCTACTTTTTCTTTTGTTACAGGTCTTCTAAGATGGTTTAGGTGCAACAGCTACAAGCATTCTGATTTCCTAAGTGTATTGTTAAATGACTCTTTAAAAGTCTCACTCAATCAGAGTTTATTATAACAAAGATTTGGTGTCACTGGGCTTATCGTGTGAAATTGTCACTGAAAATGTGACTCAAACCCAGTATTGTTTAGAAAGGTAAGGGAGCTGCCCAAGTTTCATAAAACGCTGTAACTGTGTGCACCTTAATCAGGCCTCTTATTTTCTTTGTTGCAGGTTTGACAAGTGTTTCCAGTAATTTGGAGCTTGTGGTTTGCCTTCTTTTAAGTTAAATTGCTTGTTCTGATTTTTATTTCATAGTGTCACTACTGGAAATTTGAAAATACTGTCCTGATGGCATGAAACTGTTACATTAGTATGACTTCTCTGTTAATAATCCACATACATCAGCACAGAGGTTAAAGGACTGTTTCTTACATTTATAATCCAAAAATGCTGTATGTATAGCCTCTCACCGTATCATGACATGGAACATACACAGCTGTGTGCACACATGTCCAATTGTGATCCATCCATGTTGAAAAAGTAGGGTGTGACAAAACAGGCCCACCCACTCCAGTCTTTGAGATGGGGTGGGCTGCAAGGCACTCTGTGGATTTCCAAGTAGGACAGAAATTCACCAGTGGGGAAGCCCCCTCTCCTTGACACCACATTTGTCACATCCACAGAAGAGAATTTGATCATTAGCATTTGCCAACATTCCTGCGAGGTGTGAATGGGGCCATTCTCCTCCAGATGGCAGACACAGGAGGGGACATCCCCAAGGAGGGAGATGCTTTGGATGTGCTTTTGCTTTTTCAAAAAATAGATTTTATTGATACATCAGGACAACAATAAAATGGAGGGGGGCATAAATAACATAAAATTTTGACTTCCTTTGGATGCGAATTGATCTCTCCTAGTTAATGACATGAAAATTTCTGGGTGCAGATATTTTCTTAAAAGGACAGCGTGAGGTGGGTTGGGGGCTAGCTTTTTATTACAGGGTGTAGGTATCAGAAATATAGAATGCCACCCACAGACTGCAGGTATAATATTTCATGCTGCATGTCAATACTGTATGCACAGTGTAGGTGCAACCACACACACGCAATATTTCTGGATTGTAGCTTTGAACCAGCACTTGGTCTGCCTTATGAAATCACACAGGGTGGGGCAGCCATGCTCCCCAACATTTTGAGATTTTCAGCTGTTTTATACATTCCCCAAGTCTTTCTGATCATTGTACTCCTGGCAGGGTTAAAAAAACATTCCTACTGCACTTTAGAAGTAACAGAGTACCTATTTTTCCTGCACAGATTCAGTTGAGAGTGCTCACTTCAGAACTTACCACCTGGTGCTTGAAAGGATGAACTTAAACTAGGGTGGTTAAGCAGTTTTGCTTGAATAATCTCAGCGTTAAACTTTGTTCCTTTTTACCTCCCCGCTTCCCTTGATTTCTGGGGTGGTTGTGGCGCACCAGTTACAATCGGCTTAAATTGCATGCTACTGAATACTACCTCCCCATGTGATTTCAGGTGACCATGTGGTAAGTTTTTAAGCAGCTACCATATAGTTTCTGGACACTGGAATCCATCTAGATCAGGGTGCTAATGTGAACTAAAACTCCCATCATCCCTGACCATTCACCACCATGGCTGGGCCTCCCAAATACTAGAGTCCACAACAACTGGAGGGTGTCCTGCTGACTACCAGGACCTAGATATTATATCCATGTAGGACAAAGATTTGCATGAAGCAGTCTTTAGTTTTCATAACTTGTCATGTTAATGGTATAGCAAGTAATAAGTCTAGTAAATTACAGAAAACAAAAGTGCTTGCTGCCCTCTGTGGGGGTCAACAGTTGTGGTTCAGCTAAGCTAGCCCCACACAGATTTAAATATATCTATGTAAAGAGACAGAATTCACACATGTAATACACATTCATATTGCACACAACATCTTAGACAGGATAGCAATGCTTTTTCTAGGGCCTCAGTAGTTTCAAATAAAGGTACTTGGTAATTCACTGATGCCTGTGTGAATACAATAGAAATGTAGAGTTGGAAGGGACCCCGAGGGTCATTTTGTCTAGAAGTCTGCAGTGCAGGAATCTCATCTAAAGTATCCATAACAGATGGCCATCCAACCTCGGCTTAAAAATCTCCAAGGAAGGAGAGCCCACTGCCTTCCGAAGGAGTTAGTTCCACCGTTGAACAGCTCTTACTGCCAGAAAGTTTTTCCTGATGTTTAGTCAGAATCTTCTTTCTTGTAACTTGAAGCCATTGCTTTGGGTCCCAGCCTCTGGAGCAGGAGGAAACAAGCTTGCTCCATCTGCCATGTGGCAGCCCTTTAGATACCTTTGATCGAACCAATTAAGCTTTCATCAGGCAATAAAGGTAGTAGCTACAACCTACTCAGATAAAACCATGTACTAGATCACAACGTAAAGAAGACTTCATTTGATTTCAGGGTGCAGCCAAGTTCTCCAAGGGAACCACTAATACACACTCAATTTCAGTTCCTTATATTGAGTTCAGCAGCTGTTGTTTCAGAGGCATTTAGTAGTGCTTTTTAAACTGAACGTTACGCCGTGTGCTGAATGTGCGTTCTTCACTGCAGAGAATTTAACAGGCTCTTTTTCTTTCCTTGGTCTTGGTTTTATGTAACGTATGCTTGAAAACTGATCTGTAGATTAGCCCTCCTCTCTTTTTTTGTCTTTTGTCTTTGTTAATCCGATAGGTTTTCTCCGATCACAATTGATGGGATGACGAGCCTTGTAGGAATGAACATCCCTGGCCATACTGGGACTGGGTGGTGCATCTTTGTCTACAACTTGTCCCCTGACTCCGACGAAAGTGTCTTGTGGCAGCTCTTTGGCCCCTTTGGGGCAGTCAATAACGTCAAGGTGATTCGCGACTTCAACACCAACAAGTGCAAGGGATTTGGCTTTGTCACCATGACCAACTACGATGAAGCTGCCATGGCAATTGCCAGCCTTAACGGATACCGCTTAGGAGACAGAGTATTGCAAGTTTCCTTTAAAACCAATAAAACCCATAAATCCTGAATTTCATATCCTTAATAATTATTATAAATATATATATATATAAATATATATACGAACAAACAAACAAAAAACTTTCAAGGCTTATACTCAACCATGGACTTTTATAAGCCAGTGTTGCCTAAGTATTAAAACGTTGATATCCTGTGAACAGGAAAGGATTTTATAATGCTTAGAAAAAAAAACAAAAAACCTTTGATGCATTGAATGTTCTTTCATAGCTGTCGTTGTTGAATATAATATACATAGATAACAATGTGCAGGGATTTTTACCCGGCCAGCTAGTTTTACTACCTTCCTTGAAGGTGGGTCTTTTTAAGATGACCATTCACTCATTTGAAAAATAAATAAATAAATGAAAAAAATCTAAAACCATTTTTACAGACTAATGGGATTAGCAGATTTTGCTCTCTTTTTTTTCCAAAATGTTTGATCCAATCAGATTGGTAAACCCCCAACATAAATTAAAGAGGAACAATAAAAATTGCAAAATGAAAAAAAAGAGAAACATAATTTTGCAACTTTTTTATTTTTCCTTTTTTATTTTATATCATGTGAACTAAACAGTCTTCTGTTAGGGATAGGGTAAAAGGGGGGGGATACCTGATGACATAACAGTTTAAATAACATTAACAATGTTGCCAAAGAGGTGGTCTCTTTGCTGAAAATGGGTTTCAAGAAAAATCTATTTTTATAAAATATAAAGAATTTTTACAAGAGAATCTGGATTTGAGAAAAAAATATTTTGACTGGCTAATTTAGGGGAAATTGACAACTTTGTCATGTTCATACTGCACTGGTAACTTTTTAGAGATCAAGATGTGTGTTTTAAACTGGATTAAGTAGATTGTTTTTTGAAGGATGGGCTACAAACAGATGATCTTCGTATCTTTTCATAGCATGTAATAAAAATATTAAATACAGAACGGGAGAGTGTTCTTCCCAGGCACACAGTTACCCACAGTCAAAACCCAAAAGCAAGGAGATGAGTTGCAGGATGGTTTTTCTTTAAGTCATCAGTATGGGATATCAGCAGAACAAAAGTTTTGGAAAAAAATTAATTTTAATCAAAAAGTTCCTTTCTTTGAGCAGTAGGTGCTACAAAATTATTTACATATCTTAGTATCATAGTTAAATGTAATGTGTTTAGAGGGGAAAAAAGTACATTTGCTTTAAATTTGTTAAGAATTTTCAGATTCACTTTCTAGCCCATACTGATATAAATTGGGCTGTGTGGGCACATTTGAAACACTCTTTACGTTGCTTGAAACACTTATTTATTTAATTGCTGATGTGACGCATATGCCAAAATCAAATATTGCTAGTTTGGCTAGTCTACTTATTTGTTTACTTAAACTATGGGAAGAAGCATATTATTGTGTCATTTTGTTGTGTGTGTATGTGTATATATAATATAAATATATATATATATATATAAAAAGAAGTTATTTTTTTCCTTTTGGTTAACTTATTCTAAGTTGTAACACTTTGCTAGTTTCGTTTGTATATGTCTTAAAATGTTTTCTTAATGATACTTAAGTGGCAAGAGGTATCAAGGTAACCTGTGTAGAAATATTGTTTGATATATTGTCATGTTTGTCGTGAATATTATTTTTTTTTCTTACTGCACAGTAGAAAACAACAACAACAACTGGGTCTTTATTTTAATGTAATTCAGATTGGGGAAAACAGAGCTAAGGGAACAAAATGACTGAGGGAGTCCTCTCCCATGTTCAGTGCACTGATCCTTTTCGTATGTTTGTGCTTTGTATGGTTATATATTTAAAAGAAAAAAAAGTCATGCTCTTCCCTGAGTACTAGAAACAGTTACTCGCTATGCATAATCTAGTTGATAGTTAAATTTGCTATTGCTTTTCTTGTCTTGTTATATACAATTTTTTCAATACCAGTTTAGTCTTAATGGTAATAAAACGTTATGGTTCTTTATAACTTGTGCTTATTTTGTGCATTCCCCCCCCTCCCCGCCCCATGCTTATACCCACTAACTGCATGTAAACTACATACTGGTTTTATTTCATTTATTTATTTTCCACACTGAAGCAGCAAACATTTTGTAGTACAAGAATAATTTAACAGCAAAGGCTGTGCATCCTAAATGTCATCAGTTCATTTACATTTTGAAATGATTTTAAATTTCAAACAAAACAAAACAAAACAAAAAAACTGAAAATGCCCTCATTCAATGTTTGGGGAAAACCTTTCTACACCATCTGCTGTGAATGAGCGCAGTTTGCTGGGAAAGTTTTGATGCAATTTCTAAGCATTAGTGGGGAAGGCATGTCAGAATCTTTTCTCTACAATGTGTTTTACTATCTGAAATTTAAAATAAAAAAATCTTTCTTAGGACCAGGCAGTTGTATATTTTAGTTATAATGTATTACTTCATGTTTAACTTGCTAGTTTAGATCATTTCTGAGGGAAAGTATTGTAAATGTTTTTTTTCATAACCTTGTTGTGTTTGAATTATTTGTATTTAAATTGTCCAGACAATAAATGAAAGTGTGTAGAATGGCTATGGACTTGCCATATTTTTAAAAGTGTTCAACTGTTTTCATAACCACAGCTTCATCCATTTATCTTAATAGTTTTTAATCCTGTAGATCCCATTTTTAAAATTCTGGTTTCATCTTTCCAGCCCTTATAACTTTTCCATGCATGCAGTTAACAATGCACTTACTAGGGGTGTATGCAGGCACTAAGATTTGCCTTGAATCTGTCTGTTTCTGTACTTGCTCTGCTTCAGTCTGTGTTTTGAGTTCCAAACCATTCTGTATAAAACAAAGTTGTGTGTTTTCCCATTAACTGTAATGCAAGAATCTAAAAACATCTAAACAAATTTACCATTTTTTTAAAAAAAGTGAATGAAATTTACAGGTACAGGGAAGTCTCTCAAGAGTGGCCTTAGCCTCCCAAATTGTAGACAAATAGTTCCAGGGATGTTTTTATAGGAATTAAAAGAGAGCCGGTTTCCTACATAATGCCCAAGTCTCTCTTCCTCATCTAGAATGTATACATTTTTGTCTCATAATTATAAGCTGCCAACCAAAACCAGATTCTCTTTGGGATAAGGTGGAACAGTGTCTGTTCCTCAGGAGCTGTGATGATGTAGCTGTAGGTCTTTATTGTCTGAGTGATGCTTGTCTGCAAAGGGCGGGTCATAACCATAGAAGCCCTAGCAGTGAAAGGCATTTCTCATGGCTTTTGTTAATGATTAACTATATTGCTAGTGCAGAATAGAAAAATAGTACTTCCTACTTAGTAATCACAGTTTTGGAGAGAGTGCCGCTGAATAATCCAGTCAGAAGAAACAAATATACTGTGTGGCAGCTGGAAAATAAAATGTGGGAGGGACAACAGTGAAAATGGAATCATAGCAGCCAAATCTTGTTCCTAACCTTTAAGTGTTTGTAGGGATCAGAGAGTATCCATGATCCACTTGGGCCTCTTGAATGGCTTCTTCCCCACCTCACTGGTTTTCCTGCAGTTCTCTCTTTTCGTCAAAGCTGAAGGGAATGCAGGCTGAGCCCCTCATGATTATTACCTCCTTTGTATATATCCTGACAATGAGAAACCACAACATAAATCTGATAACTGACTGACTGACTGACTAACTAGGAACAACAACTTTGGAGTCGTAGTGGATAGCTCAATGAAGATGTTGCTGATAACAATTTCACAGGATTTAGTAAACCTGGTGATTTGAATGGCATCAGAGAACTCACTTAAGTGATCAACCAGCCTATAATCACAGCACCTTAAATGGCCTGGAATTAGAATTTCAAGAGTGAATCAGTCTCTAAGCTTACTGAAAGAATCAAAACAAAATAAAAAAATTCCTTCCAGTAGCACCTTAGAGACCAACTAAGTTTGTTATTGGTATGAGCTTTTGTGTGTATGCACACTTCTTCAGATAGAATCAAGAAAGAATTCTTCAGAAAGAATCAAGAGCACTTGGTAACATTTAGACTTTTGACTCACCTGCCTTGTATCCTTGGTTAAGTGGCCATACACACAAGACGCATTGGCTCTAGTATACAGAAACTGGTAAAGGGATCTAGAAAACAAACAAGCCAAAGCAGGTTGAATCTGGAACTCCTGTTTCAAATGATGTAGTCATCGTAACCGTCCAGTGATAATATCTAACCTGTGTAAAGAAGCAAAGAATCACTTCAAATAGCATGAAATAGTTTAAATGACCAGTTGGCCATCCATTTTGAATCCCCGAGTGTTTGTATATTTTGTAAGCATCTGGAGTCCAGAGAGAAATCGCTCTGTTCAGCATCTCTGCTACAGTACTGTCTTCAGCAACCTTTGTTTGCTTCTAATGCGCATAAATAATTGGACGCTGTGGCTGCATGAAATCAGTTCATTTCCCTCATACTTCTAAACCCTACTGGAACTTGCATAGCAGTAGTGTCTGCTGAATTATGATCCTCTAGGTTGTCCTAGATTTCAGCACTTTCCCATGGATACCTTTAAAGCAGAGATGAGGAACCTGTGGCCCTCAAAGTATGCTTGGACTCCCACTTTTATCAGCTGACCAACTGTCGGGGGCGACTGAAGTTGGAGTCTAGCAACATGGAGTATCACAGGTTCCCCTTCTCTGCTTTAAAGAGTAGCACAATATTTTGACATTCATTTGCAGTTTAAACAGATTTCTCCACTTTGTTTATAGCCCGGACAGCCTCCTAGAGGTTTATATGAATCTCATAAATACAAAAATTTGCTCCACATTTATCTTTTCTTCAGGTTCTGTTGCTAATTGGAAATACATAAAACTGCAGCACTGCTCTTCATGTCCAAGCTTTGGAATAATATATCAGCTATCTGCTTCATGGTGTGCAGTTCTACAGGACTTTTACTAATAACAAATATTTCTTTTTTGCAAGAGATTAACAATGGTGACAATAATTAGTTTCATGCTGTGGGATGAGTTTTTGCAGCTTACGGCCGTCTTAAATAAATTTGAGTATTCATTTTAACATTGCAAGATCATCAAGTTTCTTTATGTGTGCATTGTAGATCACTGATCAAATGATGATTGTGGATTATGTGTGGAAGGAGGTTGCTTGTATTCCAGGGAGAGTGGAATATAGAAACTCTTTATCCATGTATTTTATGGGTTCTAATTAGTGGAAACATGTCCACCAGAGGTTGGGAACTGCAATATTGTCCCCAAATGTTGATCCTTTTTCCTTATGAAGAAGACATAACTGTGTGCCCTCTGGACTATGACTACTGGAATCCCCAATTCTAGTCAGCTTTCTCTCATTCTCCAATCTTTTAAAAAAAGAATTGCTGCAATAATTGCTCAGAGGCATAGATACCTTTCACTGAAGACAACCTCCTGAGGGCACATCAAATCTGGCTAGTCTCATGAAAACTCACTGTTTCCTGTTGACCCTCAGTGTCTAGAAGTTTCCAGCATTAGATATAGAAATGTGACAGAGAACAGGTACCCATCGCTATTCTCTTTTACTTCCCAACCTTGCTTAACTTCCAGTCTAATCAGTGCTGCTTGGTGGTCCCAGTTTCCATTGCATCGGAACAGATCTAGGTATTGCTCTCTGATGACTACTATGACTGAGCTGTCAAGAATTCATGTAGGCTGACTCCTTTGTGATAACTAGCCTACTCTAGACTTCACCTCTGCCGGATTTCTGTTGATACCTGCTCGTGTCACAGCCTGGAGCTGACACTTTCCTTAGGTAAGGAGACTGATTTTAATTGTGATGATGCATAGGTATGTTCATAGTTCAATAACAACATCTGCATGACCACAGAGCTCTAGAAAATGGATACTGTTAACTTGTCAGATATTTCATCCTGACACTTGTATTTGATACAAGAAAAAAATAGTTTGGGTATGGGCATCCTTCCAACAACTTCTGCGGGGAATATAAGAATACTTCACATCCACCAGTTTTTCTGCAATCAGCTCTTCCCTGTCTTCATTCAGTGCTTCCTGCCTACCCGTTTCATCTGATGGCCCTGATGTCAGTTTTTGGTGCTCTATTTCTGACATAAATTGCTACATTTATAATAAATATTTGCAGTAATGTGAGTGCCTATAATTTACTTCAGCTATTAGAGCAGGATTGTCCAAAATGTATATTTAATATGAAGCTCTGTACCCAGGGTGTGTGTGTGTGTGTGTGTGTGTGTGTGTGTGTGTGTTTCCCAAGAATGGTTACCCAAGATTACTATAGTCACATCTTGAGCATGAGGATATCTTGCTAATGTTTAAGGGCGAGGAGAGATTAGAATGGGTGATGAAAACTAAATCCTGCTACTTTTTTATGTTCCTAAACTTTTTCTGAGATTCGGTATTTGTCACTATTGTAGGCAATACATTTGGCTAGATGAGTTGCCTGTTTGCCTAATAGTATGGTGGTGCTTTAACCATGTATTTGGTATTGACCGTTTCCAAACATTTTCAAGCACACTTAAGTTCTCTGTAAAAAGCAAGAAGTTATCTTTTTACATTTTCATTTCTTATTTCAAAGAACTCTGTAGGATATGGAAGCTTGTGGAAAACAAGCATTCTGAGAGCTCCATTGTACTGCGTATAATTGAACACTGATTGATTTCCTTAGCAACCTTCTGCATAGCAACATCTGGAAAAACTAATACTCCAGCCAAAAATATGACACTTATTTACAAGTGAATTTCAAATTTACAACAGCAGTAGCATTTCAGTCTAGAAGACATGGCTGCATTTACTGACTAATTAAAGGAAATACTCGAAACACCAAATCTTGTGTTGTGTACATCCTTAAAAACCACAAGCATGAATTAGCTTTTAACAAATAATACAATTCTGATTTTAAGTCTCAGTATGAAGCACTTAATTAATTTTGTAGGATAAGGAATCTGTCGCAAATATACAGCACTTCACCCACTCAACACCATCTGCTGTGGAGAATTAAATGTACAACTCGCAAATGAAATCCTACAGAGCTGGTGCAAAAAGGTCTTTGCTTGAATTTAAACAAGGCTGTGGAAACCAGCAAAACACATTGCAAAAGATCATGAAAACAACAACAAATGTGTCCATCAGTGAGTCATTCTCACAGTGGTTTTTCATATACTGGTTCTGTTGCAAGAACATTTGCACTTGATGCTAATTTTCCATATGCAAAATTCTTGCTTCAGCTTCTGATTGTACTGCCTTGCTTTTGCCAAAGCTTTCAAACATAATAAGTCTATGATTAGCCCAGCAATGTAAGCCAGAGTTAAGAAAGTAATAAAGTTATTTACCATAAAACCAAGTTGTCATTTTTAAACCATTCTTCTGAGTGTTACCGGGATATTACCGGTATTTAATTTCCCTACCTGTGCCTATTAGACCAATTTAAGCTGGATTAGACATTATCAGTGAAACATCTTGTCAAATTTTAAAGTTGAGATTGTCTATTT